ATTGCCTACAACCTTGCCATATAACATTTTTCATCAGATCAAATCGAGAAAACCCATTTTTTACCCTTAAATAACCACGCCCATACCCTTCCCGACATCAGATCGCCCGTAAATTATTTTTCCCTTAATTTTTATAATATTCCCCTCCTTTTCTAATGGGTTTCATTCCACTATAATTTATTTTCACTTTTCATCATTTTTAGAGGCATCTGCACTGGCCTAAAAAGTGTAAATACGAAAACAAAAAGATATTTTTATATTGTAATTTCTCATAAATTGATTTAAGTTTCTAAACATATATTTTTAATATACTGTTTTCAATATTAATCGCATGGAACTTTTTCGATGTGCGTGGGTTTATAAAACATAACATCCATTTTGTTTACTCTATGCTACAGAGATCGTCGTGCGGTCATTTTTATTATATTATTAACGAGATCGTAAAATCGATCTGTAATATAACGTGCAGAAACAACATTAAATATATTTTTAATTTACGACTTCTATAAAACTGTTCTATTTTTTTTATTTTTCAATAAAAGTCATATTTATACTGTGACACTTCTAAAGGCGGGAATATTTGTATGATTTTAGACTTCACCACTCGGTAAACGATCTCAGCTTCTAGTCGCGACCTTGTTCATTCACAAATCCCTCTATACATACTTCAGTATAATATCGGTACACGACATTTACTAAATCTATAAGGAAACGCCACTAACTAAAGAAGAAGATTTTAGACTTGAAAAGCTTATGTGTCAATCGTAACTCACATTATGCCGGCCACACACGTTACGGTCTACCGGAGGGGTCCACCTGTGCAGGTAGACCGGAATGTGTGTGGAAATAGACCTGTGCAATTTATGAACGCTACCATTGTTCGGTTGATTTGCACAGATTACCTTTTCGGATCATAGCGTGTGTGGCCGGCATTAGGGTAAAGTGTGCAATTGAATGAAATATGTACTTGAAACGCTGAGTAAGTAGTGTGGTGATCAACACAAACTCAAATAACTTTATTCAATATAGAAGCATTACACTTTATTGATGGTCACTTGAGACACTACCACCGGTTAGGAAAACAAAATACCCTGACCTGAGAAGAACCGGCGAAAGAAACTCAGCGGGTTTTTTTTTATATTTGTCTCATATATTATATACACAATTTAATATGAGATGAAATAGCCAGGAGGCGATCGTATCATTCCCAAGGTGTGCTATCGTTCATAAAATCATTAATTGTATAGTAACCTTTTGCACACAAGCGTTCCTTAATAATTTTTTTAAATTTAGCAACAGAGGCATTTTGGACGCTTTCTGGGATCCTGTTGTAAAACCGTATACATTGCCCCACAAAGGAGTTACTGACTCTATGTAGTCGAGTAACAGGAGTAACAAGTTTATGTTTGTTCCTTGTACCAAAACTATGAGTATCACATTTTCTCATGAAATCATTAATATTTTTTCGTACATACATAACATTGCAGAATATATATTGAGAAGCAACAGTCAATATCTTGATTACTTTAAATTTATTCCTTAACGATTCTTTAGCTCCTAGGTTATAGATTGCGCGGATAGCCAGAGGGCTACAGAAGAGTCTGTAACACAAATATAGTATGGATAGCGGCTGCGTTGCCCCACAGCATAATACCGTATGACATTATACTGTGAAAGTAACTGAAACATACTAAGCGAGCCGTATCAACATCGGTACATAATCTAATTTTTTTGACCGCGAATGCCACAGAACTCAGTCTACTCAGACTAGCCTACAACTGTTAAGTAACAACTACAATAAAAGAGAGACGAAACCTCTCATCATTCCATATTGTATTCACGGTGCGTGTGTCGGGTCCATCGTTACAGGGAGAGGAGCTTCACTTGCAACGCAGGTTTTAGGTCTTAATTTTATTTTTTTGCATGAACTTATACTAACTAGTAAATAGAAGCAATAACTACACATAGATTAAAATTCTCGATATGATTCATGCTTGACGAAGCGAAGTAGCCAGTGAGACTTGAGTAAATTATATTGTCAGCATTAATATTGAGGATTAAAAACACTTTTAAGAATCTATATATATAAAAGAAATTCGTGTTAGTTACTTCACTTATAACTCAAGAACGGCTGAACCGATTTAGTTGAAAATTGGCAGGGAGGTACTTAGTACTTTTTATCCCGTTCGACAGCACCCCGTGTGACTTGATATTAAACATCAGTCACTATAAAACGTGGTATAACAAAAAAGAATTAGACTTGGAATAACAAAACGCAATTGACAGGTATGTAATTGACGTATAATGACAGATATGTAATGACGTATGGATGACAATTAGATATTTGTAAGAAATAAATAATTAAAGAAGAAGAAGAAAAAAATAAATGATTAAAGAAGAAGAATAATAAAACTATTGTTTATTCCTTATTACTCATGTCACTATTGAAGAACCAACGTGTAATATTGCAAAACACTCAGCAATGGGCAAAGTTTTAGTGGTATCGAAAATCATCATCTGGGACGAATGCACAATGGCGCATAAACGTGCATTAGAAGCCGAACCGAACATTATAAGATTTACGCAATGACTCGAGATATTTTGGAGGAGCAATGATTTTACTGTTTTTCGATTTCCGCCAAATACTGCCAGTAATACCAAGATGCCGACGAAATAAACGCTTGCCTCAAATCGTCAAATCTATGTCGTTATGTGAAGAAACTACAACTGAAAACAAACATGAGAATTACGTTGCTTACATCTGGTGAAGATTTCTCAAAGCAATTGCTGACTATCGGTAATGGTCAAGTACCTGTCGATGAATCGAGCGGATTAATATCATGTCCAAATATTTTCTGTAATTTTGTCTCATCAAAAGACGAACTTATCAACAAAGTATTTCCAGAAATTATTTCTAACTACAAAAATAATGAATGGTTGATAAGCGTGCAATTTTAGCGGCTTAGAATAAAGATGTAGATGACATAACTACATAATTCAAAATAAGATCATTGGAATAATTCATTCAAATCTATTGACTGTATCATAAATGAAGATGAAGCCACCAATTATCCAAGTGAATTTTTTAACTCTTTGGTTGTGCCTGGCTTGCCACCGCACAATTTACGCCTTATAAGGTTAATTTAAGGTTGGCTCCGTAGTAATCATGCTTCAAAACATAAACTGTGCATCGATACACGTTTGGTGGTTAGAAAATTGAACAATGTAATTTACGCTACGATAATGATAGGAAATTTCAACGGTGAGGAAATTCTCATTCCGAGGATACCAATGATCCCAACCGATATGCTGTTTGAATTTAAGACCTCAATTTCGGATATGTCTTGCATTTGCCATGACCATCAATAACTCACAAGGCCAATCCTTAAAAGTTTGTGGTTTAAATCTAGAACATTCATGTTTTTCCCATGGTCAATTATATTATTTCCCATGTCGTGTATCATAAGGCTCTTAAATGAAGAGTAACCTATGTACTAAATACGGAAATAATTATGAATGATTAATGTAGGTATTTTTTCCATTTTAAAAAAAACAGCTTATTTATTGACATTAAGGTGGAACAAAGTTCGCCGGGTCAGCTAGTTCTTCTATAAAAGAATTCATTCTTATTGTATTTTAGGATTAGTTTTAACGCCATCTGTTGGTGAACCTGTATAATAATTAATCCAACTAAATTATTTGCTCTATGACCAACAGATGGCAGTATTATAACTTTTCTTTTTTTATGAATTAAACTAATTACAAAAAAATTCTTTGTTCCTAAAAAATTTAATTCTGTAAACAATATATTCTCTCTCTGTTGATTTTTATTATGTTTATATACTTTTATAACCATTCTAATGTAATTATTAAAGGGAACATAAAATAATAGACAACACTATATTTATCGATCTATTTCATAATTTAACGATGGAATTCGCGCCAATTTATCACATTAAGAAACAAACTTAACACAAATGGCGACATGTATATTGTAATATAAACTTAATATTTATAAATTTCCTCTACTTCGTCGTCATCATCGCTTCCAAGTTTTTGATTTCCTCTGAAAATAGAAAAAAGATTTTATTTCACATCGAGAAATATTTTGTGTTTCATAATTTGTCGTAATTTTTCAATTTGTTTACGAAGACAAAATAAGTTCGCGAAATGAAAACTGTTATTGTGAAATCGGAAGCTATTTAATTGTTTCTTTTGATATTACGGACTAATAATATAAGTAAGTGATGAGATTTAAAACTTTCGCCAGTATTTAAATGAAATTAATATTTTGTGTTCATACTACGCGTTATTTTATTATTTTTACTACATGCTATCTACGTATGTACTTTGCTGCAACCGCAATCATTAAGACGAGTAACCGAAACTTCGGAAGTATGTAGTTTTTAAAAATAATAAAATACGCGTATTATACGAAAATATTAGTTTCATTTAAAAGGTAAGTGATATTACCGAATTTTTTCTTTAAACTAATGCTGACTACTTTTATACTTATTAAAAAATCTTTATATTACTTAAAATTATTTACGATTTAATTTAAATGTTACACTTGATTAATATTAGTATAAAAAGTAAATATGTGTTTCAGGACATTGAAACTATGAGAAACACTTATTAGGAGAAATTCTTCTACAGACAAACAAATTGAGAAGTGTCTTCAAGCTTTAACTTATTCTGCATAAATTTAACTTGTTCCTCAACATTATATATTCATTTAAATGCAATTAATATCATTTGGATATATTATGTGTACTTTACTTTTGCTAAAAACAACATACTTCCTATGTTTCTGTTTCATCAACCGTGATCATTAAGACGAGATGTGAATGTCTGTCAGTTGGTCCTATTATTTATCATATTCTTAATCAAATATAAGAGATCATTATTCCTATGATCATCTTTTTGTTATAAAAATCTTGAAAACTAAATAAATATAAGTTAAATTGGTTCCGTTGACATATTTCTTATCTCAATATTAACTAACCGGCCGCTGCTCGTTCTCTTTCCTCCTTCAGCTTAGCATCCTTGACGACCTTCTCGCGAGCCTCGATCTCGCGGAGCTTGGCCTCCTTCTTAGATAATCTGTTCTGGTGGAAGGCTCCGTAGGCTACTCCCAGACCGAGGAATGACCAGCGGCCAAACTGAAATATATATACATATATATATATAATTAAATTTTAGACTGAGTATTCAATGTAGGGAATGAAAATGGTGGAGAAAGAAGACATTGTTTTATTGTTAGATTTTTTTTTTGTAGGATTTGGGGACAAATTATACATATAACTATTATTTGATTGGTTGGTATATATAGTGTTTCACAATTCATGTCTAATATGTGGAGAGATAGAACTTCATAGAAAATCCTTGCAATGTAGATTTATTTTGGATACCCTTGCCTTATAAACTCAAAATGAGAGGATTTTTAGTTTAAATTGTATATTTACGTAATAAAACTATTGTATGGGCAAGGAATAATATTTCTTGGAGGTATTTCTTGGTACTTCTCCATCATCACAAGTTATCGTACTTCAGTTAAAGATATTAAAACAAAAATAACAATTACGACAAAACTAACATTATCCAAATATTAAGCCTCCAAGGAGGTTTTATATTAAAAAAGTATAAATTTTTGAAAATGGAATGAATTTTAAAACACTGTTACATAATTATTATTTGTATAGAATATATAGGAACAGCTCACCCTGATGAGTGGAGACACTCGCACCGGCGGCCCGTACGGAAGATCAGACATATTGATGGATTTACAGGATTTAAAAACCTAAAAAGGATTTTCAATGAATCCTAGAATAATACGATCCAGCGGAGGTTATATGTGGGGTTGTCAGGATTAAAAAATATTAATGTGAAAATGAATGTGTTGCCATCTAAATTTTTTATTTATTTGAACAAACCTCAATTAATATAATACTTATTTGTTTAAACTTATTGTTTTATTATCTTCTGTATTTCTAAATAAAAAGTATTAATTGCAAAGATTTTTTATTTAACTTTAGAACTGCGTCAAAAATTCCTGTAACTCAATATATCAAATTTAACTTTAACTAAATCTTTTTACATATTTATTTGTAGATAAATTTAATATTAGTTTGAATATTAATTATCAAAATTGCGAGTAATGTATCTATCAGCTGTCTCCGTGACTTTGACCGTCCGTCAGCTCGTGACGTCAGTCCCAGCCATCTTGGCCGGAGTCATTCATCAATAGTTAGTCAGGGTCTGCTCCTCACTCCATACAAGACACCAGTGTATCATTCAGTACTAAATATGGCAGTGATGGCATCGTTCGTGTCCGTCGCGGTGTCCATTCTTTACACGCCGGTCCTACTTTTGATATTATGTGTTATTTTCCTAGCTTCAATCGGCAAATCTTTAGGTGTAAGACGTCTGTACGTCAATATATTGCTGAAACTGTTCGAGGTGAGTTCATTATATTAATTATGTGAAGATTCTACAAGGTCTGGGTTGGTACTGAATTGTTTACACAATATTCATTGTTTATCAATCAAATTTATTCATACACACATCAAAGTTAGTCGATTAGTCGTCTGTTCCGTGATCAAAGTTCTTTTGATACTTAATATCTTTTAAGATAACTTTTAATATAACCTATTACTTAAATTACTTATTATGATAAAAAAATATTAGTTTCATAGAAAGTTTTGTAATTAAATCCATTATATTATGATATCAATTGAATTTCGTATAAAATCATTAAAGAACAAAGGTACGTCCTTTTGGATATTACGTTTTAATAATAATATACAAAGATTTTGTGTTATGGAGAATAATTCATTAATTTTACGTAAACAATACGAAAATACGCAAAAAAATATTGTTTTCACATAAATATATGCAAATTTACATTTATTACTTCGAGTTTTAAATTTATTTATAAATCTAGTAATATTATGCTTCATTGAGGTTTTGTAGTGTCAAAATACTTTGTTTACCTACCAACTTTCAGTATGTATGTAAAATCATACTTGGGATAAATTAAATTAATTTTATATGTATAGAAAATGCAATTATTTTTAGTAATTTATTATATTAATGGAGATATTAAACAAGATGTTATTTTTTGATATAGTCGGGTTTAATAGATAATGCAGCAGACACATATATATAGAATGATATATAACAATAAAAATGTACTTTGGACTTGACCAAATGTTAATAACTTTAATATATATATTCTTTAATGATAATAAATATTATATACTAGTTATTGCAAGTGATTCGTCTCTTCCTGGCAATTACTCAGCTATAGCCAGGGTCTGCCTTACATGTTGTGAATAGTTTTGGCTAATTGTTTTTACGACTGGCTGCCTGCCTGATATCAACCCTCTTTGGGAATGCATTAATCAGTGATGTCTAAATACTCTTAGAAAGTACATATGACTCAGAAAAATCACATTGGTACTGGCCAGGATCTAACCCGCACCCTCATGCATGTGAGGCGGGCCTTTTAACCTCTAGGCCACCACTGACTTCTGACTTATTGCAAGTGATTCTGCCTGCATATTTAAAAAACTTTTATAATATGGATTATCATTAAATTCTACTTTTCAATCCCTTTATCAGACAATAACTTGGTTACAATCACAATACTTTAGAAGAATGTTCTTTTGATGAAAATATTTTTTATAATTGGCCCTTAATTGATGGGGTATTGTGTTAAATTGGGAACTTCCTTCTTTTGATGTTGGTTAATAAGTAGTTAAGTTATTCCTTATGGAATGACATTACCGACCAGGACATATTGTTGCTAAATATGTATTTTGTTATATACATAATTATAAATTACATACAGACAAAGTCGCAGGTAAATATCAATATTCAATATAAATAAAAGTCGTGTTAGTTACACTATATATAACTCAAGAACAACTGTACGGATATGGATGAAGATTGGTGGAGAGATAGATTAGAACATAGAAAGGACATAGGATACTTTACATACGATTGAAAAAGAAAAAATAAGTTGATCAAATACAAAATCTTACCTACTGTCTTTAAGGAGGAATAAAATTCGCTCGGTCAGATATACATTACTAATTATGAAACTAATGCAGACAAAGTTAAGGCAAAAACTAGTATTAGTATGTGTGAAAGATACAAGTAATATACTGTGGTTTTACTTAAATACTTTTCAATTGTAATGTAGCATGAATTAAAACACTTTATATTATTTGACACACAGACAGGACAAAGGATTTTTAACTTTGTTATATTATATGTTAATTTACCTTTGTTATAACAAAGTGTTTTATATTGTTGACAACAAAGCATTCATTTACATTTTACATGGAAACACTGATCTTATGATATTTTTTCATCATTATGTAGGTTTTTCTTTGTATAAATGGCGGCAAATAAACAAATGACCTACCTGGTAGTAGGTAGTCACTATCGCCCATTTTGTGTTAGATAGGAGAGTGTGGGAAAAGGATAGAGCAACTGTCTCTTTCCCTCATCAGACGAAATGCAGCCATTAAAGACTACTTGCTATCTCTCCACCAATGTTTAATCATATCCGTACAGCTGTTTTTGAGATCTAAATAGTGTAATTAACAAGACTTTCTTTTAAAGATTATTATATATGTATATATATATATATAAAAATTGTCATACACCTGTTTGTTCCTTTTGATATCAGTAACCTATTTATATCTGTAGATTATTTAGACACCACTGACAAACGGTGAAGAAAAACATCCTGACTAAAACTTTACTTATAATATCAAATTATAAGTTTGAAATCACCAACCCGTCTTGATCAAGCGTGGTGATTAATACTCAAACCTTATCCGTGTGAGAAGATGCCCTTCAGCAGTGGGCTCTGATAGGCTGATGATGATGAGTAATAGTAAAAGTCTGTTAAAGTGATATCCAGAAAATATTAGATACCCAGACAGTATACAAAATTATTGATATCAAGTCACTGAAGTGACCCTACTGTTTAAAAGTATTTTACGTGAAAACTATTTTCCTTCTTTCTACAAATTTAATAATAAATACATATATTTGTTATGATATATGAATGTTAATTCGCTTAATATTGTTTAAAGGTCAAATGTCAAGGGTCGGTGTAAATTCAAAAGTGGCTTTTATTACCACGTGGTGTTACTTTTGTACGTAGTTTTTGTGTGTTTTTTCATGAATTTGTGAATATCAGTTATTAAAATTTAAACATTACCAAGGTCATTCACCTCCAAATTAAATTAATAATTTTGTACCTTGTGGTATTTTACTATAAAATTATTTTATAAAACTTTATATAAATTGTAGAAAAACGAAATGATCTCAAGTATTTAACGCGTACACAAGTTTTAATGTATAAAACTTTGTTTTTAGTGAATTTAGTTAAATGTAAATAAACATAGCACGTATCGCTTCGAAGTGATACAAGTACTAAGGTTTGAGAAATGATTGGGATTACATTATTAAAAAAAAATATTTTTACAGCCTTAATATATATAAAGTCGTGGTGGCCTAGTGGTTAAAGGTCCGCCTCTATTACACGAGGGCGCGGGTTCGATTCTGGCAAGCACTAATGTGATTGTTCCGAGTCATATGTACTGTATAAGAGTATTTAGACATCACTGACTGATGAAGGAAAATATGAGAAAACATGGACTTATATCAAATTATAAGTTTGAAATCACCAACCCGTCTTGAGCGAGCGTGGTGATTAATGCTCAAACCTTCTCCATGTGAGATGAGGACTTACAGCAGTGGACTCTGATAGGCTGATGATAAATCTTATATATAAAATTCTCGTGTCGCGGTGTTAGACAGAGAACTCCTCCAAAACGACTGGACCGATGTTGATGAAATTTTGCATATTGAGTAGCTCTGAGAATCAGCAAAGATGTATTTGTCATACACCTAAGTAATAAGAGTTGTTCACCCTTAATTTTTTTATTTATTTTTATATGGCAAAATAACGTTTGGCGGGTCAGTTACCTTTGTATAGAGATTAATAACTTAATATTAAATTATAATATAAAATAATTTCACACCTTAAATAATATTTTATTATTAAACTTGTAGATCTATAATAATATTACATTTAAGTAATAATCAGTATAATCTCGATGGTCACTGATAGGTCGAGAGTTCAACGAGGGACACACAAACAAAATATTGACAGGGAAATATTATTAATTAGAATTATATGTAAACATAATAAATACTGTGGAAGGTTTTAACACGTTAAACTAATTTTAAGATTACTACGAGTATTTTATTATTTACTAGCTTTCCGCCCGCAGCTTCGCCCGCGCGGAGTTCGGTTATATCGCGTTTCCAGGAGAACCTTTCAAAAGTCTGGGATAAAAACTATCCTATGTTCTTTCTCAAGGCCAATTCTATGTCTGTACCAAGTTTCATTAAAATCAGTTCAGTGGTTGAGGCGTGAAAGCGTAACAGACAGACAGACAGAGTTACATTCGCATTTATAATATTAGTAGGGATAAAAACTACATACTCCCGACGTTTCGGTTACGGTTAGGAATACGAATAATATTAGTTTCATTTAAATGAAAATTAGAGTTTTAGATCTCGTTAAGATTTTTCGTAATTTTTGCTATTACTACTCGATTTTAGTATTAAGACGAGTGGAGTTACGGAATTAACTTGTATTATATGTAATATTATGGAAGGTTAGACCAAGTATATCTTTATTACAGAGCAAAGTTTAACTAAAATCGTATAATGACATTTATACCACGCAGCACGCTCTCCGGCCGTGACCATTTTGATGATGTTTAAGCCGGCCACACACGCTACGGTCTATCGTAGACCGAAATGTGTGTGGGAATAGATCTGTGCAGTTTTTTGAACCTGCGCAGACGCAAGATCGAAGATCAATTCTTTCGACGGCGCCTGCGCATGTCACGTCAGTTGTTTTCTTGTGTTTTTTTTTTGGAATATTGTCTCATTGCTTTCAAGGATTTTTGTAGATTCAACTTAAAAAATCCGTGTTAGTTACACTATATATAACTCTAACGACTGTACGGATATGGATGAAGATTGGTGGAGAGATAGATTAGAACATAGAAAGGACATAGGATACTTACTTCTGTTCGATCGAAAAAAAAACATAATAAATTCCAATATCTTGTTATTTACGGCCTCTAGATCGGAATATAGTTCGTCCGGTCAGCTATACATATATTACTAATGACGAAATTAACTCGGACGAAGTCGCGGACAAAAACAAGTACATAATGATATCTAAGTTCTAAACTATATTATTGTAAAGTTTTCTCAAAATCAGTTTAGTTTTAACGTGAAAAAGAATACGTTATGTAGAAAACGATAATTTTAATAATACACAATAATTACTTAGTCAATACTCAAGCCACCAGTAGCGTCAAATCATTTTTATCATAAAAATATATATTATATAAGGAATTAAATCAAAATATAATTTAATCTTATCATGTACATAATCACTTATTATCATTAGTATTAAAAAGTATTGAAACAAAATTATATCTTGGTTAATACATTGTTTAACCGATGACGTCTGTGGCCTAGTGGTTAAAAGTCCGCCTCTAGTATGAGGACGCGGGTTCGATCCTGGCAAGTACCAATGTGATTGTTCCGAGTCATATGTACTTAAGAGTATTTAGACATCACTGACTGATGAAGGAAAACATCGTGAGGAAACATGGACTTTATAAATTATAAGTTTGAAATCACCAACCCGTGTTCAGCGAGCGTGGTGATTAATGCTCAAACCTTCACCATGTGAGAAGAGGCCTTACAGCAGTGGGCTCTGATAGGCTGATGATGAAGTATTGTATGTGTTTTTGACTGTTTGGTACTGTTACTATGTAGTTGTCAGATACACTCCATCGACCTGTACAAGACGACCTGATGTCTGATAAATAAAATTATTATCCTTCTATCATCAACAGATTAATCTTCAAACAACGGAATTTAATAATTGCAGTGATTACAAAATTTGGTCAAGTGCGATACAGGTTTAAAAATGAATATTAATCCCTACTAATATTTTAAATGCGAAAGTAACTCTGTCTGTCTGTCACGCCTAAACCACTGAACTGATTTTAATTAAATTTGGTACAGAGATAGAGTTGACCTTGACAAAGAACATAAGATAGTTCTTATCCCAGACTTTTGAAAGGTTCTCTTGGACACGCGATATAACCGAACTCCACGCGGGTTAAGCTGCGGGCGGAAAGCTAATATTATTTATAATTTTGAGTATTTGTATTATTATTATAATCTATGTGTGTATGTCTAAGTATCGAGATTAGTAATATAGTCTAAAACAGAAGGATAGATATTCAGTTAAATGGTTCCGTTTTGCAGTTTTGAATACTTTCTTACGGAACCCTAAAAAATAATGTTATCGTGTCTGATAAATAAAATGTCATTAATTCGTTCCACCTGCTTGAATATATATCTTTATATATATAATTCTTCTGTGAGTGTGTATGTCACTGAACTTCTCTCAAACGACTGGAGCGATTTTGATGAAATTTTTTGTGTCTGTTCAAGGGGATCTGGGAATGGTTTAGATTCACAATTTTGTCCGCTGGACAATGTTTTTTTAATGAATTTTTAATTTATTAGTAGTTGTTGATACAAACGTTTTTTTTGACATTAGATTTGATAACTAACTAATATGTCAATCATTCTGTCGCACTTCAAAACACGGAGATTTATGGCTTTAATAGGTAAACTCAAAAAATATAAATAAAAAAACGTAACAGATATTTCTTGATTATAGGGCGATACGAAGTTCTCCGGGTCTTCTAGTATATATATACATATGTATATTTGTTTGTGTGTATGTACATGTGTATGTATATATAGTGTCCTCCTGCCGTATATTTATTTAAACAGATACGTCGTTATCAATCCTAAAACAGGTTGCAAAGTTTATTAACCGACTTTAAAACAAACAAGTTGTGTGTTTGATCATTACTTGTTTACTATCAAACAGATACAAAAAGTCGTATCAATTGTATTACCTTATTTATTGATATGTTTTAAATGTTTTTTTTTTTTGTCTGATCGTAAAAAATATATCCCTACTATAATATTATAAATGCGAAACTAACATTGTCTGTCTGTCTGTTACGCTTTCACGAATAAACCACTGAACTGATTTTAATGAAATTTGGTACAGACATAGAGTTGACCTTGAGAAAGAACATAGTATAGTTTTTATCACAGACTTTTGAAAAGTTCTCTTGGAAACGCGATATAACCGAACTCCACGCGGGCGAAGCTGTGGGCGGAAAGCTACTTAATTGTAAAATGACAGTTATGTATTTACATTCCAGTACGGCAGACAGCACATTGAGGTGGCGAAGAAACTCCAGAGATCAGATAGTTCTGATGAAGAGGAGCATCCAGGAGCCGGGGATGAGAGGCCGCCCTCCGCACTTGTTAAGGAGAATGGAATAAATGGTGAGAGACAGACAGACACATACACACACAAACATACATACATTCACGCACACGAAGCCTATTTGTTACTTCTAAAAGAAAAATACTAAGCCCATTCTATTATGGTTCTAGTATTTTAATAGCTGCGATTCATGAAATTTTATTTGATATGATATCTTACAATATATGCGTAGTTCTAGTTATGATGTAGAAAAACACAAATGGAATTGTTAAAACTTGCAAAACCTGATGAATACCTTATTCTTCTACCTGTCAATTCCCCAGCTTTAGCCAGAGTCTGCCTTACATGTTGTGAATAGTTTTGGTTAATTTTTTTTTTACGACCGGCCGCCTGCCTGACATCAACCCTCTCTGGGCATGCATTAATCAGTGATGTCTAAATACTCTTAGGAAGTACATATAACTCGGAAAAATCATATTGGTACTTGCCAGGGTCAGGATCGAACCCGCGTCCTCGTGCATGACAGGCGGGCCTTATAACCACCAGGCTACCACTGACTTATTGTTTTCATCAAAACTCATCAGCGATGAATTGCTCCAGGTACCAAGATGAGTGTGATAGAGAGGCAGGAGATCCTGGGCCCGTCTCCGGAACTGAACTACAAGCGGACCCACAGCCAGGAGAGGATCTCCAACGGACATAGGGTCCTTAAAGCTGAGGTACGTATAAAGAGGTCCTACAGGTCCTATAGGCCCAGGGTACAGAATGATAATATAAAGGTTTCATGTGTTTTGGACCTAAAACCTGATATATAATAAGTATGTATTTTTCATATAATCTCAACACTGCCTAAATTTTAAGCAAGAAAAGAGACATACATATCATAAAAAGGTCCTATAGGGCCCAGGGTTCAGAATTATGAACATATATAGGTTTCATGTTTTTTAGACCTAAAACCTAATTTTTCCTCAGTATTTTCCACATAATTCCTGAACTACATAGCTTGACCTAAAGCAGGCAGACATACATACCAGAAAGAGGTCCTATAGTCCATCCAAAAATTATTAACATTTGTATATATTGGTATTTACATTCATATGTATATAGGTTTTATGTTGTTTGGACCTATAAGAACGGGTTTTTCTTGTGTATCCTATAAGTCCAGGGTCCCAAAATAATGAATATAATAGTCTTCATGATATTAGGACCCTTAACATCTGTATTTTCTTTAATATCTTGTGTGTTATTTCAGAACTAGCTAGACTTAAGACAGACATACATATAATAAAGTTCATCTATAGTCTAGGGTCCAAAAATAATGAATATAATAAAGTCTTCATATCATTAGGACCTTTAACACCTGGTTTTTCCTGAGTATGTCTGTCATATTTCCAGAACGAGCTGGAGTTCCACGTGGACCACTGCATGGACCTCATGAAGGCAGGCGTTGAGGCGATCATAGAAGACCAGGTGACCTCCGTGTTCGAGGCTGAGGAACTACGGAGCTGGAACCTACTCACTAGGACTAACAGGTATATAACTTCCTGGCAATTTCCCAGCTCTAGCCAGGGTCTGCCTTACATGTTGTGAATAGTTTTGGCTATTCGTTTTTACGACTGACCGCTTGACTCTTAGAAAGTACATATGACTCGGAAAAATCATATTGTTACTTGCCAGGATCGAACGAAAGGCCACATCTGATTAACAGGTCTATAACACTTTAGTAAAAGACTTGGGCCTGTACAGAACTAATATTAATACATTCTTGGAACGTACTTGGAAGGCAGATCTAGTAGGTTCGTTACAAATTTGGTAGAGAGAGGAGCTTGTACGGTGGAGATGAGCGTTTAACGTTATATAGGGGTCCCTTAAACCTACACCTGGGTCACAAGTCACAGTCACTGTTGAAGCTCCTCTCACTACAACGATGGACCCGACACACGCACCGTGAATACATGGAATGATGAGAGGCTTTATCAGTCAGTGATGTCTAAATACTCTTAAGTACATATGACTCAGAACAATCACATTGGTACTTGCCAGGTATCGAACCCGCGTGTGATGTGTTGTATTTTTCCAGACAGTACGAGTTCCTAACCTGGCGCCTCACCATTATCTGGGCGATGGGGTTCGTGGTGCGATACCTGTTCCTGTTACCACTAAGGATACTCATCTTCATCATCGGGGTGAGTAGCACCGGGTGGATGAACTAGTATATCAGATATAACAACAAATACACATATATATCAAATCTTTATATATATAATTCTTCTGTGAGTGTGTATGTCACTGAACTTCTCTCAAACGACTGGACCGATTTTTGATGAAAGCTCTCGTGTGTGTTCAATTGGATCTGGGAATGGTTAAGATTCACAATTTTGTCCGCTGGACAATGTTTTTTTAGTTAATTTTTAATTTATTAGTAGTTGTTGATACAAATGTTTTTTTTTTGACATTAGATTTGACAACTAACTAATATGTCTTAAAGGCAAACTCAAAAAATATAAATAAAAAAACGTAACAGATATTTCTTGATTATAGGGCGATACGAAGTTCACCGGGTCTTCAAGTATAATTATATTTATAATAAAATTATTTAGACCGTGAGAAGTTTTTTGTGTGTGATAGGACTATAGTGTGTGTGAGTCGTGGTTCGAACCCGCGACCCGTACTCCAATATCTTCCTGCAGGTTCTAGCGACCATAGCGTCGATGTCCGTCATCGGAGCCCTGCCTCGTTGTGGCGCGCGCTCCGCCATCGGCGCGGTGGCTTATAAGATGGCCATGAGGAGCCTCGTGCGGTGTGTCTCATGTGTTACAAACTTCCACGACGTACAGCACCGGCCGAGAAGAAACGGCTTCTGTGTGGCGAATCACACCAGTCCTATCGACGTGGCTGTACTTAGCGTGAACGATTGCTTCTCCCTGGTAGGAAGAAATGAAGAAAATACACGGGATATATATGTTTGTGATGTTCTTGTGTACGTTTTTGGAGATGCAGGTGTTCCAGCTCAAAGGGGAAATGTAAATTTATTCCGCTTGGGTAATATAAGTCGGGAATGCTAGCTCATCAGCATACACAGATCCTCCAGGTGTCCGCTTGGGTGTATGACGCGGGTGTCTCCCCAGGTGTGGTGGCTGCTCGCGTGCACGGCGGCGGTGGGCTGCCTGCCGGACGGGCGCGTCAAGCAGCGCGTCAACAGCTCGCTGTCCCTCATGTGCTTCAACTTCCTGTCCCGCTGCATCAGCGCGGTGGTGTCGTACCACAGCCCGGAGCTGCGCCCCCGCTCGGGCATCTGCGTGGCCAACCACACGAGCCCCATCGACGTGTTGGTGCTCATGTGTGACAGTCGCTACTCGCTGGTACTCATATACATTTATCATCCCCTCTCCTATCCTTTTCTTTCTCTCTCTCTCTATATATATATATATCTATCTCTTTCTCTTTCTTGCATGACTATGCTATATGTGACGTCCTCTTGGTATCTAAATGTGTTATGTTTATGTTATGTTTATATGTAGTGATAGTTTCTGAATGTTTTCTATGTGTATGTTAACTATATGTTGTGTGAAGTCTAAATGTGAGTAAACTCGGGGATTTTCTTATGTTTTATTTTATTTACTTACAATTGTTTTAAACAAGTTCAATGTTAAAGTGAGTTGTCAGATAATATTAAAGTTGTTTGTCTGTTTACTCTATATCAGCGTCGTAGCTCGACAATTTTTGATGAAATTTAGTTCCTACAAGTCACGGTAAGTCATCATCATCGACTGTGAGTGTAAGTCATAACTCACTGTTGGTTGTTCAGATCGGTCAGCGTCACGACGGGTTTCTCGGCATCCTGCAGCGAGCTCTGGCGCGCGCCTCGCCGCATATATGGTTCGAGAGGTCGGAGGTCAAGGACCGACACGCGGTCGCCAGGAGGTACGACCAGCCCCCTCAACACGCCCCGTCCCCGGCTCCTCCCACCACGCTCATTGTCAATTCCTTTCGTTTCCAGGCTGAAGGAGCACATCTCAGTTCCAGACAACCCGCCCATCCTGATCTTCCCCGAGGGCACGTGTATTAATAACACGTCCGTGATGCAGTTCAAGAAGGGCAGCTTCGAGGTTGGCGGCACCATCTACCCGGTCGCCATCAAGTAAGCCCGCCCGCCCCCCCTCCATTTTACATCTAGCCACGCCCACTCTGACGTCACGTTTCCACAGGTACGACCCCCGCTTCGGCGACGCGTTCTGGAACTCGTCCCGCTACGGCATGCTCCACTACTTACTGAACATGATGAGCTCGTGGGCGATCGTGTGCGACGTGTGGTACCTGCCGCCCATGACTAGGAACGACAACGAAACGGCCGTGGACTTCGCTAACAGGGTGAAGGGAGCCATCGCGAGGAGGGGCGGGCTCGTGGACCTCATGTGGTGAGGAGATGAGCAGAGATAAGGGGAGATGAGTAGAGATGAGGAGAGATGACTAACACACTGACTTACAGGGACGGGCAGCTGAAGAGGATGAAGGCGAAGAAGGAGTGGCGCGAACTACAGCAGGAGGAGTTCAGCAGACGACTGAAGGGAGAGTGACGTGGAACATGGACCCGTCTTGTAAATTACAATAAACAACTAAATGGATAAATAAATAAATAGTCAGCACGCACACCGTCGTGTACAAATATAATAATATCGGTCGTCTCAGCATTTATAACAAACACTGAAAATATTATAGCTTTAGTTGATGGAGCGACGGACATCAAATGTACCGTCACGAGACGTGATTGTGTAAATTACAATAAAATAATTTTAGATTTCTGTAAATTACAATAAATGGTACTAGATTTGTGTAAATTAAAATAAATTTTCTTAGATTTGTGTAAATTACAATGAACATAGTCTTTTCGGTGGGTTAGTTCGCTTTTACAAATATATTATAGTTTTGATATAAATAATGATCGTGTACATACTAGTGTCGCGCCCCGGGTGTGTCTGTCCTCTGTATATATTGTTCACGCGACGGGTCCGACGCGACCCCTGTACATACCTCGTCCGTTATATATTTATTTTATTTATTCATCACAATCGTAGGTCGTGTCGTGTCCGTCGCGCGGTCGTCAGCATTAAATGCGGGACGGTTTTATAGTAATGTTCTTGTATTATGTAGTAGAAGACCGGCCTCTTGTAGTAATGATAAGCTAATACTATAGCTAGGCTCCTCACACACTGGTCGTTGGAATAAACGTTTTATGAAAGGACTCGCGTTTTGTTTGTGAGATGTTTGTAAAGTTTGTATTGTTTTGTACTCATTAAATGAATTTACGTCTCTTCTTTGGGCTTTTATTTATCAATTTATCTTAAACTGTAAGTATCCGGCGAAAATTAACACTTATAAAGTAATTGGAACCTTTTCATGTGTTAATATTTGTTATAGGATATGCGAGGAGTGTATACAAATATGTATATATGTTTTCTATATTACGTGACTCACCAAGTTCATGACAAAATAATCAAATTTTAACCTAATTTTATATGAAAACAAGTTTCCTTTTATTTACCATTTAAGCGAAATACAGTTATATCTTACTTAATAAAATTATAATTTAATAAGATATATAATTTATTACCTATTATAAATAAATACTTTGTTATTTTAATTAATATGTTTTTACTTACTAATCTGGCATTTCTGACATCTGTTAACATTTTTGACATGAATGTGACAGCGCGGGAATATTTTGACGTATTAAGAGAAAACTTTCGTATAAAAAATGTAACTAATTTTTTAAATAATTTTGTTCTAAACGACAAGTTTTTGATTGATTTGAATATAAATAATGTTATATTTTAAGGTAAATTTATAGATTCTTTATATTTTACGATAACTCAAGTTCAACTTCTTAAAATCTGTCACGTTAAGTTCGTAATATTAACCAGTTTCGGGTATTCAAGTAAGTAAGTCAATGAGGGTTTGTTTTGAGGCTAGACTAAGAAATTAATTGTTGATTTATATTGTTTTGCTTTCTTAACGTGTTCACTAAAAATGCCTAAACGAAAGAAAACACAAAATAAATACTAATAATACTTAAACACCAAGCAAAGCTCGGTAACTGATGATGATAAGGACTACTAGTTATTAATATGACCAGCTTTGACAGAACCAGGAAAAGAGGATTTAATGAATAAAACAAATATATTTAACGTGTTATTATAATCTGTATATAATTAATAGAAGGAATGTTGGTGTTTAGAACTCATCGTTCTCAAAAGGATGGTGTTTGTGGCCGAGGGATCTGAAACATTGAGAATAATTGAAATATATTGAAGTTTATAAGAATTATAGTAACTTTTTCAATATTATATTATTTCCCCATTATATATATACAAATATTCTTTCTTTTCATTGTACCTATACCAATTTCTTTTCTCATATCATCTATCAAAAGGATTTCTGGTTGAGATCTCTTTTAAATCATTCTTTGTGCATCAAATTTCTTTTATAATGTAACTACTACTTTTAATATATCCCTACTAATATTATAAATGCGAAAGTAACTCTGTTTGTCTGTCTGTATGTCTGTTACGCTTTCACGCTTAAACCACTGAACTGATTTTAATGAAATTTGGTACAGACATAGAGTTGTCCTTGAGAAAGAACATACGATAGTATTTATCCCAGACTTTTGAAAGGTTCTTTTGGAAACGCGATATAACCGAACTCCACGCGGGCGAAGCTGCGGGCGGAAAGCTAATCACAACCACTTATTAATCAATACTCACGCGGTCATGGGCACGAAGCGTCCGTTACAATCGAACGAGTCAATTAGTTCCAAATCTTCTTTGGACAGCTGGAAGTCTAGTACTGAGAAGTTGGACTCAATACGAGAACGAGTGACGGACTTGGGAACCACGATGTTACCGCGCTCCAACTGATACCTGGAAAAAAAATAGTAAGGATATAATATTGATGGGACTAGGAGGAAAAAAATGATCTTAGTGATAGTAAAGTGACGTGATTATGACGTTTTACTGGCGATAATTTTGAAATTGGTGGTCAGATATAATTTATTTGCTAAAATCCACATAAAAAACTTGACTATTAAGCAAAAAACCTCTAGTCAATCGTAAATTCAGTAGCCGAGATCATCTCTATAGACGAATGACTTGTTGAAAATACAGCTTTCTAGGAAAACTTACTAGGAAATCATATTTACAATACTCCACTAGAGTAAAGCAATATAAAAATAGATTTTGTCTTAAATAACAGAGAATACACAAATATCAATATTCCTGAATTAAATTTTTGGACGTCAATACTTATACGACTCTATCAGTAAGGGAATCTAAAATATATTTTGTTCTTAAATAACACAGAATATTAAAATTGAGTCAAGTAATCACAGCGTTTTTTTGGATATAGGTTATAGTTTAAGGCGATAAAATTATAATTTGTGGCTAATATGTATAGCAGATGACTTTGGCTTTCAAAAAAAATCTATAGTCAATATACAGGGTGACTGGTGAATTACTATCGATATTTAAGGACGTGATATTTGACGATCATATATGACAAAATAAAAATTAATATAACATAAATATTAATAAACTTCTAAGTAAAGTTAACCAAAAGTTATGTAATTAATTACGCATCGTATGAACACCCTACAGATTAGGTATACACACACACTCACACAGACGCGGCGGCGGCGTAGTGTTGTATCAGCACGCCGCCGCACGCGTCCACACTTGGAACACTTGGAACGTGTACACACTTTATTTATTTATACGGAAATTTGATCAAAAATTAAGTATCTATTTTTTTTAACATAATTCGAATGAGAATCATGTACCGAGTATACTCCTTAAATATTGATAGTAATTCACCAGTCACCCTGTATATCTCTATTGATGAATGACCCGAGTTGACAATTACTACTATTCTTAATAAAACTTGTTAATATAATGTTTCCACGATTTAAACAGATTTTTGGACTTAAATAGCAAAAACTCCACTAAATTTCTACCTCACCTGAATCCTACTTAAACGACTATAAAAGTTAGGGAATCTAAAATATATTTTGGATTTAAATACCACAGAATACACCATCATTCCTCACCTAATCAATACTTGCGCCACGGTTCTGCCGAGTCTGTCCGCAATAGCTTTCAGTCGAGCATCGTCCAATAGTCGAGGCTCATCGGGCTTCGCCCACGGCCTATCAGGGGAACCCAGCGGGGAATACGCCGCTAGCATCACTCCCCGGGAGGAGCAGAACTCCTTCAACTTCCTCTGAATCAAGTATGGGTGGCATTCCACTTGATTGACCACGGGTTTGATGCTCGCGATTTCCAGAACTCGGTCTAGCTGACGCGAGTTAAAGTTGGAAACTCCCAGGCTTTTAACCAGACCCTCAGCCTGCAGCGGTTCCAGAGCTTTCCAGGTGTCAACGTAGTCTACGTCAGAGAACTGAATCTTGCCGTTCTCATCCGCTGGGAATAATTCTCCATCCTCCTGCAAGGTGATTTAGAAATGCTGAATTAAACCCTACTAGTTTTTGCCCGCGACTTCATCTGCCTTACTTTCTGTGGTGTATCACCTCTTTATTAATTTAGTTATTGCCGCTAGGCCGGTGAGATTCTTAAGAATAATGTGTCAACATTATGTATGGCATTAATAAAATAATGGAAATATAGACAACAATGTAATTAATTTATTTATATTTAACACTTTCAAAATTAGGTTTATAACTCTATTCCTCCTTAAAGATAGTAAATATGAAGATATTTTAAAAGTATCCTATGTGCTTTCTATGTTCTAATCTATCTCTCCACCAATCTTCATCCATATCCGTACAGTCGTTAGAGTTATATATAGTGTAACTAACATGACTTTCTATATATAAGGATATTATTAAATTCTTTTATTCATCAGATTATTATACAACTTCTTAATATATTAATGTGTTCCGTCTATCTATAAGCTTCTCATATTTACCTTATATGCTTGAGGCCAGTGTATGAGGTAGAGGTCCAAGTATTCCAAGTTGAGGTTCTGCAGACTCTTCATGAGAGCTCCTCGCACTAGGTCCGGTCGGTGGAAAGTGTTCCATAACTTGGACGTTATGAACAGATCCTCTCTAGAAAAAAAAGGAATTTCTTTACAAATATAAATATTTTCTACCACAACTTTAATATTTCAGCCAGTGTTTGCCTTACAAGTTGGGAATAGTTTTGGCTTATTGGTTTTACGACCAGCCGCCTGCCTGACATCCCTCTTTGGGAATGCATTAATCAGTGATGTCTAAATATTACTCTTAGAAAGTACATATGACTGGGAAAATCACATTGGTACTTGCCAGGATCGAACCCGCGCCCCCATCCATGAGAGGCGGGCCTTAACCACTAGGCCACCACTGACTTTTCTATATGTATACTGAAATCTAAAATATTTCTTGCAAGACTAGCATAATGTATTTATAAACCTCAGTTCTGGTCTTGGAGAAATGTCCAAAAAATCCATAAAAAATAATATTATTCATGTAACATGATTGATACTTGAATGAAGAGGCCTTACAGAAATCTTTTCTTCACACTAAAAGACATAAGATGTAACTATAGGTTTTAACTTCAGGAACTGATATTTAGAAAGAAAGTAAGAAGTAATGTTGTTGAAAGAATTTCAACATTTTGACCAAAGGAAGATCATTCACTAGCCCTAATGGCCAGAATACTAACTAATACCCTGACCCTTACAATAATAACCCAATATAATACGCCAGACATAAGCTGAGCTTTGTATTTGTGTGAGTGCACACGGATAGTGTACGTGTGATGTCAAATTATTAAATACCACGTTCTTTTCTAGTTTTGATCCGGTTTATTCTGCTTTTACTCCGCCCCGCACCTTCCTCATTTCACCTTTTGTACGGATAGCAACATCAAATGTTGAAAACGCAATGTCAAGTGAAGAAAAATTTTGCATAGTTTTTTAAAATCTTTTATTAATTAATTTTTTTTTCCATAATATTCATAATATTTTCATCTATCCTTTCACAAGTCTTGTTTATTTTATTTTTAAACTAGAATAGATCTAGCACTTTTGTTATATATGTATTTAAAATGTAATTCTAAAACTTTTTTGTCTAACTCTACTTTACTTTCACTCACACAAATGCTAAGCTCAGCTTAAGTCTAAAAGACTATACTTAAGTCCAATTCTCCTATCAAACTATCAAAACCACCTATAAACTATATCCAGTCTCACCTTTTAACAACTCCTTCTTTAATCTTCTCAGTGATAGCATCTCCAACCTCCTTTTCATTTCCGTACACGAACGCACAGTCAATGTGTCTGTAGCCGATGTCGATGGCATCCTTCACCGCCTGACTCACTTCACCTGGCTTGGACTAGAGACAGAAGAATAATTAGGACTTCGCCCCCATCATGAATATAATATAAAGGTATATAGCTATATAATTATTATATGTAATTCAATTTAAATACCAGGATGAACTAATGAATAACAAAAATGTTCAAGAAAACAAACTTGAGAGCTATATTTATTTAAATATATGAATTTATATGGACTAATAACATTTCATATATAAAGTAATAGGCAATGGTAAATAATTAATAAAAAAACGTGAAATAAAAAAACTAGGCCTCTTATTATACTACAATTATCCCCACTAATATTATAAGTGCGAAAGTAACTCTGTCTCCCTGTCTGTTAAGCTTTCACGCCTAAACCACTGAACTGATTTTAATGAATTTTGGTACAGAGATAGAGTTGACCTTCAGAAAGAAAATAAGATAGTTTTTATCCCAGACTTTTGAAAGGTTCTCTTGGAAACGCGATATAACCGACCTCCACGCGGGCGAAGCTGTGGGCGGAAAGCAAGTAATATATAAAATGTAATACAAGCATACTATCTAATATATACATTTTACTTCTGTCTGTTTGTTCTGGCTAATCTCTCAAATGGTGCGACAAATTTTGATGCAACTTTCGCTGGCAGATAGCTTATAAAATAGAATATAACTCGGGATATATTTTATATCTTTTATATATATTTAGAATAAACAAATTACCTATTCCGCTTCCAATGACTTGTACAAGTATATAATACTTAGTATCAGTGACTTTCTGTAGTTTATGGATATAAGATTAGTTATATCTTTATTAGTATATAGATTTAAACAGATAAAGATGAGAAAATCTTCCGCAGATATAGATGAATATACTCATTTAAATAAATACCTACTTTATTGATGAAGCAACAATTGTTAGAAGTATCGCCAACTGTGCTATAATAGCAATTATTTTATGACCGATTATAATTAATAATAAATTAATCTAATTAGCAAAATTTAAGTTAAGTAAAAATATAAATAGCTATAATAATTATTATACTGAATGTATGTTAATATTGAAATAGTGGGTATTTGAAAGCTGTAAATACTGTCTTCTGCTATTTTGTAAGATTACTATAATTAACGTCGATTATTACGATTCAAGATTGTATTTTACCTCCAACAAAATTTGATTAATGCCTCTCAAATATAAAGTTAAAAAACTTATCTAAAATTGACATTATCAATTGTACTCAGATAATGACGATCCCTACATTAAAACCGGCACTTTGTGTTGTAAATTTTATCTTAAGTACTACCGTCAATATGAGACGAATATCTTAATTTTAATACATTTTCTTATTTTATCAAAAAAATATATATAAAATGAAGATAACGCGGATATTTTGACAACATTTTATGTGAAGATTATGTGTTAAAGGTTAAACTATTTGTTCACATGTGATATATATGTGTATAGATAGATATATTTTAATATTTACTCGCCTTCCAAGTACCCAGCCCTATCATGGGACAGGTCAATCCATTGGAGAACTTTACTACAGGCGATAACATTTTTAATGTATTAAATATTTAAATTTATTACTTTATTTAAACGTACAACTTTTTTTACGAAGTTGAAAATTAATTGATAGTAATTGACAATTGTTTGTTTTAATAATTGACACATCAGATATGACAATGATAACACATTGTACAGACATCTGTATTTTTATGAATTTTTTATTGAATTATATTAATATAAATTCATATATATTAAATAATAAATTAATTTATAAAACTATTACTTATAATTTAACTAAAAAATAAACAATATTTTTTTAATAATTATATTCTTTCAAATAAAATATTATAAATTGATATATAGTTAATAATAATAATAAATCAAGAATATTACCTTCCAAGTGCCCAGTCCCAGTTGTGGGCATTTCCTTCCATCACTGAACTTAACGATAATATTTTTGGACGCCATGTCTATGTGATGTCACTACCGTCGACCGTGTAACACTAGGCGGGAAACGCAACGCTCCATAATTTATGTGTTCTCCTCAAGGTCCTCTTAACTTTATCAGTATTTATAACTTACGAGTGTACATTGATAGTAAAACAATTGTAATTATTATAATCGTGAGAAGTTCTGAGTGATAGGTTGATTTCACAATATATGAAGTCATCAATAAGATTTGGCGCGATCGTACACAATTTGCATAATACCGTATGATTTATATTCATTATTAGTAAAACTGTTAAAATACCAACAAGGAAAAATGTTAATATTAAAAGTAATCGACGTCAATGATAAAAAAAATTAAACAAAACAAATAAAGGTCAAAAGACATCTCAGTGGAAGCTTTTGACAAATTGCTGTAATTTTTTTGTGTTTAACAGGAAAAATGTGTTGCTTTATGATATAAAATGGACTTAATATAAATAATATGGTAGATCTGATTACTGTAGAATTGATACGCTCTTGTAAAGTACTAAGGTAAGGTACTCCTGGACAGCCGTCAATACTCGCGTCGTCACGATAGGGTTCTAGAAATGTTTGAATGTTATGCTGAAGCTGAAGGTTCTTTGGGAAACCTACATCTTCAAAGACCATGCCATCAAGGTCAATAAATATTACGAGCTCACTAACGAACTCATTATGAATCTCCCGTCTTGAATTTATACGCGGTAGAGGTGGGAGCGAGAGGTATAACAGCTAAATCTCTCTACAACCAACTGAAAGACTTGGGCTTTTCCAGAACTAACATTAATACATTGTTGGAACGTATCAAATCAATATATTTATCAAAGTTTCCGTGGTAAACCTACATGGAAATATTTCTGTTGTTCATTCATTAATCTTCTTCTACCTGGCAATTTCCCAGCTATAGCCAGGGTCTGCCTTACATGTTTGTAAATAGTTTTGGCTATTTGTTTTTACGACCGGCCGCCTGCCTGACACCAACCCTCTTTTTGGGAATCAACATTACCTAATCAGTGATGTCTAAATAGTCTTAGAAAGTACATATGACTAGGAAAAATCACATTGGTACTTGCCCGGGCCAGGATCGAACCCGCGCCCTCGACAAAGAGAGGCCCTTTAACCACTAGGCCACCACTGACTATGTAATATAAGTTGTTCATTCATTAATCTTCTCGCATGTAAACGATGAATGAGATACAGAGAACGCGTCGTATGCTGTGTCACGAAGACAACTTGTCGTAACTATATTAAATCCTCTCTGCCATATCGGAGTTATAGGTTTTAAATAATGTAATATATAATGTAGTAAATAGTTCTTGAACCTTCCAGCTTTAAAATACACTAGCTTCCCGCCCGCAGCTTCGCCCGCGTGGAGTTCGGTTATATCGCGTTCCCAAGAGAACCTTTCAAAAGCCTGGGATAAAAACTATCCTATGTTCTTTCTCAAGGTCAAATCTATCTCTGAACCAAATGTCATTAAAATCAGTTCAGTGGTTTAAGCGTGAAAGAGTAACAGACAGACAGAGTTACTTTAGCATTTATAATATTAGTAGGGATGTCGGACTTAGTGTCTCCCTCGTAGGTTTTGCAGAGTATGACGTCAGCATTTCTGACGTCACAATAGCTTAAGTACTTATCGTCAGGCTATTAAAAGTAACCTCTTAGACGGTTTGACGAATCCTAAGACGAATTTTACTTCGAAAAGGTAAGATCCCCACAAAGTCTCGAGTGAGGCTGCCTGTAATCTTTATTTTTTGTTTCGGTTTGACTAGCTGTTAGCTTTACTAGCTTTGACAGCGTCATCGAGAGGGTTGGAGGGCTCGATGGGACCAACCCCATTTTAATTCAGACCCCAAGGGCCCGACAAGGGATAATGTACTCTCGCCTCTATCTATACCAACCAACACTTATTGGTGACTACTAGGAGGTTGTACGGGAGACACCTGATAATTTTATTATATTTATTTATTGATTATTCAAATAATAGTAATTGTGCCTATTAGCTCTGATATTTTCATATAAAAAGTGTTACTGACTGTATAAAATTGAAAACAATAGGTTTTTTTAATGATTTAATCTTGTCATTTATAAATTGAGATGATAAAGACTGATGGTCAAGGCCAGTGTTGCCAGCTTAAAGTATTTATATATAAAATACATATATGTTTATGTCAGAAACACTACAACATAGCTGTGGTCAAGTTACTACAGCTCGAACATGGTCTGTCTCGACCGGTGAAGTACCACCCTGTCACAGAAGATCAGCGTGAAGTAGTCTTTAATGACTGCGTTTAGTATGATGAGTGAGAGAGACGGTTGCCCTATCCTTTTCCCACCCTTTCTTCTCTCTCACACACACACACACAAGGTCGGCAACGCATAGCCAACATTTCTTATGTTACAGATGTCTATGGTAAACAGTGACTACCTGACTACCTTCCATTAAGACCATCTGCTAGTTTGACACTTTTGATATAAAAAAAAATACAGAAACAGATATAGACATGTGACCGAACATGTATGTAAACTAGTACATATAACAATTATACACAAAATAATAACTGTACGTAAAGTCAGGAAACATAAGTAGTCATAATGAAGTCTTATTTACATTATCAAAAATCAAGTATAGTCCGTTAAACTTAAGCTGAGCTTTGCATTTGTGTGAGTGAAAGTAAAAGTAGAGATAGACAAAAAACTTTTACAATTCAATTTTATTATATTTTAAATACATACACTCTCTAAACCTCTAAAAAGCCTGATTACCTTCTCCAAAAAATCAAATAAGCACGAGAAGGTAAGAAATATGGAATAAGAGGTTCAGTCTATCGGATCTCCGTACCGAGGCATAATTCCGCGGTAGTTTCAGCTACGCCTCTAGCAAATTTTGGAATATCATACCTCCCCCATTACAAAATTCGCAATCATTATTTAATTTTAAAGTGAAGATTAGAGCATATTTGTTAGAAAGACAAAAAAGCGTTATCTAGAGGCGAAAACTATGGTATGTATGTCTAGTTAAACTTTCAAATATCACTTTTAGCAAAGACTTGATTCTACAATCTAGACCAACTACTTATTTATTTGTGTATTTATTTTATTTTCCCTTAGGTAAAAACCTTTAATAGATGCTGTACCGCTACTGGTCCAAAACATAAACAGGTAAAACATAAACAGGTGGCAACTGAAAACCAGCGCTGTAATAAATCCAAATTTAATGCAGCAGTACGCTGAGTTGCAGCCTTTTTTGGTTAAAACACCTCAATTCTGTCTCCAGTAACTCGATAAGATTAACAATAACTTTAATTTTAAAAATGGTGGTGGCTTTTCATCTTATTATTATTTTTAATGTTTTACCTTTTTCTTAATTAAGAATTTCTATGAAATACTTATGTAAGACGTTTGCTTATATCGTAATTTTGTAAGAACATATCCTTTTTTTTTTTTTGTGTTCACTGTTACTTTTTTATATATTTATTCTTTGTAATGGTGTTTTTAACTCAAATAAATTATTTATTATTATTATACATAACATAAGTGGGATAATTATTCTAGATTTAAAATAAAATAAGCAAAAATTGTAAAGGCCAGATGGAAATATTATGGAAAAAAAATATTAATTCATAATTTTTTTGAAAAAACTACAAATTCTTCACTTGACATTGCGTTTTTAAAATTTAACGTTGCTATCAGTACAAAGGGTGAAGTGAGGAAGGTGCGGGGCGGAGTAAAAGCGGAATAAACCGGTTCAAACATAGAAAAGAACGTGGCATTCAATAATTTGACATCACACCTACACTATCCGTGTGCCCTCACACAAATGCAGAGCTCAGCTTAAATCAAACGCACTATAAAATTTGTTAGTATAATTAAAAACTTATAAAACTCTTTTATAGTTATCTACTGCATCCCATAGATATGTTGAAGATATGAGGAACAAATAATAATACTGTAATATTACAATAATTTATTGAAATATAAAAAAAATATCCCACAACAAGGACTTGTGTGGCGACGCGAGACAACCGCTGATACCGACATATATATACTTTGGAATGTACTACAAATTGTTCATATATTAAACAAGAAAAATAGTTTTTAATTGTATTTATAACTCAAGAAAACCAAATAGTTATTGCAGTATAAAATATATGAATTAGCTGGCATCGAACCTACTACCTATGGTCTTATTACAGCCTCTTTTCCATCTACACCATCGCGTCTTTACCATTCTATACTCTTGTCCCCGGTATCAGCTTATAGTACATATATTAAATAAATTATCATTTTTAAACTAATCTCATTTTGATGTAATTTCGTTTACGGAATATTTACATCTTTTTTTCATGATATTAATTTTTTTTATATTTAAGTTAAATTCAAGCTATCAAGCCATGTTCAAGCTGCGAGACTTAACTAACGAAAAAGTTGCATCATTATCGATTTATCATTTCTATAATAGTTTTTAAGCATTCAACTAGAGAAGACAAAAAAATTGTACGATTTTTATACATTGTGTAATACTTAGTTCTTTATCGTAACCTTAGTACAAGTATTTCACACTAAATACTTTCAGTTTTACAGTTGTGAAAAACTGTTAACGATCGGACTTGTAGTTAACTTTTTCTCATAAATTTGAGTACATAGAGTTAATAATATTAGAGTTTACATAATACAAACACTTCTTGCGCTTACAAGATCTATATTAAATAAATGAGGGTAGACGATTAAAATAAATAATTGATTAAGACACATATATTATAATATTAAGTATTTATGAGTGCACAACCAAAAACAATATTCGATCAAAATTATCAAAAGTCCCGTTGTATGTGAAAGGTCATTGACCTCTGTTATATATTCGTCTACCCTCACTACATGTTGTGTTATAGTAAGCCTAGAACGTCTTCCTATGCACGGCCCGGTGTCCCTCCTCTTCGTACTCCTTCTTGGACACCCACATCTTCCTAAAGGTGTCCAGGGACGCGAGGATCGAGCCACCTATCCAGGTGGAGTATAATCGCTCTTGGGGAGCAGAGATCTGGAAAACGATACACTTGGTGGGTGGAAAACTTTGAAATAATACACTTGTTGGGTGAAAATATTGTAAAACGATACACTTTTTGGGTGAAAAACTTCGGGATGATACACTTGTAGTGAATATTGAGACAGTGAACTGATTTTGATAAAACATTCGTGTAATCCCTACTAATATTATAAATGCGAAAGTAACTCTGTCCGTCTGTCTGTTCACGCCTAAACGACCAAACCATCAAACAAAAATTATTGTTTTACCAACAAAAGCTTGTCGAAACATGAATGAATTACATACTATAAATGAAGAGTTATATATTGGTAGAGACTTTATATAAAGGTTCTGGGATGACAGAATTCATTAATTAGTGGTAAGTATATATACTTCCTCTTAAAAGTTGAAACTGTTCCCAATGTAAAGATATATTTTATATTGATTCTTATAGAAAACTAGCTTTCCGCCCGCGTGGAGTTCGTTTATATCGCGTTTCCAAGAGAACCTTTCAAAAGTCTGAGATAAAAACTATCCTCTGTTCTTTCTCAAGGTCAACTCTATATCTGTACCAAATTTCATTAAAATCAGTTCAGTAGTTTAGTCGGGAAAGCTTAACAGACAGAGAGACAGAGTTACTTTTGCATTTATAATATTAGTAGGAATTCAAGAGGATGTCGAAGTTCAGTGATCGTTGAAACATCGTGAGGAAACCTGGACTTATATCAGATTATAAGTTTGAAATCACCAACCCGTGTTGAGCGAGCGTGGTGATTAATGCTCAAACCTTCTCCATGTAAGGAGAGGCCTTACAGCAGTGGGCTCTGATAGGATGATAATGATGAAACGTAATTCGTTATATATGTGTAGCACTATATATAGTTTCTATCAAGTACTACATATCTCACCCTGATCTTCATGTCTTTGGGCGCGAGTCGTCTAATCTCCGCCAGCAGTCTGTCTCCAAAGCCCCTCAGCAGCGTGGAGCCTCCGGACAGCACTATGTTCTGATGCAGCACCTTCCGTAGGTCCATGTCCGACTTCTGGATAGCGAACATCAGAACTTCGTGAAGACCTGCAAGATGAAAAGCTTTAGTTTACAAGAACTAGAAAGAAAGTAAAAAAAAATGTTTTATTTGGGAACAGCACTAACATAAACAGAAATAAAATAACAAAACAATTAAATAATATCTAATGAAGATTACAGAACAGAAGGTATAGATAAATCAAAAAAAAATGCTGCCTACACATCAGTATGATGTCACAAAAAGGAGAGTCACTCAGCATATGCTGTGGTTTTAGGAATTCCACACACAGAGGGAAAAATAATAATAATAATAAATTAGAGGTTTAATTAAACTCACCTTCACACTCCGCTCCTATGAGGTCCGGACGGAAAAGAACTTCTGGCGCTCGGAAACGAGTTGGACCGATCTGAAATATAAGAAAATCAAACTAATTATCACATTACTAAGTATTTCACACCTCGTCTTAATAATTACTGTTGCAAAGTAACCAAAACGTCGGGAGTATGTAGTAAAAATAATAAAATACGAGGTATTTAAATGAAAACTCGTGAAAATCTTAGGTCTTATTATACTCTCAATATTTTACTGACAGTAACAGTTGTTACAAATCTGAATACCAATATATGATGAAGGGTGAAGGAATTAATGATAGAATGACTTAGAAGACCAGTACATCTTCTTCTATCCTGCATTTTCCCAGCTTTAGCCAGGGTCTGCCTTACATGTTGTGAATAGTTTTGGCTAATTGTTTTTTACGACCGGCCGCCTGCCTGACATCAACCCGCTTTGGGGAGCAGAATTAATCAGTGATGTCTAAATACTCTTAGAAAGTACATACGATTCGGAAAAATCACATTGGTACTTGCCCGGGCCAGGATCGAACCCGCGCCCTCGGCAATTAGAGGCGGGCCCTCTAATTATTAGGCCACCACTGACTTAAGAAAAAAAAACCAGTAGAGAACCAGTACATCATTACTACTAAAGACTAATAGTAGTTTAAAAACCTCAAGAATCCATTATAATTAACACTTCTAAAGAAATAAATGATTTATACATATGCCACGACAACTTGGTACAATTTAGGCAAAAATTTTGGCCTTTTTAAAATAATATATTAATAATGCATGCACTATTACAATTATAATTTGAATTAAACTTGGATCTGTTTGTCATGAATTAATTAATGATATTTCTTATAGACATTTATGAATATTCATATATGTACATATAATATATATTTTCTTCTTGATTGGTTTTAGTATTACCCATAATGAATTTTTTTTAAATAACTATAATAAAATAAAATATATTTTTTATATTAATTTTGTGATATTTTGAAACTTTGTGTTATATTGAAATGTTAAATTGTATTTTCTGTAATAATGTTATTAGTTATGTCAATGTTATTGATTATTATGTAATGTTTTATTGAATTTATTATTATTGTTTTTAATTTAAATCTTGATTTACTACAATTATTATATTTTGCATGATGTAATAGCCTTATAATTAAAAGGACATTTAAGTTATTGTTAATAGTTTGATAATGTAATGAATGTAATAATGTTTTCTTTTGTTGGTTATCCAAATAAATAAATAAATAAATAAATAATTCCTGGCAATGCTATTAAAAACCAATCTCAATGAAAAATATACAGAACATATATATAATTACAATTATTGTTAAAATAGAAGTCATTCTGTTCAAAAATGCTATGCCAAATGATACTAATTTTTGTGATTTCCGAACGGAGGGTAGTTTGAAAATGATACAAAATTCAATCAGTGTGCTTTAGACCACACGAATGAGGTAAAATTTCTTTGACTCCATTATCATGATGATCCATGAACCGTAACTCTATCTATCGTCACTAATTTACTACCTTCTAACTTTCGTTCGCCTCAACCGATCACACTTTTCGTAACGCTTTCACCATTTAACCCCTAATCATGTAAAGAGGTTTAACTTCAATAATAACAATCACCTCTAGCTGTTGAAGTCAGTGGTGGCCTAGTGGTTAAAAGGCCCGCCTCTCATGCATGAGGGCGCGGGTTCGATCCTGGCAAGCATCAATGTGATTTTTCCAGTCATATATACTTTGTAAGAGTATTTAGACATCACTGATTAATGCATTCCCAAACAGGATTGATGTCAGGCAGGCGGCTGGTCGTAGAAACAATTAGCCAAAACTGTTCACAACATGTGAAGCAGACCCTGGCTTAAGCTGGGTAATATCCAGGTAGAAGAAGAATGACAATCACCTCTAGCTGTGTTCCGTCCGGCAGTGTGTACTGCGCCTTCTCCGGGTCCAAGGCTTCTTCTTTAAGAGGGTTGGGTGACAAGTAACACGCGCGCTCCTTAATAGACTTCACGATCTCCAATTCAGCTGATGTCTCCAGATTTACACCTTCCTTACGAAGAAGCAACCTGACATACGAAACACATTGAATATTCAAGGATAGGACAATAAATTAGATCTTACCAGGTCAAGATACTAATATATTTTATTCAATAAAAGTGTAATAAGAAAATGAGACAAAACTTCTATCGTTCAATGTATTCACGGTGCGTGTGTCGGGTCCATCGTTGTAGTGAGAGGAGCTTCAACAGTGACTGGGACTTGTGACCCAGGTGTAGGTTTAATATATATAGAGAGACGAAACCTCTCATCATTCAATGTATTCACGGTGCGTGTGTCGGGTCCATCGTTGTAGTGAGAGGAGCTTCAACAGTGACTGGGACTTGTGACCCAGGTGTAGGTTTAAGGGACCCTATCTAACGCGTTAAACGCTCACCTCCATCGTACAAGCTCCTCTCTCTATCAAATTTTAAACGAACCTACTAGGGCTGTCTTCGAAGTACGTTCCAAGAATGTATTAATGTGAGTTCTGGACAGGCCCAAGACTTTTAGTAGGTTATACAGAGATTTAGTTGTTATACCTCTCGCTCCCACCTCTACCGTACAAATCCACGACGAACCTATTTCGAGTTAGTTCTGAAGTGTAATAAATATAGTGTGTATGCTATATTATAGAATTAAGTCTAGTGTAAAGTCTCCTTTATAAAACATCTCATGTATACATCCAAATATGGTGGACCGCCCATTGGCCCAAGCTTTCTTTATGTTATGTTAAAATCTTCTAATATTATTAAATACAACTTAAAGCTACAAAGACCGTTCTTTTCAAACCCAGTAATTAACCACATTAGAGTTCGTTAGTGAGCTCGTAATATTTATTGACCTTCATGGATATCTTTGGGGATGTTTTTCCAAGGGACCGTAAGCTCTATAAGTACCATATATATTCTAAACTACCCTCCACCTAAAACAGTCTCACCTTAAATATCTGGTGACATCTCTCCCGGCCACATCCACCCTCATGATGCTGTGAGGCATGGCGAACCCTTCGTATATGGGCACCGAGTGGGTCACTCCATCTCCAGAATCTAGCACTACACCTGTTGTTCTTCCAGTCGCGTATCTGACACACACATACATATAAATAAACAATTTGCACTATATATATATCAGCTTGTTACACACATATTAGAAAACTAGCTGCGCCCCGCGGTGTTACCCGCGGATTTCCGGAATGTAAAGTAGCCTATAGGTTATTCCTGGACTTCAGCTTCCTGTATACAAAATTTTATCAAAATCGGTTCGGCCGTTTGAGCGTGAAGTAACAAACATACACACACACTCACAAACTTTCGCATTAATAATATTAGTAGGATAAATAGACATCGCCGAGGCGACATCGTTGTATGTATAATATATAACTCTTGACGCCGCTGACTCCGCGGAACGAACACCAAGCGTGTGAACCAGAAGATTCCTGATACACACAAGCTATGGAATGGTATTGCTATCCTAACATCGGGTCAATCATGTAGTCTTAGGTGTAGGTTATAATTTTTAATATGTAGTTCATATTATAATATACATATAAGTTTAGTAGTTTTCGTTAAATGTGACATATTTCTTAGATATTATTTCAAATAATTATATAAAGTAATTTAATAGCAACTCCAATGAGAAATGATGTCCGAGGAAAAATTCTGGTGAGCAGTTCCACAAATGAATGATCATGAACAGTATAAAAGAGTACATATACAGGGTGACTGGTGAATTACTATCGATACTTGAGGACATGATATTTGACGATCATATATGACAAAATAAAAATTAATATAACATAAATATTAATAAACTTCTAAGTAAAGTTAACCAAAAGTTATGTAATTAATTACGCATCGTGTGAACACCCTACATACCCTGGCGGCGTGTTGTTGTATCAGCACGTCGCCGCACGCGTCCACACTTGGAACACTTGGAACGTGTGCACACTTTAATTCACCAGTCACCCTGTATATGTTAATACTTATAAATCTTTTCATCTTAAAATATTAATTCTGTCAACTCACAAGCTGAGCACCGCCTGCATTGATAGAAACAGAGCCGGTACATTGAAACTCTCAAAGAAAACTTCAGCCGTCTTCTCTCTATTACGACGAGGATTGATCGGAGCCTCTGTTAACAACACGGGGTGCTCCTCGGAGAATGTTGATAATTGGTCCTGAAATAAATACAAATAAAAGTTTAAGACTTCTGTCCAAATTGCGGGGCTTGGTTTATTGTGGCCCATAGAATCTATTTTATATGTCGGCGCAGTTACCATTTTAATAATCAATAATTGAGGGTAGATAAATTGTGAGGTGTCGCTCACGTGACAACCTGTGCAAGTGAAGTCATAACAATGGCTGTTAGTCATTATAAATAGAGGCGAGTTACTGATTACAGATAGTCGTGCTGGAGCCGTCGCGGGGATCGAACCTCTTGGAAGTGAAACACCGTCCCACCGGCTGTGAGGGCTGTGAGGTTACCTTCGATAGCCTCAAGGGCTGACGACATTCGAGAACAAACCGCGCTGGTGACGTCAGTTATGCTGACGTCACTCATTTTAAAAACCACGTTTTGGCATCTTCTCCGACATCAGAAGTGGGATCGTTCACTTCTGCTCGTCCATCTGATAATAATGGAATTTTTCTTCAATGTTTCAGAGCCCCTGTGGACCACGGACAAAAAGTCCTAAACCACAGCATCGACCTACCTCCATCCCTTAGAGCCTCTGTGGACCACGGCGTACAAGACCGCCCAGACCACAGCAACATCCTAAAAATTAAAATCCTTTGTGGAACCATCAGAAGTCAAGTGTACACCACAGATCTGGAGTGTTACCTCTGAGCTAATCACGTGTTACCCTCAAGCTAACCTCGTGTCCATGATGTATCCATATGAGAACCATGAGATTCTGTAGGGATGCCTTGTGAAGCCGTGAGGAGACATGTATGCACCAAAGAGTGATACCTCTGAGCTAATTACGTGCTATCCTTGAGCTAACCACAGGTCCTTGATGTATCCGTAAGAGAACCATGAGATAACGAGGGGACGCCTTGTGGAACCGTGAGGAGACATGTATACACCGTAGATCTGGAGAGTGTTACATCTTTGAACTAATCATGTGCTGCCCTTGAGCTAGCTCATAACGATCAGTTTTTGTTTTTATTTCATTCTCAGGTGACCAGGGAATCTTAACCAAGAATGCAGGATGGTGCAGAGCGCGCACCAACTGTCAGAATGGCCGTGTCGGCGCAGTTACCATTTTAATAATCAATAATTGAGGGTAGATAAATTGTGAGGTGTCGCTCACGTGACAACCTGTCCGAGTGAAGTCATAACAATGGCTGTTAGTCATTATAAATAGAGGCGAGTTACTGATTACAGATAGTCATGCTGGAGCCGTCGCGGGGATCGAACCTCTTGGAAGTGAAACACCGTCCCACCGGCTGTGAGGGCTGTGAGGTTACCTTCGATAGCCTCAAGGGCTGACGACATTCGAGAACAAACCGCGCTGGTGACGTCAGTTATGCTGACGTCACTCATTTTAAAAACCACGTTTTGGCATCTTCTCCGACATATATATTGTTTAAATAAATTAATGAAAAAATACTTGTAATAAAATCATTATTATTTAGGTATTTTCATTGGTCTTAGGTCCCATCAAATTTGAAAACCCCTGGTAGAAATGGCAACTAATATTATAAATGATTAAGTGAGGAGTTATTTTAAATTTCCCCTTACCTTACTGTATATATAATTCCACACTTTTTCCATGTCATTCCAGTCGGTAACGATCCCGTGTTCCATGGGATATCTGATGGTTAGCAGTCCTCTGTGTTCCTCGGCCCGCGGTCCAACAAATAACTCCCCTTCCAAAGCACCCGCCATAACACGAACATGTTTCGGACGACCTATACTGTATATAATAATATTAATACTGTAATATTTGATGATATATATTATTGACTAGCTTTCTGCCCGCAGCTTCGCCCGCGTGGAGTTTGGTTATATCGCGTTTTCAAAAGAACCTTTCAAAAGTCTGGGATAAAAACTATCCTATGTTCTTTCTCAAGGTCAACTTTGTGTCTGTACCAAATTTCATTAAATCAGTTCAGTGGTTTAGGTGTGACAGCGTAACAGATAGACAGACAAAGTTACTCTTGCATTTATAATATTAGTAGGGATATACTCTGATACTATATCAATATTCAAGTAAGCAAGTACCAATGTGATGGTTCCGAGTCATATGTACTTTAAGAGTATTTAGACATCACCGATTAATGCATTCCCAAAGAGGGTTGATATCAGGCAGGCGACCAGTCGTAAAAACAATTAGCCAAAACCGTACACAACATATAAGGAAGACCATGGATAAGACTGGGAAATTGCCAGGTAGAAGAAGAAGACTATATCAATATTCAGAACTTCAAATTCCATTGCTGTATATTCCTACATATAGATCACAAAGCCATATTTGGTTAACAATGCTTTTGTAGATATTAAGTACTGTAGGCACTTACTAGTTCGGAAATCTGCATTTTGGTATCTGATCGCCGGCGAATCCGGCTTTAATAACACCGGAACCCTGGAAAAAGTGGTATTACATGATAAGCTTGAGAAATTGAGACTACAACTATGACTCATATTAAAAGTAAAAGTGAGAGAAAACTTCACTATTTGTTATAAATCCACACTATACGATTAAATAAATAAATAATTATATTTTATATAACTTATATTTCGAGTATTTATTGAATTTGTATATAAAATATATGTCCCAATTTGGTGAAAGAATTGATCGTTAAAATTTATTTTTAAAAATATTTACATTGTCTATAACGACAGGTTGGTTCACGATCAGGTCCATTTTTAATAGTTGATGTTAATTTTCGTTGGTTCTAATAGTTTTAATAATTTATTTTCGTGAAAACGTCGACTAACCAACTTTTCAGAGTGACATCATTAAATAGATGTTACCAGTATAAAAAAAATAATCATATCATATATGAATACACCTTGTCATATTATTTGCCCACGCATATAAATCATATTTTTAAAATAATATATTGTAAAAACTCAAAAATATAAAAACAATTTTAGTGTACTGATACATACTTTTATTTGGTCTAGTTTATTTCATGTCGTTATATATGTATATTTGATGATATATTATTCTCAAATTAAACTAAATATTAATATATTATCATACGATAATATATTTGTACATTATTATGATAAAGATTTAATTTAACTTATATTTTGGAATAAATACATTTTGTATCCTGTGTAGTATCTGACAAGTTTTTATTTTGACATTTTGAGTGCAATGCCCCGTACCGGCGCCCGGTGGATTTAGCGTAAGGGTTGCGCCGATCAATAAATGGATATCCAATGGCAGTGCTACGCTCTCTATCAATCAATATAACTTTAAAATGATATATACATCGCTTATAACTCAGTCACCCTCCGTGTAGTACTGTTGAAAGTATTTAAAATTCATTTATAATGATTACCGTAGGCATTCTCGTGTGTTTATTTACTTTGTCGAGCGCGTTTGACGACAACTTCTGCGACAAAGACAAAGTTCTCTGCCATGGGAACTTCGAAATAGATAATACAATCAAACATATACTTTACGATGTTAATCCTCCAGAAGGATTTAATTTAAGGAGGGATGTATATATGAGGTTTGCTATCATGCTGGCGAAAGCCAAGACCAATTACGTGAAAAACAAATATCGGCTGATTTTACCGCCTTGGAACAACATGTACCATTGGAGATCAAGCACAAAAGCTAGCAAACCTCTACCTTGGAGACACTTCTTCGACGTGACCGCTCTTCAATCTTTCGCGCCCGTCGTGGAATTCGACGAATATCTAGAAAACACGAAATCAGATTACGTCCAAGTAGATCATTTGTACGTGTTACAGAACTTTGAGAATCCATTCGAGAACGGCGTGTTCGAAGAGAAGTATAAAGTTATGGGTAATTGTGTTTACAATGTGAGTAACGATAAAATAAAAGTAAAAGAGGTGATATGTGTTAAGTTCCAGGGTAAGATATCGAAGTTATGGGAACTGATAGCGTCTAATCCAAAAGATACTAGCGTTATGTTCGCGCATGGGGAAATTCCTCTGCATGATAGCTACGGAGACGCGTTATACTGGGCTTGTCGGAAAAGTATGGTTTTCAGTGAACCACTCGTCGAAGCGGCGACCAAATATATGACAGATAAACTCAAATGCTTCGTGAAGATGTGTACTTCATATATAAGTATACACTGGAGGCGTCAGGACTTCGCCAGATCGAGGAGTAAAGACGTCCCATCGGTTACAGGAACGGCAAAACAAATTGATGATATTGTTAGGAACACTAATCTCGATTTAAATGAGGTCTTCATCGCTACTGATGCTGATCAATCAGAGTTGATACTTCTGAAGACTGAATTAAAGAATTTGGGCTACGTAGTGTATTATTATACTCCGACAGCCGACGAGATACAGCGTTACAAGGATGGAGGCATCGCTATCATTGAACAGATCATATGTTCACACGCAGCAACCTTCATCGGCACTCATGAGAGTACATTCACCTACAGGATTCAAGAGGAGAGAGAGTTGCTCGGGTTTCTTACATACACTACATTCAATAGATTCTGTCCCGACAAAGGTGAATGTGAACAACCATCTGTCTGGAAGTTTGTTGAATAACTAGACTATCCTAGGATGTTGGAAACCAGTTATTTATGGTCTCTCCGACATAATGTAGACCTTTCTACTCTAGTTCCACTTATATTTGGACATAATACTCGAATAATTACCATAACAAATATTCCATTCATGTTGTAAACAATTTTTTTATATTATACATATATTTTAGAGATTTATTTTCCATTTATTTCCTATTAGGAAAAAAAACTTGATTTTTATCGTACATTTTGATATTTTTATAATTATTGTGCCATAATGCATTTATATAGATGTAAGTGTATTTCAATGCTCTTCAATAAATATCTAGAAAAATAATTTTCTTTTGTATAATTTTCCTTAACAAAGGTTGAAGTAAGATAGCAGCACAAGTATACATATTTTGTAGATATTACAGTTTTAATATTTTGTACTAGAAGAAACACTTAAATAAGGCAATCTATTTTCTTAGTAGTCTTTTTCAAAGTTTGGACATTCACTTATGGGCACTGCAGGCCTAAAGTAGAATAAAAGACCCAGAAAAAATGGGGGTGTTGTGTAAAGCCCTAGGTGCTTTGTAATTTCTTTTAGCTAGGATAGCTTATAAGTATTTTCAGTAGATGAAATAATGGTTGCACTATCAAATAATTTCTTCCCAATGTGGGCATAGACATAATAAGTTTGGGAATCCTTGATAAGCAAGTTAAAACACTTTCCCCTAGTATTCTATGTATTCTTATTTTTTTTCATTATATTTCTACTGCTGTACCTGGAACAAGTCTTAAGTGTGTATAGAACATAAATATCAACTGAATTATCTCCTTAGAACTATTTTATATAGAGTTTTAGCTCCTGGATAGTTATTAACTTGTTATTGCCAAAAGAAACACATTAATAATTAATCTCCATACAACATACTAATCTTAAGAGAGGATGAAGTACAAAAATAGCTCCATCTTCAGTCACTGTATTAACAAAGACTTGATTATGTTACAAGTAGCGCCGTCTGTGTTATACTAATGACAACACAGTATAATTATCATGATGAGTGATATATATGAATGATATATCAATATCCATACAATTATTATGATGAGTGATTATAATGAGTGATAATACTGAACCATTGTGATGTATCAACATGAGCATCGACTTGTGTTTGTAAACTATACATACTGGACACACACATACTGTTACATGACTGGGAGTAATGAACATTGAGAATTAACACTGAAACTTTACCGAGAACCAGTGGCGGCTGTACCTAATAAGTGCACTCGTGCGCTGAACCACCAATTCAAAAGATTTAAAAATTACAAAATATTACTTCATCTTTATTTTTAAATTACCATTTTAATATTTATTTTATAAACATATAAAAACGTATAAAAAATTTCATTTCCTAATTGTGGTCAAAAAGTTTGAGCGCTTTAGGCCTCGGCCTCGAATTTTACGGGCAGCGGAGCGGCGGCGGGAGCGGCAGGATCTTACGCGTATAATCAAATGGACCGACCCTCGAATACAGCGGTGCCCGCTGCCCGCTAGTTTGGAGAACAGTATGCGTTTCCGTGCCGCCCCGCCGCCGTTCCGCTGCCCGCAAAATTTGAGGCCGAGGCCTTACTAAACTCATATCGTGCGCTTCGGCGAGTGCACGAAGACTGCTAATATATCTTGTATGAGATACGAATTAATACGGCTGACGCGTGAAAAAAAAGATAGTTCATAGAAATATACCGAGTCATGAGTCGGTTCTCGAGCGGCCGAAGATTACCGAAAGCACCCGATGTATGACGAATAGAGACGTGATTAACATCTCGTTACGTTTTGTTGCATTTTCTAATTTTAATATTTTAGTAAAGTGCACCACCAGTTCGATTATCCACCAGCCGCCACTGCCGAGAACGTATGTTACCAAGTAGCAGGTTCAAGTTCTGGTTCAGACATTCATTGCTTCTTTTATTCATTATTAGAGCCCATAATACTCTTTTGATTTCACAAGATCCAAAGTAATATGTATATAAATACTTTATTAATTCCTCATTAATCCACAATTATTAATCAACCAACATTATAAAATCAAATACATGAATATTCATATTGGCATACATTCCAACCAGCTTTATATCTTGTGGGTGTCACCCTCATCCGACCTTCACCCTCGTGACGTGTTCGTCACCCTCCAGCCCGTGCACCCTCAGTAAATGCCTGATAACATTCCTCCTCCTCACAAAGCTGTTCTCACACACGGCACACTTGAAGCTGTATGGAGCAGGTCGATGTCGACTCTTGTGAATCTTCATCAGTGTCACCGATTTAAATCTTGCTGAGCATTGATCGCACTGGAAATGGAAATATTATAATTAATATTATATGTATTGTTTTCATATATAAAATAACTATTTGATACCAATAACAGATCTATATACCAGAAATTAATTTTATGTTTCCATTAATTGTATTTAATTATTAATCTTGTTGAGAGGAAAAGAAATCTTTGAAAATATATATATTTAGTGATCAACTAGTAGCGGAATCTATCATCTAAGACAAGTAAAAATACTGAAACTCACTCCATTAGAAGAGAACAACAGAAAATCTTCTAACAAATCACAATCATATTGTTCTTATATCTAAACTACATTATTGAAAAGTTTCCTCAAAATCAATTCAGTAGTTTTTTTATGTAAGAAGAATAAACAAGTGAAATGTAGATAGATCACTTTATTATATTAGTTGATGTCATTCAGTTTGATACTTACTATACATACATGACTTTAATATTTATTTATTGAATATTAATACTAGTATAATCTCAGGTACATTCCACAAACCTGTACAGTTTTCTCCGGCAGGTGTATAGCGACATGCTGCAGGTAACTGCTTTTCCTATGGAAGCCTGTATTGCATTCCTTACATACAAACGGTTTTTCACCAGTGTGAAGTCTCTCGTGAATCTGGGTAGAAAGAAAAATACTCAATATCCCTACTAATATTATAAATGCGAAAGTAACTCTGTCTGCCTTTCACGCCTAATCCATTCAACTGATTTTAATGAAATTTGGTACAGAGATAGAGTTGGTTCTCTTGGAAACGGAAAATTCAGTCCCATCAAAATCGGTTCAGCTGTTTCAGAGATTAACCGAAACAGACAGACAGATAAATATATATACAGAAACATATCATAAATATATATACAAACAAGACTGAGATGAAACCTCTCATCATTCCATGTATTCACGGTGCTTGTGTCGGGTCCATCGTTGTAGTGAGAGGAGCTTCAAGGAGTGACTGTGACTTGTGACCCAGGTGTAGGTTTTAAGGGACCCTATCTAACGTTAAACGCTCACCTCCACCGTACAAGCTTCTCTCTCTAACTAATTTGAAAAGAACATATATATATATCCATAACTTACTTTAACTTGTTCAGCGTTAGATGCTCTATAGTCACAGAAGGAACACTTATCCGTTTTCTCATATCCGTGCTTGGCTCGACAGTGCATCAACAGAAGTCTTCGCGTTATGAATTTCTTGCCGCAGTGCTGTAACATGAAATAAATGCTAGATTAAAATCTGTACATAACAATTAAGTACCCTTATACTAATGCACCCTTTAAGAATATAGATGCACCCCTCTGAACATAATATTTATATATATACTAGTTTTTACTCGTGACTTCGTCCTCATTAATTTCTTCATTAGTAATATAACTGACCGGGTGAAATCTATTCAGATATTGGAATTTATTGAATTTTTTTTTCCGATCAAACAGAATAAAATATCTCATGACCCTTCCATGTTCTAATCTATCTCTCCACCAATCTTCATCCATATCCGTACAGTCGTTAGAGTTATATATAGTGTAACTAACACGACTTTCTTTATATATATAATATATTATCCCGAGCTCACCTCACACACCACATCGAAGCCTGTATGTATCTTGTAGTGGTTCCGTAGTGACAATCGCGATGTTAGTATTTTGTGGCAGTACTCACATTCGATCTCCTCTTTAACATTTTTCCTTCGTCTATCAACATTTTTGTTCCGTTTCGTTGGTAAATCTACTTTATTGGTACATTTTTCATAATTATTTGTGTTTTCTTTCGTCCGTAACTGATCCGAAGTGATAATATCTTCAATATCTTTCTTGCAACCATCAGATATATCTATAGATATCGTCATCTCTTCAGTCTTTAGACACGGTTCGAGTTTTATATCACACGTATTATTTTTCAGTATATTATTAGCTTGGTCGCATTTTCTTCTGAATTTTATGCAATTATTAATAAATGTTATACAATTGTTGCACATTTCTTGTGGCAGCGTGTCGTTTACTTCGATCTGTGTATGAAAATTTGTGTATTAATAAGCTATTATTTTAAGCTAATATATTTATATTCGTTTACGTAAGATAAACGGTCCAGTTTTTAATACAAAGAATCATGGTAGACGTAGTAATGCTATAATTATTATAATATTCAATCGAAGTAAATAATCTTTACATTATAAAAATAAAACCATGATTTGGAAAAGATCCCAAAACCGAAAAAATTAATTTAAAAAAAACTTCGTATTATTTGATATTTCTTTCAATTATTTATTATTATTTAAGTGTTTTATTTTATTTCAAGTTATATAATAATTGTAAATCACTCATTTATTTACCTTAATACCGGTGATAATAAATAAAACGTTAGAATATTTTTCACTTTGTTCCGGCAAAACAAATATCGGAAGAAGGTTTTGGTCGTTCAAACAGGTTCTACAGCATTTCCACTCGTTCATTTCGTTTATAATAATAAGCTCTAGTATACTTTCGTAAACACAGCAATAACAATTAAATTCATAAGTAATGGTGATACTTAGTTGTTTAAATATTAAATAGTTTGCAAAACAAATGTAGCATTTGACGACAGATTATAAATTGTGTTATGACAGATATTACCACAGATGACAACTGAGATTTACGAAATAGGATTACTTAACATATAAAATGTCTCAATAAACAAAAACGTGGAAAACAAGACTTTTTTACTATGAATTGAAAAATTATGATACGGCTTAGAAAAATTTGAAATAGAAAAATAACCAATAAGGATTTTGGAAAAATAACTAAAATGCCCAAATGCAAAAGATTTAAGAAAATCATACATACTTGTAGCCAGTTTGATAACAATAACGAGAATGAAATATAATAATAGAAGAAAAAGTTAATATAATACCATTATCGATATGAAATTTTACCGGAAAAAGAAAAAGAATGTAATTTATAATTAATTACGAAATTCGTTCTTAGTGACAAACTACATTAAGACATAAAGGTCAACAGAATAAATACATATGTATTTGAAATCATATAACAAACTGTCTAAAGTACTTCTATATAAAAACAATTACTTATAATAAAATTATCATTTATTCATATAAAATATTCCTTTGGCTGCATAACGGTAACCTTTTACGTACACTTCGGAAGAAAGCTTGAAAGTCAAATGTAAATGTCAAAATTTGACATACAAATTAAAATTATAAATATTTTCAATTAATTATTTATTCAAAAGTTTGCAAATAATATATTAAAAGAAGTAAGAAGCGTCGATACCTGTTGCCTTCATGTTACCTTTATTCCTTCTAATTCACGGTATGGCTTCTCGAGGAAGAATATTTTATAGGAATACAAGACCCAAGAAATCCTTCAAGACAGAACTCGGCAACGGATCTTGCAGGACCTGTGGTAGCTCCAGGAGTTTAGGATCTCTGTTCAGTGGAGGCGAAAGTAAGGAAAAAATATCTGAGCAACTACGCCTAGTAACTGGTTTAGTAGTGAGTTAATTTCTTTTGAGCAATAGACATTCTCATCTCTGGCGTATAATGAACGCCTCCTCTACATTATAAACTATTTTATATTCCACAGATAAGACCTAACGATGGATTATCCCAATACATATGTCGCCGGTGCTACAGAGCGGTCAGAACTGCATTAAGACTGAGACGAGTCAGTAGAAGAACTGAAAAGCTTCGTCTGAGTATGAGAGTGAAAACTGAGAATGTACCGAAACTAGCGATGACTACAGTCGTGAAGACGGAGCCTCAAACAGACAGCTTACAAGCCAACGAGTTTGGACAAATGGGTTTCATTGACAGATATCAGAATTACAACTTCCCCGACCTGTATGATATCTGTAAGAAAGAAGCTGTGAGTAGTCGCTTAATGTACTCACGACACAGTTAGACTCGGACTGAAGCCAGACTGAAACTTAGAATCAGTTGATGATATAAAGACAAGAGTTGAGATCTTTACATTCACTTTATATAACTTTTGAATATTGACAAGTTGATAGGTTTTTATGTATATGAAACTTATATTATTGTTATAAAACAATCTTTCCAGGAAGATACAAAACCTCTCGGCACAACGAGTGACTCGGCGCCATACAAGTGTAGGACGTGCGGACAAGCGTTCAGCTCCAGGGAGGTGTATGATGCACATCGGAAGACTCACAAGAATGTGTGGGTCTGTGAGGTGAGTGTGATATATATATATGTATATGCTATATGTAGATCACTGGCATGTTGTTCAATATCTGGTGAGTAGTTCTGGTGTGACGGACTGACAGACATGCCCTCATACACCTTACTACCTCAACCAGTATATTATTGTATGTCCGAGTGACTCAAAGCTGTCCTCTGTGCAGGAGTGTGGCAAGTGTTGCCGGAGTAACTTCGAGCTGAAGAACCACAAGCGAGCCAAGCACGGCATGGAACGGATCCACAAGTGTTCATACTGTGACTACTCACCGGCCACTCAGGAAGCACTCACTGTGAGTTGATATAGGCAATAAGAAGTTATACACATTTTTATAATTGTGTACAGTAAATTTGCAATCACTTCCAGTATAATATTAAGTTATTGTTAATAATAGTAGCAATTACATTTGTGTTGCTGGAAGAGTTTCTTCTATGTATTAAAGTATGTGATAAATTAGTTAAATGTTTTCAAAAAATCAAGCTTTCTTCCTACAATACATTTATGAATCTTGGTTTCGTCCTTATAGCTGTAAAAACAGTTTTGTTCAGAAAAATAAAAACATTTAGTATAATTATTAATATATAATTGCTATTACTGATATAGGCAGTATGTTACATAGATACACGAGCGTCGCCACACAGGAGAGAGACCGTACGTGTGTGATCACTGCGGCGCTGCCTTCTATAGACGAAAAACTTTGGTGCAGCATCTGGCTCTACATCTACCAGACAACAAATACCAGGTGAATATGAGAGCTCTTACATAAAAAAGACCCTTAGAATTCGGTTTTGGTTAGATTTCACAGCAACAGCCTGTTTTATCTCTGTTTGAAGTGAATCTTCCTGTTTCAGTGTGATCTGTGCCCGAAGCGGTTCAAGTCCAAGAACTTCCTGCTCATCCACAAACACGACACTCACACGGGCAAGAGGTACGGCTATCTGTGTTCAGTTTGTGAGCGACGCTTCCAGAAGCCTTACAAAGTACGAGAGCACGCGAGGAAGGCCCACGGGCTGGGCGAGGAGGAACAGGCGCCTGTGGTGAGGATCGAGCTGTGAGGAACGGAGACACGGAGAGAGGAGGAGGGAGGAGACGAGCGGGGAGGAGGGAGGAACACGCGAGGGTTGGGAATGAAAATAACTAAAAGAGGATTTGATCCAAGATATTATATCTCAGTCTCTTGTGTTTTTAATAAATAAAGAAAATAAAATATCACAAATATATTTATAAAATAATGAGAATTAAAAAACTGTTTGTTTACACTTATGTTTGTTTTTTTAAACCCAAAAAATCCTAATTAAAATCTTTATTTCATCTCCCAAAAAAAAACATGCCCCAAAAAACCTATAGATATTGTATAACGCATGGGCACTTACTGCTTTGGAGCGATAAACCGTAGGCAAATGATTGACAGCTTTCTTGAGCAGCTGTTCGTGATGAATACATTTTTCTTAAAAGCCCCAAAGAAAGTGGACTTGGTGAAGCCCAAATGGTAGCACTAGGAACGCGATAGACTTCATCATGATGAACAGAAAGCATATATTCAGAGACGTCTTGCTGATTAAAAGGTTCGATATTGTAAGCGATCACTGACTTGTCGCAGGTACTCTAAATGTCAAGTACTAACAAGGAACGAACCGAATGTTGAAGCTTACTCTCTGACCCAGCTAAAACTAAGCGATGATTGGGATTGAGCGTCTCCAATTCAAAAAATCAATTAAATGCCCTGAAACCAACATTAAACATGAGATGTTTGAACGTGGTCAGAGCATATCTTAAACCAAATAATATGGCAGCATTTGATATGACGAACTGAAAAGGAATGTAGGAGCAACTTAATCTGAAATTTTTATTTGATAAAATGCATTTATAAGACTTATAAGTTATAATGGCGCTTTTGCTAAACAGCTTTAAAATATCTGATATATTGTTTTTTTTTTTTGGTGTCAGCTTATGTTGAAGATTTAAATATATTTGTTGTATCATCAAATAATTTTATTAAAATTTGTTAAGAAACTTATTGCTTGTAAACTTTAAAAAATCAGCGTGGTTTATTATTGACGGGAGAGAAGAGGCATTAATTATCATGTTAAGTAGGGTTCCTTCATGTACATACATATATTTTACACTACGGTTACTTTTAAAATAAAATGTAAATTAGAGACTCGATAGAGTTTTAGCATTGCTTTAAAATAGTCAATTTTACATACTCGTTTACTTTATACCAGCTTATTAAATATGGAATCGCCAAAGACGCTGTGTTCTTATAACTCTTCGTAGCATTTTTCTTACAAATATTTCTTTTATTTGAGATTATTTATAAAATGACTGCTACCTGCGTCAGTCGTCACTAGAATAGATGAGAATCTGGATTTAACTATCTGTATTTCATAATTTAATTTGTATTGGTTGATTAGTTTTAATAAATATTTTTTTTTATCTCATCTGACTCAAAACAGACTTTCCGTAATAAATTCTGAAACAGTACAAATATTTTAATTTCCTAACTAAATTTGTTATAACATACGGAACTAATAAATGATGTGAACTAAATGTGTATAAATGTAATAAATACTGGAAAGACAAATATAAAATATGATTTCAAATGATTCAGACGTCTGTACTTATCTAAACTTCAAGGATATACTTTTTGTATAAACATTATCACAGGCAAAATAAAATTCTGATTTTATATATAGATGACATCCTTATTATACCAATTTTTATCAAGACCTTATTTTAATTTGTTACAGATGCTACTATGATGGGCAAAAAATATGTTTATGAAGATGATCTCCTCTAACTATGAAGTCTAGTTTCATCTAAAAGGGAAGGTTACTTCAACCAGACGTATTATTTTCAGGACCAAGTTCTAAACGCTCTAAAATACTCCGAGCAGATGAAGACTGGATAGAACAGAAGTAAAGAGAAGAACTGCTCTCTATGTCTAATTTTTTGGGAAAGAATATAGATTTAAATGGGATTTTTTGGTTTCAAAAAACAAACACAAGTGTAAACAAACATTTTTTTATTTCTCATTATTTTATAAATGAATTTGTGATATATTATTTTCTTTATTGTTTAAAACACACCAGGGACTGGTGTCATGAATCACAGCGTGTAACGATGTAGAATGTCTTGGATCAAATCCTCTTCACTAGCCTCCTCCCTCCTCTCCGCTCGTCTCCTCCCTCCTTCTCTCTCCGTCTCCCCGTTCCTCACAGCTCGATCCTCACCACAGGCGCCTGTTCCTCCCCCAGCCCGTGCGCCTTCCTCGCGTGCTCTCGTACCTTGTAAGGCTTCTGGAAGCGTCGCTCACAAACTGAACACAGATAGCCGTACCTCTTGCCCGTGTGAGTGTCGTGCTTGTGGATGAGCAGGAAGTTCTTGGACTTGAACCGCTTCGGGCACAGATCACACTGAAACAGGAAGATTCACTTCAAACAGAGTTAAAACACGTATGTTCTAGGTCAGTAACCTAGCGAAAACGAATTCTTAGGGCCTTTTTGGGTAAATACCCTCATTTTCACCTGGTACTTATTGTCTGGTAGATGTAGAGCTAGATGTTGAACCAGCGTGTTTCGTCTATAGAAGGCAGCACCACAGTGGTCACACACGTACGGTCTCTCTCCTGTGTGACGACGCTCGTGTATCTATGTAACAAAATGCCTAGATCAGTAAAAGCAATAAAAATATTTTTCGTATTTTTCTAAACAGCCTTTACATTTTTTACCCATACTGGAGATCATAGCAACTAGGCAGCTATAAAATAACTGTTTCCAAGTCTAAATATACTGAATAAAAGGGAATTTCCCAAGAGGGCGAAAATAGAACACAAATATTTAGTTACAATAATCTTAAATACCCAAGGATTTTTATTTCTTTTAGTGATGCCATCAACGATATGTTGTGTGCGGTAAGGGCAATGGGTCTGAACAATGTTATTTGTTATAAGACAAGTACTTCGTTCTATAATGTGTTGGGTACTTGATTATGTAGGGTATTGGTATTTCAAGAAGTTTGCAACGCTAGCCTTTCGCTGTCAGAAGGGTTTCTTACTAGTGGAACCCATGAAAATCTGCCCTGACAACAGTGTGTTATTCCAGGGTGGCTCCGTAGTACTAATAGGCAAACGGTTAAGGGATGATAATTATGGATTTTTTGGGGAATTTATATATTCTATTCAATTTATCTAAGAATGAAAGGTTCCAAGAAGAAAAGTAAATAGCATGCGTTAATCCCGGTATTACCTTTTTAATAGAGTGAGAAGATAACTTGTTGGAAACCTTCCTCGCATTCAGACAAAGCGATACAATTCTTTCTTAATGAGAATAGCAAAGGGACAAAACAGTCTGAATGTTTCTGTATTCCTTACAAACAAGTTTGAATGTTTTAAAAGCTAGGTAACTGGGATTATGTGTTCACCATATACAAATGCATATCTACTTTCCCAAGGGAGGAATGACAGTTAAATTCTATCTAAAAATAAAAACAATGTGTATAACTTCTCATTCCCTCTATCAACTCACAGTGAGTGCTTCCTGAGTGGCTGGTGAGTAGTCACAGTAGGAACACTTGTGGATCCGCTCCATGCCGTGCTTGGCTCGCTTGTGGTTCTTCAGCTCGAAGTTACTCCGGCAACACTTGCCACACTCCTGGACAGAGGACGGCTTTGAGTCACTCGGACATACAATAATACACTGGTTGAGGTAGTAAGTTGTATAGAGCATGTCTGTCAGTCCGTCACACCAGAACTACTCACCAGATATTGAACAACATGCCAGTGATCTACATATAGTATATACATATATATATCACACTCACCTCACAGACCCACACATTCTTGTGAGTCTTCCGATGTGCATCATAAACCTCCCTGGAGCTGAACGGTTGTCTGCACGTCCTACACTTGTATGGTGCCGAGTCACTTGTTGTACCGAGAGGTTTTGTCTCTTCCTAGAAGGATTACTGTTTTAATGTTTTATAATAATGATATACGTTTGATATAAAATTTAAACCTGCCCATTTGTCGATATTCAAAAGTTAATCTATTTTATAACCCATTGAAAGGTCTACAGTCAGTTTGTCATTGTAAGGATCCCGACCATTGTCTTTATATCATGAAGCGAGTCTAAGTTTCAGTCGGGAATCAATCTCAGTGTAATTGTGTCGTGTGTACATTGTGAGACTACTCACAGCTTCTTTCTTACAGATATCATACAGGTCGGGGAAGTTGTAATTCTGATATCTGTCAATGAAACCCATTTGTCCAAACTCGTTGGCTTGTAAGCTGTCTGTTTGAGGCTCCGTCTTCACGACTGTAGTCATCGCTAGTTTCGGTACATTCTCAGTTTTCACTCTCATACTCAGACGAAGCTTCTCAGTTCTTCTACTGACTCGTCTCAGTCTTATTGCAGTTCTGACCGCTCTGTAGCACCGGCGACATATGTATTGGGATAATCCATCGTTAGGTCTTATCTGTGGAATATAAAATAGTTTATAATGTAAAGGAGGCGTTCATTATAGGCCAGAGAGGAGAGTAACTATTGTTCAAGGGAAATTAACTCACTACTAAACCAGTTACTAGGCGTAGTTGTTCAGATATTTTTTCCTTACTTTCGCCTCCACTGAACAGAGATCCTAAACTCCTCGAGCTACCACAGGTCCTGCAGGATCCGTTGCCGAGTTCTTTCTTGAAGGATTTCTTGGGTCTTGTATTCCTATAAAATATTCTTCCTCGAGAGGCCATCCCGTGAATTAGAAGGAATAAAGGTAACATGAAGGCAACAGGAATTCACTCTTTTTACTTCTTTAAAAATATTAATTTCAACAACTGTAATAATAACTAATTGAAAATGTTATATTTCTTATTTGTATATTTTACCTACAAATTTGACATTTACATTTTACTTTTTTTTGAAGCAAATTGAAAAGGTTCACTGCATTCAGCCGAAGAAGTGTGTTATACCAAAAATAAAATAAAAATCATTTTAAATGTTTTTTTTTAACAAAGTTTATTTAAGACATCGGTTTAATTTTATCGAAAAAAATATATTACTAGCTTTCCGCCCGCAGCTGCGTACCCTCGTGGAGTTCGGTTATATCGCGTTTCCAAGAAAACTTTTAAGATTCTGGGATAAAAACTATTCTATGTTCTTTCTCAAAGTCAACTCTATCCCTGAACCAAATTTAATTAAAATCAGTTCAGTGGTTTAGACGTGAAAGCGTAACAGACAGACAGAGTTACTTTCGCATTTATAATATTAGTAGGGATTTTCTCTAAACTTTTTTAGCTTCATCTTCTAAGCGACAACGAAATACTACTTTCTGTTTATACTTTTGCAATATTCTTGTTAGCAATCTAACTATAAGTCTTTACAAAAACAATAATCAAAGTTATTTTTTAAATTCTTGAGATTATTTTTCTTTTATGGTTTTTAGGTGTTTATAAAAACATGATTGGGAATGTTTAAAACATATTGAAGCTGTGGTCAAGTTACTACAGCTCGAACATGGTCTGGCTCGACGAGGGAAGTACCACCCTCTCACAGAAGATCGGCGTCAAGTAGTCATTATTGACTGCGTTTTGTCCGATGTGTGAGAGAGCCGGTTACCCTTTCCCGCCTTTTCCTGCCATTCCCGTATTCCTACCCCTCCCTATCCCTCTAACATTAAGGTTGCCAAGGCAATTTCCATGAGTGACGGTGACTGCTGCCCATCAAGCAGGCCGTCTGCTCATTTGATACCTTTTACATAAAAAAGAAAAAACAAAACAGTAACAATCATTACACAAACTTCTTTGTGTTTTCTCCACGCAGAATTCAAAATTGTATTATATTTCTTTAACATTGATAAAATATCCCATAATTCCAATATGAATGAAGTTATGGTATAAAAACATAAAAGTTGTTTAATCATTAATGTCGATGAAATCCTCACAAACGTAAATAAATGAGTAGTTTTCAAATATGTAATATAATGACTTACTCACTTGTAATTACTTAACCCAAGAATATTCTAAGTTAAAACAGCAATCCTATCTTCATTTCAATTCTTTCATTTGAATGATAGTTAATATTAGGAAAGACGAGAATTGTATGTAATAGAAATATATTAACTCTACAATGTTGGTATTATTGTTTTAATGTTGCCAGTTTTCTGGACTGAACGATGTTGGCAACATGCTTTATCTTAGTACCAGCTAAGATGTTAAAAACCACATCAATCCCGTTCCAGTCTTCTCATAAAGGTTCTATAGGTTACTGTTAGGACAATTTTGTATATTTGATTTAGATATTAATAAAACTAAACGTATATTTAAATAATATTTATTCTAATATATATGACACATATACTTCTTCATTAAAATAAAATACGAGTCAGTATGTACATAATTAAATTAAAAATATATCACTTATAAAACATATAACATATTATAACAATACTCTTGCAAGTATAACCCCACTCTGGTCGTATACGGTATACCCCACACTCTGCTCGTCTACAGTTTACCCCCACTCTAGTCGTCTAAGGTATACCCCCACACTCGTCGGTACAGTATACCCCACAATCTCGTCGTGTACAGTATACCACTCACTCTAGTCGTGTACAGTATACCCAAAAACCTCAACATCAAGTGCCTTCTAGTCTCTTCACGGTATTGAAAGATGCTGCTTTCCTCCCGCGTCTTCCGAGATAGTGTAGCATCTATTCTTTTAAAGCTCTATCCTCACTATAGATCCCTGTTGTTCGTCGGGTATTCCGTGGACCTTCCTCGTGTGCGCGCGCACTATATAAGGCTTCTCGAACCTGTGATTGCACACAGAGCACAGATAACCATATTTCTTTCCCGTGTGAGCGTCGTGTTTGTGTATCTGAAGGAACTTCTTGGATTTGAACCATTTTGGGCACATGTCGCACTGGGGAATGATAAAACGAATTAATGACCATTATCTTGAGTGTATGATTATTTAATGACTATAATTCTGTTCGTGATGGAAAAATTTAGTATAAAATAGTTTTAGAAGTGTTCTATCTGAAGCTATGTTTTTGAATCAAGGTATTAAGTAAATTCTGATGTATTTAAGTTAGAGAGATGGCCAATAATATTGAGGTTATTTCTGGTTAAATTAAATTAAGACCTGGAAGTTCTTATCTGGCAGGTGTATAGCGATGTGCTGCACCAACGTGGACCGTCTGAAGAAGGAGGCGCCGCAGTGATCACAGATGTAAGGACGCTCTCCTGTGTGATGTCGCTCATGGATCTGTTAAGATAGAAGAAAAGTAGTACCAATTATTTCTTATAAAGTTATTTTAATTAGTCAGTATGAAAAATTTACTCGAGATGTTTTCCTTTACCAGTCAGTGGTGTCTAAATCCTACTAATATTATAAATGCGAAAGTAACTCTGTTAGTCTGTCTGTTACGTTTCCACGCCTAAACCACTGAACTGATTTTAATGAAATTTGGTACAGACATAGAGTTGACCTTGAGAAAGAACATAGGATAGTTTTTATCCCAGACTTTTGAAAGGTTCTCTTGGAAACGCGATATAACCGAACTCCACGAGGGTAAAGCTGCGGGCGGAAAAATAGTACTCTTATAAAGTACATATGACTCGGAACAATCACATTGGTACTTACAAGATTTCGAAACCGCGCCCTTATACCTTTAACCTCTAAACCACCATATATATAGTATACAGGGTGACTGGTGAATTACCATCGATATTTGAGGACGTGATATTTGACGATCATATATGACAAAATAAAAATTAATATAACATAAATATTAATAAACTTCTAAGTAAAGTTAACCAAAAGTTATGTAATTAATTACGCATCGTATGAACACCCTACAGATTAGGTATACACACACACACTCGCGCGCGGCGGCGTGTTGTTGTATCAGCACGCCGCCGCGCGCGTCCACACCTGGAACACTTGGAACGTGTCAACACTTTATTTATTTATACGGAAATTTTGTCAAAAATTAAGTACCTATTTTTTTTACATAATTCGAATGAGAATCATGTACCGAGTATTCTCCTTAAATATTGATAGTAATTCACCAGTCACCCTGTATACTCACTGTAAGCGCTTCCTTCGTCGCTGAGCTGTATTCACAGTGGGAACATTTATGTATCTTCATCATGCCGTGTCTGGCTCGCTTGTGTTCTTGTAGTTCATTATTGTTCCGGCATCGTTTACCACAATCCTGTAACAAGGATAAGATGATGGGTTGGTAAAAATGTTAAAGGAAATTATACATTATATATAAATATAGACCAAGATAATTACTGATTGTATAAGTAGGTAATAGATTTAGAGCTAATTTTAAAGATATTTGAGTCTTGGTGTTATAACAATTTGTATAAATTTTTAAATAATTTGATCAAAATAAAACAAACTATGTGTAGTTGATTAATCTTAAATTATTCAATATTTAGTCAACTAAATTTAATTGGAAGGTTCACTAATAACAATCAGTAGGTCCAGAGAATGAAAGAGATCATAATTTCCATATCTTACATGACAAAACTAGACCGTTTTTGATAAAACTCACCTCACAGACGCAGTAATGCGTGTGGAAACGTAGATGAGAGGTGTAGGTGGCTCTCATCCTGAACTCTTTGCCACAGATATGGCACTTGTACATCCCGTTGGGTCCGATCTTCTTTTGTATCCCGGGGGTCGCTTTCTGAAAGATTTTATATTGCAAATCTTATTTATTGCATATATATATTATCATCATCAGCCTATCAGAGCCCACTGCTAAACAAAGGCATCTTCTCACATAGAGAAGGTATAATTTGAAATTATATGTTTAGGTTTCCTCATGATGTTTTCCTTCATTGTCTGTCTAAATACTTTTAGACAGTAAATATGACTTGAGAAAAATCACATTCACACTCATGCCTTTTACATCTTTAACATGGCTTCCTAGACTGTGAATGTAAGCCATTTTGCTACCGACAATTATTTCACTTTAAACAAAATTTGATAATAGCCAATACGAAATGGCCACAAAAATATTACTTTCGATATTTTAAAAATTATTTTTACTATATAAGAATAATACTAAATAAATATTATGCAATAGATTACATCTACTTACTTCATCAACCCATAAATGGTTGTGAGTCTTCCGATGTGAGTCATAAAGTTTCCTCGATGTGAACAGCTCCCCACAAACTTTACAGGTGAATGAAACTATATCATTTGTTGTGCCGTTGGGATCATCGTCTTCCTGGAAGGATTATTGATATGTAAATGGTTTATAGTGATAAAATGTAATGGGATGGTAAATCTCTTCTAAGGCAACCACGACATAAGCTCGCTTAGTGTGGACGCCCCTGGAAATCACGGCATGTTATCACTTCAGCAAAATATTGTTATGTTTGTAATTGTGTTCCCTGTTAACATTGAAATATTGCTGGTAATAAAGTATTTATCATTTTTTCATTTTCTAAACACATAACAAAACCACTAAGTCTGGTTACCCTTTATCTCATGAATATAGGTTCTTTTGAAATTTGGTTAAGTAGTGAGAGAAGCTTGGATGGTGGAGATGAGCATTTAACGCGTTAGATAGGGGTCCCTTAAACCTACACCTGGGTCGCAAGTCCCAGTCACTGTTGAAGCTCCTCTCTCTACAACGATGGACCCGACACACGCACCGTGAATACATTGAATGATGAGAGGTTCCGTCTCTCTATATATATTAAACCTACACCTGGGTTTCAAGTCCCAGTCACTGTTGAAGCTCCTCTCACTACAACGATGGACCCGACACACGCACCATGAATACATTGAATGATGAAAAGTTTCGTCTCTTTTTTCACATATATTATCTTTATACAATTGTAGTATTATTACTAATATACTAAAAGTAAACCTGCAGTTATATGTAGGTATGTGTCTTTATACCTAATTCATAAACAGCTAGAAGTATTTTAATAAAATTTATAATAATATGGCTCAGACATCAGAATGGGATATAATTTAAAGTATTTAGGGCTATATTTTTACTAAAAGTCTACATAAACTGTAGAAACCTTTATTGTAGATATTGTTTGTGTCTAGGGTTGCCAGGTCGCCAAACCTAATAGCCGGACAGACCCGCCAGTTTGGCCGAACATTTGGTTAAAAAAAGCCGAACACCCTATATTATTAAGGATTTTGTCTTAGTATTAATAGGTACGACAATTTTTTTTAATGTAAAATCAAGTCTTTTTGATTATTATCATAAATCTTGTTCAGTGAAATAATAGAAAGTCTTAGATAGGTACTTTATTATTAATCAGTCAAATAGTCATCAGTCAAAATTAAATTCTAGATACTTAAAAATTTATCAACAAATTTGAATTTTTCTTAATAATAAGAAAGGCACAAATTATACTTTTTTAACAAAAAAATCAATAACTTCTCTTAAGGTAAAAATATATAACAAATAAAAACCTTTTTTCTTTGAGTTACACAATAAAATTAAATTCTAAATAATTAAACATTTATGAACAAATAAGACATTTTTAACTTTAAAAAAAATTAACTTCTTTTTAAGTTAAAATATAAAACAAAAAAAAAAACATTTTCTCTTTGAGTTACACAATAAAAATAATTATTAATATTTTTGGTTTGTCGAAACCTGCTTTAAGAACTCAGTTTAAATTAAATTCTACAACCAACATTTTGGCAAAAATACCAACATGTAATCTGTTGCGTTCTTTTGTCCATTGCTAACCTATCAAGCAAAAAACTCTTTCAATGTTTGCATTAGGTCCTGGGATAGCAAAGTAATACTGACAAATAGTTAGGAATTCTGAAAAGCAATCTTGACTTATCATCGATTTAAAATAGGCTACCCATTGTGCTAATAGCTTCTTGAAACCAAAGTTCTGTTTGTTTGTATTCAGAAAACATTTAAGATTTTGCAGTTGGTCAAAAAATTTGTTGTCGTCGATTTTAACATTGTTTTGCAATGGGATACTTATACTATCGGAAACTTGATTCCATTCAGGAGCATCTTTTAAAGTCATCCATATAAAAAGTGAAATCTAAAAAGCCTAACAAAAGCCAGACAAGTCGGACCCCGTTTATTTTGGCCCGACATGCAATCAAAAAGCCTAACTGTGTCTGGCTCTATCCGGACGCCTGGCAACGCTATTTGTGTCGAACAATGCAACGGTTGATGAGACTATCATGTAGGAAACATATATATTGTATCAACTAAGTTCTAAACTTCTCTCCGACTCCAAAAAATCACAAGACCAAAGTTATTAGTTGGTTAAACATAAAAGAAAGGTTTTGGAAATACAAAAACCAGTTACAACATCTTTATACTGCTTATTAAATGTATTATAAATATTTGGTGATAGATTTAGGTCTGAGAACTATAGGATGTGTATAGAAATGCACTCACCGGCTCTTTCTTACAGATGTCATACAGGTCGGGGAAGTTGTAATTCTGATATCTGTCAATGAAACCCATTTGTCCAAACTCGTTGGCTTGTAAGCTGTCTGTTTGAGGCTCCGTCTTCACGACTGTAGTCATCGCTAGTTTCGGTACATTCTCAGTTTTCACTCTCATACTCAGGCGAAGCTTCTCAGTTCTTTTACTAACTCGCCTGAATCTTAGCGATCTTTTGATGAACCTGTAGCAGCGGCGACATATTTTTTGCGACTGTCCATCGTTGTACTTTATCTGGGGGACGCAAAAGCATTAAGAAATGTAGAGACGCGTTAAACATAAGGATATTAAACTTACGTTTAAGCCGGTCACAATGCGTAATTCTTCAGATTTTTTTTCATGATTCTCGCCCTCTGTAAATAGAGATCCTAAACTCCCGGTGCTACCACAGGTCCTGCAGGACGCATTACCGTGTTCTATCTTGAAGGATTTCTTAGGCCTTGTATTCCTACACAATATTCTCCCCCGAGACGCCATACTATGAATTAAAAGGAATAATGGCAACATGGCAGTAGTAAAATACGCTCTTTATAATGTTATTAAATATAATTTTATCTAATTTGAGTAATAAATATTTGATTTTTACAATAGTTTCACCAACTGTAACAATTGTGATTACAATATATATTGTGTACGCTTTTGACATTTACTTTTTTCTGAACTATTAGGAAAAGGTGCACTACATTCAGCCAATTTTAAAGAATGTTGTGTGTATATTTGATTTACATAAAACATTAAGGTTCCTTTTAAGAATTATTAATTTTTAAATACAAAAAGTAGATACTAAAATATATTTTATAGTTATTTTGTATACCTAACTGTACTTGTAAATGCCAAGTTGGTTAATATTTAAATCGACAATGTTTTGATTTATAAAGTTTCAATTACTTAAGATAAGCTTTTAGCCATAAATAATGTATGTTTTTAGAAAATATTTGAAGAATATTTTACCGCGTTCATTTGTTTTATCCATTTATACTTTTTCAATATTCTTGTTATTGTAATCATTCAGGTTAAACAAAAACAATGTAAGAGAAAAGAAAATTTAAGTAGATATTAAAATAAAAATAATAAAAGATTTACGAGTCATTTAACCAATTGGTCCGTATTTTCCATTAATTAATATGATAATATTTTAAATTCCATTTATAATTAGTTTCGGTTACTTTCCAGCAACCGGGATCACGGGCAGGCGAGATGAAAATGTCTAAATATATTAGTTTTATTTGATTATTGTGGATTTTAAATTATTATTTAAACTCCCAAGTTTTCCATCTCTTATAATATATTATATTATATGATGACGATCGCTTGTTTATTGATCCTGTAATAATTGTACCCCGGCACACACACTCAACATCCCATAATACGTACATATTAAGTAGGTTAATGACTTTTTTGACTTGAATCAGAGAGAAATAGATTTGAGCAAGTTTTATATTCTAGAGATACTTTTGGTCAAATAAAAAAAATTCTTTACGATGTTAAAGATTAACAATCAGACGAATAAGTGAAAAATGTAGTATGCTTATTATATAAATCGGCGAAATTCTTATTATTTGAATAATCAACAATTAAAGCATACCACCTGTAATTGTAGTCACGACAATGATTTTCGGTTGGTATAAATAGAAGCGAGAGTACACATTAAAAACTTTAGCAGCCGTTTGCCGTCTCAGGCTTACAGATAGAGCAGCCGAGAAACCGTAATACCCCAGAGCAATGCCACGATGACAACTATAGGGCCACTCGCAACATTTATGTTATGCAATCTGAGTAAAGTGCTTAGGAGACTACGTAACGTTAGACTGCAGCAGGCTTATCCCACGAATTTTGAGCGAAAGTTGGGGACACCCCAAAAAAGCCTGGGAACCGACTCCCATTCCTGGTACTCTTGCAACTAACGCCTGTTAATTTATGCTGAGATAACTCTCTTTTAAAAAAGATGAAGTGGAACTCAAACATATATCCCAATCAAAATATGAAACAAGGTCTACAGTCAGTTTATATTTAAATAAAACGAATATAATTTATGTTTATTATATTTATAACACATCTATGTATTTTTAATGTCAATAATACAGAGTCGGTAATAAAAATAAAAAATATCAGGTTTAATAGTTTGATGATATAAATAGGAACGGAGGATTACAATGTTTTATTTACATACGAATACTTCATCAAGTATAGCCCACACATTCGTCGTGTACAGTATATCCACACTCCGCTTGTCTACAGTATACCCCACACTCTCGTCGTGTACGGTATACCCCACACTCGTCGTGTACGGTATACCCCAAACTTTCGTCGTGTACAGTATATCCACACTCCGGTCGTCTACAGTATGCCCAACACTCTCGCCGTGTACAGTATACCTCACAATCTCGTCGTGTAAAGTATACCCACACTCTGGTCGTCATAGTAATAGTATATCTGCGTCTAATGTCTATAATATAATCCGTACTATGGGCCCCTGTTGTTCGTCAGGGAGCCCGTGAACTCGTCTCGTGTGCGCGCGCACTTTATTCGGTTTTTCAAAACGGTGGTCGCACACGGAACACAGGTAGCCGTATCTCTTGCCCGTGTGCGCGTTGTGTTTGTGTATCTGAAGGAACTTCTTGGATTTCAGTCTTTTAGGGCACATGTCGCACTGGGGACGAATAAAAAACATTATTGGTGATAGATAGAGGGTTAATCTATGACTTGTGTTTTTGTAAAAGCGAGGAATTTTTCTTAAAATTTATGTTTAGTTTGCAAGTGAAATATAATTGTAATAATTTTTTATTGAGGCTAATAGTGGGACAAATTATATAACATTTGTTAGTTTGAACCCATATTGGTGTAACATTGGCAAGTTTCTTTGTAATACAGATGAGGCACAAGGAAGTTATTATTATATAGGGTACCTCATGGACAATATAGACTTTGCCATGTTTCTGGGCACAGATGGAAGATTAGCTATTTAGAGTATATAAGACCTGGAAGTTCTTATCTGGCAGGTGTATAGCTATGTGCTGCACTAATGTGGACCGTCTGAAGAATGAGGCGCCGCAGTGATCACAGATGTAAGGACGCTCTCCTGTGTGACGACGTTCGTGGATCTGGTAGACAAAATATATGAAAGGCATTGCCGTGACAATAATGGTACATGTTTAGTTTGTTTATCTAATTTATCTTGTTTCGTTGTCCTAAAAAATACAAATACCGCTAAATATGATACCTTTACTAGAGTAATTCATCATTAAGTACACTTAATATAGTTTTTCGACACTCCATACACAATGACCATAGTTTATATTATATACATAATAAACGGTCAAAAAGATAAGTAATTTATATATAAAATATATTATAGACATCATGTTGTGGCTCTAAATAAAATGAAAGACAAGTCAGGAATAAAAAGTAAATTAGTATTTAAGTACTCATTCAAAGCTTTTTATTTATGAGGGTATCTTTGAAAGGGAAAATTACTAGTTGTATAGTTATACATAAGGATTAAATCGAGGGCCCGAATATGATAAGTTCTGAATGTTAAATATTATGGAGTATCTGTGTGTGTGTGTGTGTGTGTGTGTGTGTTTGTGTGTGTGTGTGTGTGTGTGTGTATATACTCACAATAAGTGCTTCCTTGGTCGCCGAGCTGTACTCACAGTAGGCGCACTTATGTATCTTCCCCAGGCCGTGTCGAGCTCGCTTGTGTTCCTGTAATTGATTGTTGTTCCTGCAACGCTTCCCGCACGCCTGTGACAAGGAATGGAGATTATATGAAGCCATTTTTCTTGCAAATAATTGAACTGATGGGTTGATTTTATATTATTCATCGACTGAATCCTATTGTTTGACTGCTGAAATTCCACTTTGAAGATAATTGTTATGAAATAAAAGTTGGTCATCGCATATTGAAATTATAGCCTTTTCACTATTGCTATGAATATCACCAAAATCTAAGTTTATATAGTTGGTAGAGCCTAGCTGTAGTCAAGTTACTACAGCTCGAACATGGTCTGTCTCGAAAGTGGAAGTACCACCCTCTTACTGAAGATCGGCGTGAACTAGTCTTTAATGGATGCGTTTAGTATGAGGAGTGAGAGAGACGGTTGCTCTATCCTTCTCCCACCTTTGCTTGCCTTCTCTCACAATCAAGTTCGGCAAAAATAAACAACATCCCTTATTTTGCAGGAGTCTATAGCCTTATAGACCATCAAGTAGACCGTCAGGTATTTTGCCGCCATTGATATAGAAAAAATAACTTTAAAGAACCTTAAAGTCCAGTAAAACAGATCATAATTCCTCAATATCTTAGAAACCACAAAATTATTCACATGTGTGATCAAACTCACCTCACAAACACAGTAGTGTGTGTGGAACCTCAGATGTGCTGTATATGTGGCCTTCATCCTGAACTCTTTACCGCACACATGACACTTGTAGGTACCGTTGGGCCCGATACACTTCTGCCTGCCTCGAGTTGGTTTCTGCATCTGTGACAATAAATTTACTAATTAATTCTTCATTCACACAATAATATTAAATTGGTTAAGAGAGAAATAAAAGACCGTTTTATTGTCTGGTAACAATATGATGTATAATTTTGCATTGAAACTTCAACAAATATAAAGGAGTTGTGGTTATTAAAAGGTCAATATGTACTGAAGACATATTGAATATAGAATGAATAAAAAGTTATTAATAGTATAACTAATATGTAGTTTCTAAGTTAGTCAGTGGTAGCCTAGTGGTTAAAAGGCCCACCTCTCATGAGGGCACAGGTTTGATACCTGGCAAGTACCAATGTGATTGTTCCGATTCATATGTACTTTCTAAGAGTATTTAGACATCACTGATTACAGCATTCCTAAAGAGGGTTGATGTCACGCAAGCGGCCGGTCGTAAAAACAATTAGCTAAAACTATTCACAACCAGGCAGACCCTGGCCATAGCTCGGAAAATTGCCAGGTAGAAGAAGAACTAATATGTAGTTAAACTATTTATAACTCAAGAACAATTGTATGGATATGGATGAAGATTGGTGGAGAGATAGATTAGAACAAAGAGACGGACATATCATTAGTCAGATATATTACCAATACATATATGGCCAATTCTGAAATGAAACCTAGTGTATTATTACCCCTTTATTTTATAACTACATTAATTGATATAGTGTAAGAGATTACTCAAAGCTTTCATTAGTTATTCTTACCACTTAAACTTATTACTAATGATAATTAATTTTACCTCTCTCTTAGTAGTTTCGGGTTCCTCTTTATAAGTATAGTTATAATAATCATAGTTCTGGTAGTCAGCATCATATGTTGTATCTTCTAGATCATTCTTGAGTTCCACTTCATCCGATTCTGGTTCGGTCTTTATGGCACTGGCTTTTGGGAGACTCGTGCTTGGATTTGAATGTTTTGTCCTCACCGTCATACTGAGAAGAGTTTTCTCAGTCTTCTTGCTGATTCTTCTGAATCTAAGCGCCGTTTTGATCGTTTTGATGCAGACGGAGCAAATTTTTTGTGATAATCCGTCATTGTATTTAATCTGTTAAAAATATATTAATAATTATAAAATGTGATACAACAATAGTTAATTAGCAAGAATTATTAATATTTATTAATATAAACGAGTGATTATTAAAATCAGTTGATAATAACGAATTTATTCTAATAACTTACTTCTAAACCGGTTACGAGACGTAATTCTTCAGACTTCTTATCTTTAGATTCCACTTTGCTAAAAATCAGTTCTAGGTTCTTTGTGCTCAAGCAGGTCCTGCAGAATCCGCTGCCAGATTCTTTTTTAATAGTTTTCATCGGCTTAGCTTTGCTAGCAGTACGTCGAGACGCCATACGATTTAATAGAAGAAATATAGGCAACATGTTTAGGATAAGTAAAAATATAACATGCTTCTCGATCGATTGAAAGATCTTGTATTAAGTTTTAGAGAAAAATTATAAACTATATGATTAAATAGAATTAATTGGAGATCATTACAACTAGGTACCTACAATATTATTTTTATTTACAAACTTTGACAGTACAGTATTGACATTCAGGTTGGTTTACTTCTTTATTGGGACGGGAATAGGTTCAACGTATTCAGCCAATTGTATTTAACTATTAATTAAAATACTATAATATGATATTAAAATAAGGATAAATGATGTTATATTTTTATTAAATTAGTATATTTACTAATTATTATACCAAAAAAATATGATTAATACAATAATATCCATGTTTTCGAATAAATTCATGAAAATAAAAAATATATTAGTAAACTCTTTTCTTATTAAGTAGACATGCTGTATATAATTAAATATATTTTTAGTATCTATTTCGTAATTTATATGCAACAAATACTCTTAAATAAATAAAATACTAATATTTACGTTTATTCATATACTTACACCTCATTCAGCTCTAATAAGTACTAACAAAAGGCGATAAACAATATTCGTGTATTTGTTTCTAAATACCTACGTTAAAATTATAATCAAGGACGGAGAGATCCATATTTAAAAGTAAACATTAGTGACGCTGAAACTTATATTTTTCATAAATACCTACTACGCGACTTTATTTTCGATATAAACTACATACTCCTGACTTCGGTTACTTTTCAGCAACCGTGATCATTAAGACGAGATGTGAATGTAACCGAAACGTCGGGAGTATGTAGTTTTTAAATAAAAAAGTCGCGTAGTATATAAGAAAAATATTAGTTTCATTTAAATGACTCGAGAATCTCAGATCTCATTATTGGTGACGCCACCAGCTATTCTGTTAATTTTGACAAAATAGACTCGTTGAAATCTTGTTATATAGATGACTTGCGTTTAGTCAGCTCATGACTCACGAGTTTATTGGGATCCTATTTTAGGTGTAATCTGATGTAATAGAAATTGCGTGTATAATAAATAAAATATGTTTATCCTACTAATATTGAAAAAGCTAAAGTTTGTTAGAATCTAGGGACGTGTAAAGATATTTATTGCCATTAAGCAACAAAAAATCTAGGTACATAATGGTGTTGCATGTTTTGGATCAAGGTATTAAATTATAATCCCAAAGTCCACATGGTCAAAGTCACAGATAAAAAACTAATTATCAAGTAATAATACACTAAAGAGGTTTTCGTATTTGAGTTTTTAGTTAGAGATTTTATTTAAATAGCGAGTAAGGAGGTTTTAGTTATATTTTTATAATAATTGTCATTCAATATATGCGTGGAGTACATAATGGGATCTAAGACTTTCGCAAGCACTTAAATAAAAGCATATTTTTGGATTACTACGTGTTTTTTATTATTTTAAACTACAAATTCTTATTTTTGATTACTTTTCAGCAACCGTGATCACGACAACTCACACCAGTTAGTAATAGCAGATTTTTAGTTTTAATTATTTTTATGGATCGTTTACGAGACAAGTTATTGTATAGTAAATGACCCGGCGAACCTCGTACCGCCCTATAATCAAGAAATATCAGTTACCTTTTTATCTGAATGAAGTTAATTTCTTTATTAAGCACTAGAAGTCCCGGCGAACTTCGTATCGCCCTATAATCAAGAAATATCTGTTACGTTTTTGTTATTTATATTTTTGGAGTTTACCTGTAAGCCGAGAACAGCTGAACGGATTTATCTTATCTTAGTCTTGAAATGTTCGTGGAGGTTCAGGGAAGGTTTAAAAGCTGAAAAAAATTGATTCATTTTCGGGAAAACCCTAAAAGCAGCTCTTTTCTATTTCCCATACAAACGTTTTCTTTTGTCAACCATTCTGTTCGATTGAAACAGGAAAAACCTGATTATTTAACGCCTCTAAGATGGAATAGAGTTCGCCCGGTCAGCTATACATATATTACTAATGACGAATCTAACGCGGACATAGCCGCGGGCAAATTCTAGTATTTTATATATATATTATTGATAATATTTCAGTACTACATCCCGTGTCAGTTATTTTCCCGCCGTGGTATTGTACGCTAATAATTTTGAAGGTCGTTTTGTAAACGAAAATCTGATTACCGCCTCTCGTTTCTGATAGACATATATATATTTTAATTTCTTCAAACTATAACCGCCATGTTTGTTTTTGATAAAACATTTTCAGAGAATAACCCTCTGAGCATCCATTTTGGAAAGTTTAAAATACTACCAACTTGTTATTTTATCTCAAGTTATCTACAAATATATCCCTAATAATATAATAAATGCGAAAGTAACTCTGTCTGTCTGTTACGCTCTCACGCCTAAACCACGGAACTGATTTTAATGAAATTTGGTACAGAGATGGAGTTGACCTTGAGAAAGAACATAGGATAGTTTTTATCCCAGACTATTGAAAGGTTCTCTTGGAAACGAGATATAACCGAACTACACGCGGGCGAAACCGCGGAAGGAAAGCTAGTACATATATATATATGTATATTATATATTTTTAGATTACTTAAGAATAATAACATTTTGCATATTAATGGAATTATGAATATTAATTTAATATTAATTATTATGTTTTATAAATTAACATAATTTAATATTACCAATAGAATTAATATATTGTAGAAGTTGCATTTATTAATAATATTAAATGTTGTATAGTATCTTATTATCAAAGAGTATTTAGACGTCTGATTAATGCATTTCCAAAGAGGGTTGATGTCAGGCAGGCGGCCGTAAAAACAATTAGCCGAAACTATTCACAACATGTAAGGCTCTGGCTTAAGCTGGAAAATTGACAGGTAGAAGAAGTATCTTTTTCTAACAATTCTTATTTGTAAAATCTAATTCAATAAAAATTAAATGAACAAACAATACATTATTTGCTTACAAGATACTAATCAATAAAAAATACAAGTGTTAATGAGAAAAAACGTTAAATTGTACTTCCTTATGACATAGATGATGATAGATAAGTATTATTAATAATTTTAATCAATTTTATTATAAAATATCAATATTATATTAAGCGAAACTACTTATAAGTTCTATCAAGGTTGCGTTAAACGTTCAACGCACCTGGGTTATGAGAATAGAAAGAAATGTTGCAAGAATGGGTATGTCAATTGTGACTTGTAAGCGAAATTTATATACATAGTTTGTCTTAAAATGATATCAATCAAAAATCAATTTTAAGCGTTTCCTATTATCATTTTTACATTCATCATCATCATCAGAGCCCACTGCTGAGCCTCTCCTCACATGGAGAAGGTTTAAGCATTAATTATCACGCTCGCTCAACACGGGTTGGTGATTTCAAACTTATAATTTGATATAAATCAATATTTCATCATATTATCCATTATTAGTCAGTGATGTCTAAATACTCTTAAGTACATATGACTCGGAACAATCATTTAAGTACTTGTCAGGATCGAACCCGCGCCCTCGTACTAGAGGCGGACCTTTAACCACTAAACTTAAAACAATATCAACTAAAAATCAATTTATTTCCATTCCTTTCATCATTTTTACATTATAAAGTTTCATTTATTCTTCTCGAAGGGACTGAAAGAACTATTATATTGTTATGAAATCATTGTAGCCAACCAAACGCTACTAATAAGACTACCAACATAATTCGTGTTTGCTTCAGTAATGTGATGTCATACACTGTGAGTTTCCTGTATATTTTTCCATGACATTTAAATGGAAGCTCTCAACGAGATTATAATGGAAAAAAATTATGTAAAGTAACCGAAACGTCGGGAGTATGTAAGAAAAACATTAGTTTCATTTAAATAACTCGAAAATATCAGATCTGATTATAGATATATAAATATTTAATAGCCTTTGATAATATCTTTTAAAGATATAAATGTTTTATGAATTTAGGTCTGAATTTTTTATTAATATTTTTTTCCCGCCAATTTCTTGTGTACTAGTACCTAATTTAAATTTTATTTATATAATAATCTTTATATAACATTATTTATGAAATAAATCTATTTATTATTATCAGCTTAATATAACTCTTGTTATAATAAAGACAATAAAAATACATTCAATTAGTTTTGGTTTTTATTTACAATAATAATATAGTGAAGCGTCTTCGCCTTAAATGTTTATATAAGGCGTCCTTATATCACACAGTCAGTCAGTCTTGAAGCGTTGTTGAAGCTTGAAGTGAAGTTGAAACAAAAATTGAAGTGAAGTTGAACAAAATGTCAGCGCCGCTCATCGTGTTGAACAACGGACGTACGTGTCCCGTCCTTGGACTGGGGACTTGGAAGGTAATTAAAAAAAATAACTGTCACTTGTTTTAAATTAACCAAAGAGTTTGTATATCAAAGGAGTTTAATTTTACTAATTAAAATATGTGTTTTTTGTATATTATTGAATATGTTGAAGTTAAAATAATCTTGAGCTAGTGCCAACTAGCATCTAGAACGAATGACGGCGATCGTGTTATCAGAATTATCTTGATTTAAGATACAAGTGTCGTTAAAAAACATGGATAGATAAAAATATTTTCAAAATAATGAATTAAATTTAGTTTAAATTATAAAAATATCGGTTATTTTAAATAATTCCGCATTTATTTTCTATATTTATAAAAGTACGGAAGTGTTTCAAGTAATTTTTTCTTGTCGGCTGATTCTTCTCAAACCAAGGCCGTATGTGTGCAAAAAAATATTAAGAAACTGAAAAGCCATGACTAATACCACGTTACTTATGTACAATTATATCAAATATTATGTTATAATAACTATAGTTATGTAGTTCTTTTGTTTTTTATATAAAAACAATATTAATAATAATATTTTAATTAAAAATATGGTATGATAAATTCTTCATATAACAAAATGAATGTCTAATTATAATTTTACCAAACGAGCTATAAGTGTCCAATTTTTGATATTATATGTATTTCAATTTAAAAAAACCCTAGTGGGATTATAAATCTGGGTTATTTTCAAATTTGGAGCTTGTACGGTGGAGGTGAGCGTTTAACACGCGTTAGATAGGGTCCTCTTAAACCTGTGCCCTGTCTCTGACAGATCCGGGGTACACCGACATAGCGGCCGATGGCTTTCGCAGTTGTTTTAGTGAGTAGGGGCCTGTCCAGGCCGAGCCTCACACATCCCTTCCGGCCCCACCAAGGCCGGTTGGACGGCTCGTAAAAAGAATTTCCCTGCGACTTAAAAAAAGGGTCTCTTAAACCTACACCTGGGTCACAAGTCCCAGTCACTGTTGAAGCTCCTCTCACTACAACGATGGACCCGACACACGCACCGTGAATACATTGAATGATGAGAGGTTTCGTCTCTCTATATATATTAAACCTACACCTGGGTCACAAGTCCCAGTCACTGTTGAAGCTCCTCTCACTACAACGATGGACCCGACACACGCACCGTGAATACATTGAATGATGAGAGGTTTCGTCTCTCTATATATATTAAACCTACACCTGGGTCACAAGTCCCAGGCACTGTTGAAGCTCCTCTCACTACAACGATGGACCCGACACACGCACCGTGAATACATTGAATGATGAGAGGTTTCGTCTCTCTATATATATTAAACCTACACCTGGGTCACAAGTCCCAGTCACTGTTGAAGCTCCTCTCACTACAACGATGGACCCGACACACGCACCGTGAATACATTGAATGATGAGAGGTTTCGTCTCTCTATATATATTAAACCTACACCTGGGTCACAAGTCCCAGGCACTGTTGAAGCTCCTCTCACTACAACGATGGACCCGACACACGCACCGTGAATACATTGAATGATGAGAGGTTTCGTCTCTCTATATATATTAAACCTACACCTGGGTCACAAGTCCCAGGCACTGTTGAAGCTCCTCTCACTACAACGATGGACCCGACACACGCACCGTGAATACATTGAATGATGAGAGGTTTCGTCTCTCTATATATATTAAACCTACACCTGGGTCACAAGTCCCAGGCACTGTTGAAGCTCCTCTCACTACAACGATGGACCCGACACACGCACCGTGAATACATTGAATGATGAGAGGTTTCGTCTCTCTATATATATTAAACCTACACCTGGGTCACAAGTCCCAGTCACTGTTGAAGCTCCTCTCACTACAACGATGGACCCGACACACGCACCGTGAATACATTGAATGATGAGAGGTTTCGTCTCTCTATATATATTAAACCTACACCTGGGTCACAAGTCCCAGGCACTGTTGAAGCTCCTCTCACTACAACGATGGACCCGACACACGCACCGTGAATACATTGAATGATGAGAGGTTTCGTCTCTCTATATATATTAAACCTACACCTGGGTCACAAGTCCCAGTCACTGTTGAAGCTCCTCTCACTACAACGATGGACCCGACACACGCACCGTGAATACATTGAATGATGAGAGGTTTCGTCTCTCTATATATATTAAACCTACACCTGGGTCACAAGTCCCAGGCACTGTTGAAGCTCCTCTCACTACAACGATGGACCCGACACACGCACCGTGAATACATTGAATGATGAGAGGTTTCGTCTCTCTATATATATTAAACCTACACCTGGGTCACAAGTCCCAGTCACTGTTGAAGCTCCTCTCACTACAACGATGGACCCGACACACGCACCGTGAATACATTGAATGATGAGAGGTTTCGTCTCTCTATATATATTAAACCCACACCTGGGTCACAAGTCACAGTCACTGTTGAAGCTCCTCTCACTACAACGATGGACCCGACACACGCACCGTGAATACATTGAATGATGAGAGGTTTCGTCTCTCTATATATATTAAACCTACACCTGGGTCACAAGTCCCAGGCACTGTTGAAGCTCCTCTCACTACAACGATGGACCCGACACACGCACCGTGAATACATTGAATGATGAGAGGTTTCGTCTCTCTATATATATTAAACCTACACCTGGGTCACAAGTCCCAGTCACTGTTGAAGCTCCTCTCACTACAACGATGGACCCGACACACGCACCGTGAATACATTGAATGATGAGAGGTTTCGTCTCTCTATATATATTAAACCCACACCTGGGTCACAAGTCACAGTCACTGTTGAAGCTCCTCTCACTACAACGATGGACCCGACACACGCACCGTGAATACATTGAATGATGAGAGGTTTCGTCTCTCTATATATATTAAACCTACACCTGGGTCACAAGTCCCAGGCACTGTTGAAGCTCCTCTCACTACAACGATGGACCCGACACACGCACCGTGAATACATTGAATGATGAGAGGTTTCGTCTCTCTATATATATTAAACCTACACCTGGGTCACAAGTCCCAGGCACTGTTGAAGCTCCTCTCACTACAACGATGGACCCGACACACGCACCGTGAATACATTGAATGATGAGAGGTTTCGTCTCTCTATATATATTAAACCTACACCTGGGTCACAAGTCCCAGTCACTGTTGAAGCTCCTCTCACTACAACGATGGACCCGACACACGCACCGTGAATACATTGAATGATGAGAGGTTTCGTCTCTCTATATATATTAAACCTACACCTGGGTCACAAGTCCCAGGCACTGTTGAAGCTCCTCTCACTACAACGATGGACCCGACACACGCACCGTGAATACATTGAATGATGAGAGGTTTCGTCTCTCTATATATATTAAACCTACACCTGGGTCACAAGTCCCAGTCACTGTTGAAGCTCCTCTCACTACAACGATGGACCCGACACACGCACCGTGAATACATTGAATGATGAGAGGTTTCGTCTCTCTATATATATTAAACCTACACCTGGGTCACAAGTCCCAGTCACTGTTGAAGCTCCTCTCACTACAACGATGGACCCGACACACGCACCGTGAATACATGGAGTGATGAGTTTCGTTTCTCATAAAAAAATTATTATCCTATTACACTTTTTTTACTTTAATTCAATATGTGTATATATAAAATTGAAATTATTTTGATAAACATCACTATTATATTTGATTATCAATCTAATTGACTCGTGTTTGTTTGTTTATGTAATGTTACATCATTTCTTGTAACCAGTGACATAGACTATTGTTTTATTTATTTAATTCTAATTGTTTCTTATAAAAAACATAATTTCCTGTATAATTATAACTTTTTTTGATGTTGGAGAGAACTCATCAGTAAAATATGAAAGGAATCTACATTTATGTGTCTGTTACGTAAAAATATCTGAATTGTATCCTTACTTCATGTTTCTTTGTTACACTACATACGCGGAGTTAACAGTATTTCATTAATAAATCTTGCGAAGTATAAGACGAAACTCATCATTCAATGTATTCACGGTGCGTGTGTCGGGTCCATCGTTGTAGTGAGAGGAGCTTCAACAGTGACTGGGACTTGTGACCCAGGTGTAGGTTTAATATATATAGAGAGACGAAACCTCTCATCATTCAATGTATTCACGGTGCGTGTGTCGGGTCCATCGTTGTAGTGAGAGGAGCTTCAACAGTGACTGGGACTTGTGACCCAGGTGTAGGTTTAATATATATAGAGAGACGAAACCTCTCATCATTCAATGTATTCACGGTGCGTGTGTCGGGTCCATCGTTGTAGTGAGAGGAGCTTCAACAGTGACTGGGACTTGTGACCCAGGTGTAGGTTTAATATATATAGAGAGACGAAACCTCTCATCATTCCATGTATTCACGGTGCGTGTGTCGGGTCCATCGTTGTAGTGAGAGGAGCTTCAACAGTGACTGGGACTTGTGACCCAGGTGTAGGTTTAATATATATAGAGAGACGAAACCTCTCATCATTCAATGTATTCACGGTGCGTGTGTCGGGTCCATCGTTGTAGTGAGAGGAGCTTCAACAGTGACTGGGACTTGTGACCCAGGTGTAGGTTTAATATATATAGAGAGACGAAACCTCTCATCATTCAATGTATTCACGGTGCGTGTGTCGGGTCCATCGTTGTAGTGAGAGGAGCTTCAACAGTGACTGGGACTTGTGACCCAGGTGTAGGTTTAATATATATAGAGAGCCGTAACCTCTCATCATTCCATGTATTCACGGTGCGTGTGTCGGGTCCATCGTTGTAGTGAGAGGAGCTTCAACAGTGACTGGGACTTGTGACCCAGGTGTAGGTTTAATATATATAGAGAGCCGTAACCTCTCATCATTCAATGTATTCACGGTGCGTGTGTCGGGTCCATCGTTGTAGTGAGAGGAGCTTCAACAGTGACTGGGACTTGTGACCCAGGTGTAGGTTTAATATATATAGAGAGCCGTAACCTCTCATCATTCCATGTATTCACGGTGCGTGTGTCGGGTCCATCGTTGTAGTGAGAGGAGCTTCAACAGTGACTGGGACTTGTGACCCAGGTGTAGGTTTAATATATATAGAGAGCCGTAACCTCTCATCATTCCATGTATTCACGGTGCGTGTGTCGGGTCCATCGTTGTAGTGAGAGGAGCTTCAACAGTGACTGGGACTTGTGACCCAGGTGTAGGTTTAATATATATAGAGAGCCGTAACCTCTCATCATTCCATGTATTCACGGTGCGTGTGTCGGGTCCATCGTTGTAGTGAGAGGAGCTTCAACAGTGACTGGGACTTGTGACCCAGGTGTAGGTTTAATATATATAGAGAGCCGTAACCTCTCATCATTCCATGTATTCACGGTGCATGTGTCGGGTCCATCGTTGTAGTGAGAGGAGCTTCAACAGTGACTGGGACTTGTGACCCAGGTGTAGGTTTAATATATATAGAGAGCCGTAACCTCTCATCATTCCATGTATTCACGGTGCGTGTGTCGGGTCCATCGTTGTAGTGAGAGGAGCTTCAACAGTGACTGGGACTTGTGACCCAGGTGTAGGTTTAATATATATAGAGAGCCGTAACCTCTCATCATTCCATGTATTCACGGTGCGTGTGTCGGGTCCATCGTTGTAGTGAGAGGAGCTTCAACAGTGACTGGGACTTGTGACCCAGGTGTAGGTTTAATATATATAGAGAGCCGTAACCTCTCATCATTCCATGTATTCACGGTGCGTGTGTCGGGTCCATCGTTGTAGTGAGAGGAGCTTCAACAGTGACTGGGACTTGTGACCCAGGTGTAGGTTTAATATATATAGAGAGCCGTAACCTCTCATCATTCCATGTATTCACGGTGCGTGTGTCGGGTCCATCGTTGTAGTGAGAGGAGCTTCAACAGTGACTGGGACTTGTGACCCAGGTGTAGGTTTAATATATATAGAGAGCCGTAACCTCTCATCATTCCATGTATTCACGGTGCGTGTGTCGGGTCCATCGTTGTAGTGAGAGGAGCTTCAACAGTGACTGGGACTTGCGACCCAGGTGTAGGTTTAAGGGACCCTATCTAACGCGTCAAACGATCACAATATATTATTGTATGAGAAACGCGAAACTCCTCGTATGTATGTAGTAACGATGATGATTATAGTAAGCGTACATTTAATCAAAACTAATTCTCTCTTACCACAAGTTTGCATATCATATTAAAAACGAATTTTATTTTTCAATTCGTAAATCTTCTCCCGTTATAGAATGCATAGGTATATTTAATAATAATTTGATTTGTCGTTGTTTATTTCGACTTTGCGAACTATTCTTAAATTCTGGAAGGTTATGAAAGGTTCTAGAAGGTTTTGGAAGATTCTGGAAGGTTCTGGAAAGTTCTGGAAAGTTCTGGAAAGTTCTGGTAGCTTCTTCATCATGTTTCTGTTTACAGTCCAAGCCTGGAGAGGTGACAGAAGCTGTGAAGGCGGCGATTGACGTTGGCTACAGACACATAGACTGCGCTTACATATACCTGAATGAGAAGGAGGTTGGGGAGGCTCTTAAGAAGAAACTAGAAGATGGAGTTATAAAACGGTGATTATATTATACTAGCTTTCGCCCGCGTGGAGTTCGGTTATATCGCGTTTCCAAGAGAACCTTTCAAAAGTCTGGGATAAAAACTATCCTATGTTCTTTCTTAAGGTCAACTCTGTCTGTACCAAATTTCATTAAAATCAGTTCAGTGGTTTAGGCGTGAAAGCGTAACAGACAGACGGACAGACAGAGTTACTTTCGCATTTATAATATTTGTAGGGATAGTAATTATTATTACTAAAGATTAGTAAAAGAATTTGAAGGTATAAATAACGGTACGCTGAAAACTTTTTTACTCTTACTTTTAGTTTCCATAGTTTACTAAATAAAAATATGGTGGTGGCCTAAAGGTTAAAGGCTCGCCTCTCGTGCATGAGGGAGATTCGATACCTAGCAAGTACCAATGTGATTGTTCCGAGTCATATGTACTTAAGAGTATTTAGACATAACTGACTGATGAAGGAAAATATGAGGAAACATGGACTTCTATCAAATTATAAGTTTGAAATCACCAACCCGTCTTGAGCTAGCGTGGTGATTAATATTCAAACCTTCTCCATGTGAAAAGCCTTTCAGCAGTGGGCTCTGATAGGCTGATGATGATGATTAATAAAACAGTATTCAGTTTATTCCTAAATCTTGACGCATAGTGTCGACGTGTAATCTATCTGTGTACACACGATTCGTTTCGAGTTTTTCACTCAATAAACTACGTTAATACTATTCGATATATGGATTACAAACTGTTGACTCTACGTGTGTAGTATTCACACAAACTCATACTGAGTTTACGTAATATTGAGATTTTAATTAAGTTTTTATCTTTCAATCGCAGTTTGATTAAAAAGTATACACAATCGAATAATGAAACTCATTAGAAGGTGTTACGGACTTACTTTAATTTAATTCGTTAAGTACACGTAAAATTTACTATTACTTACGAGAATTATTTTAATGTCACTTCTACTAATATCTCTACGACACAATCTCATACTAAGACCCAGTTTCACCAATCAATGTTAAATAAGTAACATCTTGCTAAGGCGTTTGATGCTCTGTTAGATGTATCGAGCGTCCCACCACGCACAAATGTCCGTTTAAATGTCTTAACAAGCCACTAATATTAATTCCTACTCTGGAGCTCCGTCTAATGGCTAACAGAATGTTAATGCACTGTCAAAACTCAATTATCCAGTCACAGCCCTGATTTCTTATAATCATAGTAACGTCATCTGTTTTGTCAGTTTCTAAGGTTTGGATTTTTATCACAAGTACTTTTAATTAACAAATTTTGCCTTCAGTGAAGATATTTTCATCACGTCAAAGCTATGGTGTACTTATCACCGTCCCGACCTGGTCGAGGGTGCTATCAAGAGGACCCTCGAAGACTTGGGTCTGGAGTACTTGGACCTGTACCTCATACACTGGCCGCAAGCCTTTAAGGTAAGGCAGCATAAAATGTAATACATTTAAATCTATATATAAAAAGAAAGTCATGTTAGTTACACTATTTATAACACAAGAACGACTGTACGGATATGGATGAAGATTGGTTGAGAGATAGATTAGAACATAGAAAGGACATAGGATACTTTACATACTGTTGAAAAATAGAAAAACAAGTTGATCAAATAAAAAATGTTATCTACTGTCTTTAAGGAGGAATAGAGTTCGCCCGGTCAGCTATGCATTACTAATTCTAAAACTAACGCGGACGAAGTCGCGGTCAAAAACTTGTATATATAAAAAACCAAAAAAACTCTTATATCTGATTATATTAACACATATACATATATGTATACTTATATAAATAATAATTCTGTATCCCAGTAATAGAAAAGAAATGTTATATACATAAACATATATACATACTAGTTCTTGCCTCAACTTCGTATGCGTCAAATTCAGGATTATAAAAAGGCTAAAATATCTAAACCGGCTAACTCTGTTTCTCCTTAAAGACAATAAGGATAGAGGATTTCGAATAGTATTCAGTTAAATGTGTTTGTCTTTTTAAGTCAAAATGATAAAAAGTGTTTTGTGTCCGTCTCCTGGTTCTAAATTACCTCCCAAACAATTTTCATTCAAATCGGTACAGACATTCTCAAGCCACAAATGGGTTAACTAAATATATATTTATATTTCTGTTCTTTATAAGAGTATTTAGACATCACTGATTAATGCATTCCCAAAGAGGGTTGATGTCAGGCAGGCGGCCAGTCATAAAACGTATAGTCAAAACTATTGACATGTTCTGTGGAAGAGAAGAACATATGAAAAAAAGAAAAAAATATATATATACATATATTTATGAATGTTATTTTATCAGATACTATTAAATATAGTTTTTAAATCGATCTGAGTTTATAACCAACACTTTATTTGATAGCTATGTCTTGTTATAGCCAGCCTTTGTTTATTCTCTTTGTCCTCGACGCTGAGATCGATACTGTTCAATTATTTACATGTAATGACTATCGCTTTAGTAATACATTATTTTCATCAAATGTTCGATTCTTATGCACACCATTTATTGAATAATAAAACTACAATGCTACTACGCTAGATACCTACTATTCCGCGCTACATACATACAGCAGGTTTCGAATTTATTGTGAATTAATTTTTTTTTTTGATTCAGGTTATTTTATACTTATTATTCTATGCTGATGTATTTATTTTAATCTATTAGTGATATATATTATCGAGTTCAAAGGAACGCCCTCTGTTACATAACATACTGTATATGTATATACTAGTTTTCTCTTGACTTCGTCTGCGTTAGTTTAATATTTAGCAATATATATCTGACCGGGCGAACTCTGTTACTACTTAAAGACAGTAGATAAGATTTTGAATTTGATCAACTTATTTTTTCTTCTTTTTCAATTGTATTAAGTATATATCCTATGTCCTTTCTATGTTCTAATCTATCTCTCCATCAATCTTCATCCAAACCAGTACAGTTGTTCGTAAGTTATATATAGTGTAACTAACACGACTTTCTTTTATATATATAAAAGATTATATAGTTCATCTTAATACTACATAGAACCATTTATATATACATTTTCAGTAAATACAATTTATTCACAGTTAAAATCTTTCTTTAATATCGAAACTTCTATAATAATTTACAATAGAAAATTAAGTAAAATTAACAATGAAGGTATTAAATATTGTAGAAATTAAAATCATGAGGTTTTTTTATAGGAAGGTGAAGAGTTATTCCCGAAGGATGACGAAGGGAAGATGATTCCGTCACCAGCAGACTACGTGGAGACCTGGAAAGCTATGGAGGCCCTGGTCGATAAAGGATTGACCAAGAGCATCGGACTATCAAACTTCAACAAGCGACAGATCGACCGGGTCATGGAAGTGGCGAGAATCAAACCTGCTATGTTACAGGTGAGAGAGTTCAATATACAATTACTAGCTTTCAGCTTCGCCCGCGTGGAGTTCGGTTATATCGCGTTCCCAAGAGAACCTTTCAAAAGTCTGGGATAAAAACTATCCTATGTTCTTTCTAAAGGTCAATTCTGTGTCTGTACCAAATTTCATTAAAATCAGTTCAGTGGTTTAGGCGTGAAAGGGTAACAGACAGACAGAGTTACTTTCGCATTTATAATATTAGTAGGGATAAATATATTTCTAGTGTTTGTATCTATACAATATATATAACACACTAGTAGTGAGACAGGGACTAGTTATACTTACATATAGGACCAGGGTCCTACAGTATTAAAAAACTATTATAGTTGTATAGTTTAAGTCTTGCAGTAGTAAATAGGAAGAAATATTTGTTTTTAATATAGATAATCTTCAATTTAATGGTCTAGAACATAATTAATATGTCTACTTTAGGATTCAATCATGCTGTTATTTATTCACAACTAAATGAAACTAATATTATTTGTATTCCTACGCGTTATTTTATTATTTTAACTTCATACGACAACGTGTCGGTTACTTTACAACCGTGATCATTAAAACGAGATTTGAAAGTAACTGAAACGTCGGGAATGTAGTCTAAAATAATAAAATACGTGTTGTAATCAACTAATAAACTAATTTCGGGTTATAAATATAGTTTCTAGTAGAGATATCTTTTAACAGATAAGTCATCCTTTGTGCATCAAATTTCTTTTATAACAATGTAACTTTCTTCTAGTACGAGTGCATCTATATATATAAAAGAAAGTCGTGTTAGTGACTGCACTTATAACCCAAGAACGGATGAACCGATTTAGCTGAAAATTGGCAGGGAGGTAGTTTAGAGCCAGGAAATTGCAATAGGATACTTTTTATCCCGTTCGACAGCATTCCCTTGGGACTTGACATGAAACGTCAGTCATTATAAAACGTGGAATAACACAATTGACAGCTATGCAATTAACGTATAATGACAGATATGTAATGACGTATGGATGACAATTAGATATTTGTAAGAAATCTACTATATAAAAATAAAAATATTTAGGTATTGTGTTTGTAGTTTGAACTCTTAAAACCATTTAGTATTTGCGGGATAAATTTAGAAAATCATTGTTTTTCACATGGGCAGTTATATTTTGCGTGTTCTCGAGTTTGGAAACCATACGCTTTATTTGTGTTAAAGTTAGACCAAAAAACAAAAAATGTGGTTTACAAAGGAGCACTTCAATGGAACGGATAATTTGCGGACACGTATTACGCTTCTATTCGGTATCTACTTTGGATTCACTTTCATTTACTTAGAGAAGTTCAACTAAATAACACTTCATTTTTGTATTCGAAATGAATTCATTACTGTTGTTAAATGAAATAAAATATTTCTTTTTCAAATATAAAACAAAAAATTCTTCATCTTTTAATCACCAAACGAAATGTTATATAAAAGCCTTCTGGTGGCGAAACGGAGTTCGCCAGGTTTACTAGTAAATAAATAAATATTAGTTTCATTTAAATCTGTAATTCTAACGCCAAGTAGTGGATCGCAAAGCAATAAAAATATTAACATATTTTTACAAGTTTTTGATTATTCCTAACAAATTTATGAGTCTATGTAACTAGATTTTTGATTATATATAAATAAATAAAAATAATAATAATTAAATGAATACATACGTGAATCTCAGATCTCATTATTCAGAACTAAAGGTTGCCTAGAAGAGATCGCTGCTTAGCGATAAGGACGCCTGTTGAACTTCATGCAATTAATATGTAGAGAAAATGTAATTTTAATTGGGTGCAATAAGGAATAACTAAATAAACTACCCTCCAAAAACTTCAACAGCCTGTTTCTTTCATTCCACAGATCGAAGTCCATCCATATTTAAACCAGTCCAAGCTGATAGATCACTGCTCGTCCCTCGGCATCACGGTGACCGCGTACTCCCCGCTCGGCTCTCCTGACAGACCCTGGGCCAAACCTGACGACCCTCAGCTCTTGGAGGACCAGAGGCTCAAGAATATCGCTGGTCGATACAATAAAACGCCTGCTCAAGTACTCATTAGGTACGAACTCTATACACACACACACACACACACACACACACACACATATATGACAATGACAGATAATCTGACAATCTAAATAAGTAGTTTCGTATCGTTAATTCAGTGAAAAGTACACCCAAAGAAAAGCAATGTATACATGTATTAGTAACTTGTATATGTCGTGGTATCCTATAGTGTTTAAAGGACCGCCTCTCATGCATGAGGGAGGTTCGATACCTGGCAAGTACCAATGTGATTGTTACGAGTCATATGTACTTTATAAGAGTATTTACACTCCACTGAGAGTCAAACATGGAGTTATGTTTTGAGCGGGCGTGATGGTTAATGCTCAAACCTTCTCCATGTAAGAAGAGGCCTTACAGCAGTGGGCTCTGATAGACTGATGATGATGATTAATAATTTGTATTCAAGATTGTAAATAATTTTTTAATGAAATCATTTTTTTCGGATATAACGCCGATTTTGACGCCAAGGGATCGTTTATAAATAAAACGACAACAAACATAACAAACAAAGCCGGCGGCATTAATATAGCAATGAGGTTGTAAACTATGAAGTATTGATATCAATATAAAACACGAGTAGCAATAAAAAGATGTCAGGAGAATTGATAAACATAAAAGTAAAAAACACTTAATATTTTATGACGAACTTTTATAATGATTATTAAAACAATAGATTAAAGAACTCTGTTCTTATCTAATAATAAATTATGATCAACTAGCTGTGACCCGCGATTGCGTCTGCGTAAAAAACAACAACGGAGATAACGATTAATTTTCCAGTCAGGATATATCGCCTATATATTCTGGGCAGCCCCTGGCTAAAGCTGGAATAAGCCAAGAAGAAGAAGAACATAGCCTATATCCGTCCCCAAGGTTCCATCTATCTGTGTACCAAAATTCATTTAAATCGGTTCAGCCGTTTCGGCGTTTAAACGTAACAAACAGACAGACAAAGCTACTGTTTATAATAGAAGGGATATGTTTACCAAAAGTTCATATTGCTCACACTACATACGACTCGTTTCTCGTTAAATCTGCGTTAGTTTAATGTGGCAAGATTTATGGAAAAAACTGTTAACTCTGCGTGTGGAGTGACGTTATAATTTGTAGTAAGTTTAGTTAAACTCGGATTACAAGGTTTGCAATTATGACTGAAGATTTTGGGGGTTAATGACCGATATAAGATTTATTGAATCTAGCGATAATAAAGTCAAAGTTTATTTTTCTTAAGTGATACTTCTTCTTCTACCTGGCAATTTCCTAGCTATAGCCAGGGTCTGCCTTACATGTTGTGAATAGTTTTGGCTAATTGTTTTAAGGGCGCCTGCCTGACATCAACCCTCTTTGGGAATGCATTAATCAGTGATGTCTAAATACTCTTATAAAGTACATATGACTCGGAAAAATCACATTGGGACTTGCCCGGGCCAGGATCGAAATCCTCATGAATGAGAGGCGGCCTTTTAACCACTAGGACACCACTGACTTAATTTTTCTTATGTGATAATACCCCAGGATTTTTCTAAGACTATTATATTAATTTTACGCAGGTACGCCATCGACCGAGGCCTGGTAGTGATCCCCAAGTCTGTGACGAAGAGTCGTATCGAACAGAACTTCCAGGTGTTGGATTTCCAGCTGTCACCCGAAGATATTGAGCTCATCGCGACGTTTGAGTGTAACGGACGCTTCTGTTCTATGGGAGAGTGAGTATAAACATATGAATTAGGTATAAATAATTCGAGGTAATTAAACATATGGGGTGGCATCCAGAGGTTCCAGGAAAACTACGAAACTTATACGTATATTATAAAAGAACTACATATTAAAACTTATAACCTACACCTAAGACTACATGATTGACCCGATGTTATGATAGCAATACCATTCCACAGCTTGTGTGTATCAGGAATCTTCTGGTTCACACGGCTTGGTGTTCGTTCCGCGGAGTCAGCGGCGTCAAGAGTTATATATTTTATATATACAACGATGTCGCCCCGGAGATGTTTATTTATTGTTTAATATTTAGCCCGTACGTAATAAGTCTCAATGTTCGTTACTCCCAGTCATGTAACAGTATGTGTGTGTCCAGTATGTATAGTTTACAAACACTAGTTGATGCTCATGTTGATACATCACAATGGTTCAGTATTATCATTCATTATAATCACTATCATAATAATTGGAAGGATTATAGTATTAGTATAACAGATGGCGCTACTTGTAACAAAATGTCAATACTAGTCTTGAATCCTGACTTAGTTCGCGTCGTTTTGCAGTTGAATTCAGATATAAATTAATAATTTGCTTTTAAAATTATAAGTCAACAAGGCAGCACCATTTATATCTATAATATATGTGCGGGATAGCATCAGAGAAATAATATAGAAATAAAATATATAGTTAAAATAAATAGCGATAGAAACTATGTAATATGTAATATAAGATATAGCGTAAAATAATGTAAATAAACAGCTAAGTATAGTAAATAAATAATATAGAAAATATGTATAATGTAAAATAAGACACAACTTGTAACTGTAAAATGATCATGTACGCTCAACATCGCAAGCTCCTGATTGGGCGAGCGCCGGCGCGCTCGCTCAAACACCGGCAAGGCGCGGTGAGATCACCGCGCGGATATAAAAGGCCGGCCGACGGGCCGACTCAGCGCAGTCAGTGAGCGGAATTCATCGGAAGAACATCAGTCAGCGGAACTCAAGAACTACGGAAGACTTCAACAGCGAACAGTGAAACGGAAGATTATTAACAGTGTTCAGAATTGTAATTCGTGTAGAAAATAAATAGTGAATAACCGAACCAGCGCATAGTTTTAATGTACAAACCCGTACATTAAATGGTCCTTCGAGCCGGATAGTACAGAAGAATCGGTTATCGAAGAACACGAAGATCGTCAAAGAACACGAAGATCGTCGAAGAAATACAAAGATCATCAAAGAATGCCGATCACTCGCTCTGAAGGAAAAGGTCGGAAACTGCGATCAGTACAACAATCCTCGTCCGAGGAGACGACCACGGGGACATACGACACGGAGACTACGGAGACAACGCCTTCTACGATGTCATCAACGCCTACCGTAACAGGTGACGGCACCAGTGCCGCCGTCGCCCCACCCCCCGTTATCGCCGCAGTTATCGACGCATCCGCTACCTCGGTGAGAGGCGTTCAGTCAGTGACGCCCTCCGCCGCGCCTACAGTACAAGTGGGATCGAAGATGAAGCCGCCTGCTCGACCTGTCACCAGGGTTGACCCAGCAATCAACCAGGGAGCGGAACCTGGCCTGCCACTGCCGAGCGGCCAGCCGAAACCCCATACACCGAGCAAGAAGGGCTCGACAAGGTCTAAGGCTCATAAAATAGCCAAAGCCAGAGAGGAGATGCTCCGACTACAAGTGGAGCTCGCCGCAGCTCGTCTCGCCTCCTTAGAAACGGAGGACACAGAGGACGAGGAAGACGACGTGACGGTTTACTCTAAGGAGGAAGCAACCGACAAAGTCGACAGCTGGTTGAATAACCAGACCGACAAGCCGACGTTACCCGCAGAGCCTGTGCCAGTAGATGACAGGGCGGGACACGAAATACCGGTGCCGAAGCCAGTGGTTCAACAACAATCGACGGAGAGCAAGACAGATATCGCCGCCCTCGCCGAAGCAATCACACGTGCCGTGAGTTCGAGCCACCGACCGAGATTAACGGAACTGCCATACTTTGACGGATCGTATCAACAATGGTTACCGTTCCGTGCCGCATACTATGACAGTCATAGTCACTTCACAGCAGTGGAGAACACAAACCGCCTGAGAAGGGTTCTAAAGGGAAGAGCCAGAGAGGCGGTCGAGGGGCTGCTCATTACGAATACGCAGCCAACGGATATTATGAAGACTCTTGAATCAAGATTCGGGAGACCAGAGACCATCGCCATGATGGAGATGGAGGCATTACGAAGCCTAACCCGCCTCACAGAAACACCACGTGATGTATGTATTTTCGCCACCAAGGTGTCAAACATAGTGGCAACGTTGAAAACGATAGACTGTGTCAACTACTTGTACAACCCAGAAGCCTCAAAAACGGTAGTGGACAAGATGACACCAACGCTGAGATACCGTTACTACGACTACGCAGCGACACAGCCAAAAGAAGAACCGGATCTCATTGTAATGGAAAGATTCCTCAGAAGAGAGGCTGACCTATGCGGGAAGTACGCACAGCCGGAACAAGTCGCGGTTAGTACTCAGAAGAGAACCCAGAAGATTCTCAAACTGTCAGAAAAGCCATACACACCGAAGTGTCCAGTATGTGATACAACGGGACACCCAGTGAACGAGTGCGAAAAGTTCAAACAATTGGAACTGAACGACAGATGGGAGACGGCTAAGGCCAAGCATCTGTGTTTCAGGTGTCTCCGCTACAGGAATAAAACACACCAATGCCACACGAAGGCATGTGGTATCAACAATTGCAAGCGTACACATCACAGAATGCTACATAAGATGGAACAAAGGCAAGCGGAGACACCTGAAGTAATAAATTCGACTTGGGTAACGGAAAGGAAACAGTCATATCTGAAGATTGTCCCCATAAGAGTGAAAGGACCGAAGGGCACATCGGACACATACGCCCTATTGGACGACGGGTCAACGGTCACTCTCATCGATGAGAGGCTGGCCAACGAAATAGGGGCGAAGGGACCCCGAGACCCGCTCAGAATAGAAACTATAAACGAGATGAAAGCATCAGAAACTGAGTCGAGGCGAGTCACCATAAGGGTGAAGGGAATCAGCAATGAAGAAAGACGAATCCCAGCACGAACGGTCAAGAACCTCAATGTGTCGTCTCAGCGAGTACCGAAGCAACTGGTGGAACGATGCAGCCACCTAGCTGACCTAAAGGATCGCCTGTGGTACACGCACGCCAAGCCACAGATATTAATCGGCCAAGATAACTGGCACCTACTACTGGCCTCACAGACAAGAGTGGGGCGCAAGGACCAACCGGTGGCATCTCTTACGCCACTGGGATGGGTACTGCACGGAAGCCAGACAAGGACCCTCGGGAGGAACATCAACTTCATTTGCCACATAACCGAGGATCCTGAAGAGGGTTTGAAAGACCTCGTAAAGCGATACTTCGAGATGGACGCGCTCTGTCTGAATCCAAGGAGACCTAACACGGATCCCGAGGAGCGCGCGCTGCAGGTACTGGAAAGGAACACCGTACCAACCGACGACGGGAGTTACCAGACAAGCTTACTTTGGCGCAAGGAAAACATATCGTTTCCCGACAACTACGAGAGCGCGCTAAAGAGACTCCATGCCACGGAAAGGAAGATAGATCGCGACCCGAACCTCAAGCGAAGATACAACGAGCAAATGGACGCGCTCGTAGCCAAAGGGTACGCCGAGATAGCACCGAAGCATAAGACTCCGAACAAGACGTGGTATCTACCACACTTTGCGGTGATTAATAAGATGAAGCCGGACAAATTAAGAGTTGTTCATGACGCCGCAGCCAAGACGAAAGGGGTCTCTCTCAACGACATGCTACTCAAGGGGCCGGATCTACTACAATCCCTACCAGGAGTCGTTATGAAGTTTCGTCAGCACAAGATTGCAGTCACTGCTGACATAAAGGAAATGTTCATGCAAGTCAAGTTACGAACTGAAGATAGAGATGCACTCCGTTACCTATGGAGAGGAAACAGGAGGGATGACTCACCTCCGGAAGAATATAGAATGACGTCGCTCATATTCGGAGCATCTAGTTCACCGTCAACGGCAATATATGTCAAGAACTTGAATGCGAAGCGACAAAAGGACTCCTACCCGGAAGCCACGGAGGCCGTAATCAACAAACACTATGTTGACGACTATCTGGACAGCTTCAAAACCATCGAAGACGCTATACGGATCACCAAGGACGTTCGAATAGTCCACAGCAAGGCGCACTTCGAGTTAAAACAGTGGAAGTCGAACTCGGCAACGCTTCTGGAAGCCTTAGGGGAAAGAGAGCTACCAAAGGACGTGGAACTACACACCACAAATGAGAAAACGGAACGCGTGTTAGGCGTGATGTGGAAGGTGAACTCGGACGAGCTCTCGTTTAACTTAAACTTGGCGGGCACACCCGCGGAAGAAGCGTCAATCAAGAGACCGACAAAACGAGAAGCCCTCAGGATCGTGATGTCACTTTTCGACCCGCTCGGGTTTGCATCTCCGGTGACAATCAAGGCCAAGCAAATTCTCCAGGAAGTCTGGCGAAGAGGGACGGATTGGGACGAGGAATTAGAGACAGATCTCGCCGAACAATGGCACGAGTGGATGATCCACCTTAGAAATCTCAGCCAGGTCGCGATCCCGAGGTGCTACATGAATTACAGCGACGCAACCTCGCTGCAACTACACGTCTTCACCGACGCGAGTGAGTCAGCTTACGCAACGGTGTTGTATTGGAGAACAATGATGCCAAGCGGAGAGATTAGGGTGTCACTAGTCATAGCGAAAGCGAAAGTGGCGCCTTTAAAGCTCACATCAGTGCCAAGGCTAGAGCTGCAAGCCGCTGTCATGGGCACAAGACTAGCCACAACGGTAGTGGCCGAGCACGAGAGGAAGCCCGACACCACAGTGTTCTGGTCGGACAGCAAAACGGTACTCACGTGGATAAGGAAAGGGTCACGGTCTTACAAACCATACGTGGCCCATAGACTGGCGGCCATCGAAGACGGGTCGGAATCGAACAGCTGGCGGTGGGTGCCATCAAAGTTAAATGTCGCAGATGACGCGACAAGGGATGTCCCACACAACTTCGGTACAGAACACAGGTGGTGCAAGGGACCGGAGTTCCTGTACGAGCCCGAGGCCTCCTGGCCAACCGAAACACCCACGCCAGCCTCGGAAGAATCTTCGAGCGAAGAGAGAACACACCACGTGAGCACCAGGAATGCAACAAGACTAGCGGAAGGGCTACCAGACCCTGCTAGATTCTCCAGCTGGACGAGACTAAGACGCTCTACGGCCAGAGTCCTCCAGTTCATACACTTATGCAGGACAAGTAACCAGGAGGTACACTACGCTCGGAACAAAAGGAACAAAGAAAGGGATCCAGAATGGATCAAGAAAAGGACACTGATTACGAGTAGGCCGCAGAGAGAACAAAAAAGACCACTGACCGTGGAGAAAAAACTGCTCTCAATCCCGGCGGAGATACTGAGAACGGCGGAAGAGCTGCTAATGCGCTCATCACAAGAGGATTCTTTCGCCATAGAAATATCCAAACTAAAGAACGGCGAACAAATCAACAAGGAGAGTCGTCTCCACCAGCTGAGTGTCCAATATAGCAAAAGGGCAATACGCATCCGGAGCAGGATTGACGCGGTCCAAGACATGACGGACGCGTTCAAAAGACCTATGGTGCTCTGCGGAGACCATCCGACCACGAGATTATGGATAACATATATCCATAAGCAATTCCATCACGCCGGCGTAGAAACGACACTAAACGAATGCCGACAACGATATTGGGTGCTAAGAATACGCCCCACGATAAAGACATTGATAAAGAATTGCCTACTCTGCCGGATGAGAGCTCAGAAACCGCCATGCCCAAGAACAGGAGACTTACCGGAGTGTCGCTTAGCCCACCACGAGCGACCCTTCACCTACACGGGGGTTGATTACTTCGGCCCACTAGCAATAACAGTGGGCAGAGCTCGACAAAAGAGGTACGTGGCAATTTTCACGTGCCTCACCACTCGAGCTATACACCTCGAGGTCGCCGGCTCTCTCACCACGAACTCAGCAGTAATGGCACTAAGAAGAATGTTCGCTCGCCGAGGATACCCGACGGAGATCTGGTCCGACAACGGGACGAACCTTAAAGGGGCGGACAAGGAAATGAGAGAAGCGATTGACGGAGCAACCAAGGAAGAGGCCGCGCAGAAATTAATCAACTGGCGTTACATCCCTCCAGGAGCGCCATTCATGGGTGGAGCGTGGGAGAGAATGGTGCGGTCAGTGAAGACAGCCCTGACCGCCACCTTAAACGAGCGCCACCCGACAGAGGAAGTACTGAACACGCTACTCGCGGAAGTGGAGTACACAGTAAACAGTCGGCCATTGACACATGTTTCGGTAAATGAGGAAGATCCAGAGGCGCTCACGCCTAACCACTTCCTGTTAGGCGGACCAGGTCGGGTACCCCAACCAGGAACATTTAATGAGAAGGACGCCATCTCCACGTCGAGCTGGCGAGCGGGACAACAACTGGCGGATAAGTTTTGGTCCCGCTGGGTGAAAGAGTATCTCCCCGAGCTTCAACACCGGCGGGAGCCAAACGGAAGGGGACCTGAAGTGCAAGTAGATGACCTGGTGCTAATCATAGACACCAACCTACCCCGGAACACTTGGATTCGTGGTCGCGTGATAGCGACGTATCCAGGACCAGACGGCGTGGTACGTACGGTGGACGTGCGGACCAAGGGAGGTGTACTACGTCGTCCAGTCAGAAAACTCGTGATCCTGCCAATAGCAACAAAGGAACCCGCACCGAAGGGTACGACGAGTCGTACGGCGGGAGAGATGTGCGGGATAGCATCAGAGAAATAATATAGAAATAAAATATATAGTTAAAATAAATAGCGATAGAAACTATGTAATATGTAATATAAGATATAGCGTAAAATAATGTAAATAAACAGCTAAGTATAGTAAATAAATAATATAGAAAATATGTATAATGTAAAATAAGACACAACTTGTAACTGTAAAATGATCATGTACGCTCAACATCGCAAGCTCCTGATTGGGCGAGCGCCGGCGCGCTCGCTCAAACACCGGCAAGGCGCGGTGAGATCACCGCGCGGATATAAAAGGCCGGCCGACGGGCCGACTCAGCGCAGTCAGTGAGCGGAATTCATCGGAAGAACATCAGTCAGCGGAGCTCAAGAACTACGGAAGACTTCAACAGCGAACAGTGAAACGGAAGATTATTAACAGTGTTCAGAATTGTAATTCGTGTAGAAAATAAATAGTGAATAACCGAACCAGCGCATAGTTTTAATGTACAAACCCGTACAATATAGTAATACTTATAAGTGGAATGTAAGAATAATATTTACTTTGAGATAGAGTAGCGTCATTTCTATTAATATTAACACAGAAAATAAGTAAATGAAGTTGAAAATAGAATATATAATAACAAGAAATAGTGCAGTAATTATTTTATCTTGTATATAAAGAGAAATGAAAAATACTAAATATTTCTTTTCTTTTTCAGTTTTCACCATCCCGACTATCCATTCCACGATGAATATTAAGAAAATATGTATTGTTCATTAAATAGATCAATAATAATGTTAAAAAGACAGAGAACCCGCACTTACAAGTTACCGCCACCCGCACCACTGAACTACCGTGCTTATACACTTCTGAAGAGTTTCGTACAATAAAAGTTATTTATTATAGAAATGTGAATGAATTTAGTAATAAAATAACTGAATTATAATGTGTTTTATTTTAATATATTATTGACGATCAATTTTCTAATGATTTTTCTCACTTTACAGTAGTTATTGAACAAGTCCTGTTTTCTGGCTCTGGCTGTCAATTTTCTAGTTATAGTTCAACTAATTTGACAATCATCTTAATATTTTAAGTATATGTTATGTATCAAATACATAAATCTTATTTTTATTCTAGCTCAAAAAACAAGACTTAATTCATATCTTTGTTAATAGTCTCTAAAAAGATAAAGAGAAAGTAGCACTACTAAGTATATTTTGCTCTACACTTTCTCTTGAGGGAGATTTTATGAATTATTAAATATAAAACATTGAATTCTACTTATATTTAAAAAGATTATCTTTCAATATCAATAAATCTAACTTTCTAGCCAGATATTTCTCCCTATTCAAACACGTACAATGATGAAATGAACTTTTAAAAGAATCTTTTCAACCTATGACTATTAAACGCAAGACTTTGGGAAATAATTAAGTATGTCAAGCATTTTTTGGATCCATTCAGATTACTAAATGAAATAAGCTTCATCAAAAATTTTTTGGTAAAATTAAACTTCGTGACATTTTTTTTTATGCTAAAGGGAGCAAACGAGCAGATAGGATGTAGTCACTACCGCCCTTGGACATCCGAAACAAAAGGGATGTTGTGGATTATTGTGGAACAAAGAGGAGAGAGTGGGAAAAGGATAGAGCAACCGTCTCTCTCACTCATCATACTAAACGCAGTCATTAAAGACTACTTCACGCCGATCTTCAGTGAGAGGGTGGTACTTACGGTCGAGACAGACCATGTTTGAGCTGTAGTAACTTGACTACAGCTAGGCTCTACAATCTATAAATATATCATTTTCTACGACAGAGTCGAGATAATTTTAGAAACATCAAAATTAAATACATCTATTTTGTCTTTTGATTTTGTTTAGGAGTAACGGGACAGTTTTAAAATACCTTTCACTTTTGTTCGCCTCGCCCGATCACACTTTTCGTAACGCATTCATCAACTTACTCCCAAGTCAAGCGTGCGTAAAGAAGTTTTACTACATAAAAATATTTGAAACAATATCTTTATTTAGTTTTCTTTAAACACACAATATATATACAATAAAATTGATAAAATCCTTTTCAGTACTCGTCATGAAAGGGGTACTCCGGGTGATGTACACTGGAAATAAAAAAGAAAATTAAATTTATATACGTATACTTTGAATTTAGCTATAAATAACTTCAGTGGTAAAGAATTAAGTATGATGTATGAACAATTTGGAATTATTTTTGCTTTTTAGAAAAAAGGACAATTTGTATTTGATTAATTCCATTTTGCTGGAATTAATTTAGCTCGATAATGAATTTAATTTTGATGAAGTACTTATCTAAGACATATAAGGTTGGTAAGTTCTGATTCACTAGCGACCACTCGCCAAGACTAAAACAATAAATCGATACCTCCCACGTAAGTTGTTGTGTGCCACAAAAATGCTATTTTGCTTTTTTTCTAAAAAATAACCTATTATGGATCATTAGCATTCAAATTAAAAAACAACAAAAACACTATTTTTAAAGGATTTGTCAGACGTATAATGTTTTAATTTTCAAACGCGAACGGATTAAACTGTTGTATATGCCTATGCAATTGTATACGCGGGGCGCGAGGTGGGTAAAATCACGCGCTCACGCCGCGTATGAGTTACATACAACAGAGTAAGACTTATGTTCTTCAACGTATACAGTTGTAACTATCATATACCAGAAGTGATGCTACCTGGACCCCGAGATATAATGTTGTAAGTATCAGATATGTACAACACCTTTTTTAGCTTCTACTCCGGAGTAAAATGTCGTATGAACAATAAAACAACAATATTAATTAAAATATCTTTAAACGTAGTTAAGAAGACTATAATGTTAAAATTAAATACGAAATTTTATAAAGATGCATCGATAAATGCAGATTTTGGTTTAATTTGAATCTTTGAAACGTCTCAACGACTAGTTTGTTATAAAATAATTATTATGTATTAATATCGTTAATTATAATTTCGATACTCACTCGCCGATCGTACAAAACCGGAAGTTACACTCCAGGCTGCGGATGTACGTCAGATCCTCAGCTGTTAGTTGGAAGTCGAACACGTTGTAGTTCTCCTCAATCTGTTCTCTGATTGAGGACTTGGGGATCACTACCAGCCCACGGTCAATGGCGTATCTGAACAAATATATATTTTAAATAAAGAGAAGGTGTATTGACTAAGAAGTAAGGAGAAGGTGTATTGACTTAGGGGTTAGAGATTTTCGCAAGAGGTGACAAAAGGGGGGGAGAGATAATTTTGAGAGCATCTTAGAATGTAATTATTCATTATTTTGTGAAAATTGGAAATAAACAAGTGATTTACCAAAATTCGTACTGTTTGGATAATTTTCTTTAAAAAATCAGTTTAGTTTTGTTAAGTAATAATTTAAATTGCTCTATTAACTGTGAATATTATATGAGTGTTTACGAAAATACTGTTATATGAGTGTTTACGAAAATTATTGATGGCCTGGTTAAGGACCACTTTTCCTTCATGAAGCGCGGGTTCGAAACCTGGCAAGTACCAATGTGATTGTTCCTAGTCATATGTACTTTATAAGAGTATTTAGACACCACTGACAGATAAGGGAAAATATGAGGAAACATGGACTTATATCAAATTATAAGTTTGAAATCATAATTTGACAAGAGTTGAGAACAAAACTGTCAGATTGATAGTTTAATTCTTGATAATCATCATTTAACAATCAATATATATTATATACTAGCTTCCGCCCGCAGCTTCGCCCGCGTGGAGTTCTATTATATCGCGTTTCCAAGAGATCCTTTCAAAAGTTTGGAATAAAAACTATACTGTTCTTTCTCAAGGTCAACTCTATCTGTACCAAATTTCATTAAAATCAGTTCAGTGGTTTAGGCGTGAAAGCGTAACAGACAGATGACAGAGTTATTTTCGCATTTATAATATTAGTAGGGATAAAGTGTCAATACTTAAACACTACAACAATTATGTAGTGTTATTATATTGCCGTTGTTCATGCTGCAATGTATATTACCTGAGCAGCACTTGCACCAGGCTTTTCTGGTGTTTGTCAGCGATGGGCTGGAGTCGTTTGTCCTGGAACAGAACAGGGTCACTCGGCTTGGCCCAGGGTCTGTCCGGAGAGCCCAGGGGAGAGAACGCGATCACGCGAATGTCTTGAGACTGGCAAAAGTCGATCAGCTTCACTTGGTTCAAGTACGGGTGGACCTCGATCTATTTAGCATTAGGAAAGTTCGCTAGTAACTCTCAGTGTGTTGAGTGAAGCCTCAACATTTTGCTGGACATGGGTTAAGTTATTAACTTAAATAAATTATACATATAGATTATAGATTATTATATATTGAATGTAGTACATATATATGTTTACTATGTATATATTCAGGGTGACTGGTGAATTACTATCGATACTTGAGGACGTGATATTTGACGATCATATATAACAAAATAAAAATTAACATAACATAAATATTAATAAACTTCTAAGTAAATTTAACCAAAAGTTATGTAATTAATTACGCATCGTGTGAACACCCTACAGATTAGGTATACACACACACACATACGCCTGCGGCGGCGTGGTGTTGTATCAGCACGCCGCCGCACGCGTCCACACTTGAACACTTGGAACGTGTCAACACTTTATTTATTTATACGGAAATTTTGTCAAAAATTAAGTGCCTATTTTTTTTACATAATTCGAATGAGAATCATGTACCGAGTATTCTCCTTAAATATTGATAGTAATTCACCAGTCACCCTGTATAATCGTATAAGTATGTTTTTCTCTCATATATGTACACCTGAAACGTTTAATTACTGATTACTATGTCCTACGTAACATGGTTCTCTGCAGAGATCGCTGCTTAGCGATAAGGCCGCCAATTGTATATTTTGATCAAGTTTTGTACTGTATAATTTATTTAATCTTTAGTGTACAATAAAGAATACTACTACTTACTTACTTACTAAGTTTTCTTGTGATAAAATTGAAATTGGTGTCCGGATCCGAATTGTTTTAAAATTTAAAAGAACCAACCTATAGGTATAACTTCATTAACTTAAATTCAATAAAAGAATTGTATTGTAAGCTAGTACTATCTACCGCTGGAGAGACAAAACTACCGTAGTTTTAATTTATATTCTTTTTACACATATAAGATATATCTAGTAAATGTAAACATTTTATTTAATTCTTAATCATTAATCTTTCACTCGTCAACTTCTATCTGATTTTCATTTAACAGAGAATTTTATATTACATCTGATAGTTTTTGACATCTTATGGCCAAAAAAATGCACTCAATCCATAAACTATACACGTATCTTCTCACTATAATTTGGATACTGTTCAGTTAAATAGCTCTTCATTTTAATTCGTTCCATTTAACAAGTCACAGCGTCATCATTAGGGCCCGGATTAATATGTAAATACATATTTTTTATTTACGCGATTTTCGGTCTAGAATGTGTTTATTACATGGTAATAATAAATAATACATATTAATCTTATAGTAAAACAATGTTTAATTATGAAATTATTTAATTTTATACTCCATATTTTTTCCATATTTTTGATTTTTTCGTCCATATTTTAGATTTTTTATCCGGGTCCTAGTCACCACTAAAGGATGTTCAAGCCAGTTCATCCATCACCAAGTTAACTCACCTGTAACGCTGCCGGTTTAATCCTGGCTGCTTCAAGGACCCTGGTGAGTTGTCGCTTATTGAAGTTCGATACACCTATACTCCTCGTCAGACCCTTATCCACCAGTGTCTCGATGGCTTTCCAGTTGTCAACATAATCCACCGTCCCGGGGATAGAAGCGCTCGGGTCACCTAGTGTATCAGGATCGTGACCCTCCTAAGAAAATCAATGATTTTGTAACTTAATTCAATAGCAGTTAGCAGTTGACAGACTTAAGAAACACGTAATTTTATTTTAGCTTCAAATAAAAAAAATGTTAATTATGTTTTCATATATACTAGAATACCCGGTTAACTTCGTATCGCGCTATAATCAAGAAATATCTGTTACGTTTTTTTATTTATATTTTTGGAGTTTACCTATTACAGCCATAAATCTCCGCGTTTTGAAGTGCGACAGAATGATTGACATATTTGTTAGTTGTCAAATATAATGTCAAAAAAAAACGTTTGTATCAACAACTAGTAATAAATTAAAAATTAATTAAAGAAACATTGTCCAGCGGACGAAATTGTGAATCTAAACCATTCCCAGATCCCCTTGAACACACACAAAAAATTTTGAGTTTGAGAGAAGTTCAGTGACATACACACTCACAGAAGAATTATATATATAAAGATTTAAATGGTATTAATGTTTAATACTTTATAAGTCTGCGGCCAGTGTATGAGGTACAGGTCCAAGTACTCCAGCCCCAAGTTCTTCAGACTGTTCCGTATGGAAACCTCGATCAAGTCGGGTCGGTTGAAGGCCAGGCCTACCTTCGTCGTGATGAACAGGTCTTCACTGAAAAGGTTTATTTGGAAAAATAACGTGAAAATTCTTAAAACATCTTAATTCCAATCCTATAATACTTTTCATCTCGTCTTAATGATCACGGTTGCAGTAAAGTAACCGAAATGTAAGCAGTATGTAGTTAAAATAATAAAATACGCGTAGTTTTTTCATTTTTGAATAAATCGTATTCAAAAATGAAAAAACTACACGTATTTCATTTCTTATTTTTGAATAAATCGTATTTTTAGAATAACTCAATGAAAGCGTTAGGTATCTTTTCTTAGACTTTAATATCCTTACTTTAAAAGTTAGTAACCTCATGTAAAACCCAAAATCCAAATAAAAATAATCACCAACGCGTAATATTTTTATTCCACAAACCGTTTTACCACTCCTTCTCTTATCTTCTCCCTCAGCGCCTCCCCAACCTCCTTTTCATTCCCATAGTTACAGGCACAGTCGAACATTCTGTACCCAACGTCTATAGCTATCTTCACAGACTCCGCTACAGAAGTTTTCTAAAAAACAAACTGTTTATAAAGCTTTAAATCTCATTATTTTTATATTTACGAAAAGTCAGTGGTGGCCTAGTGGTTAAAAGGCCCGCCTCTCACGACGGCGCGGGTTCGATAATGGCAGGTACCAACGTGATTTTTCCGAGTCATATGTACTTTCTAAGAATATTTAGTCATCACTGATTAATGCTGATTCCCAAAAGAGGGTTGATAACAGGCAGGCGGCCGGTCGTAAAAACAAATAGCCAAAACTATACACAACATGTAATGCAGACCCTGGCTATAGCTGGGAAATTGCCAGGTAGAAGAAGAATACTTTATATTTACGATAAAAGTTAGTTCGTATCATCATCATCATCCTATCAGAGCCCACTGCTGAGCCTCTTCTCACATGGAGAAGGTTAGAGCATTAGTCACCACGCTCGCTCAAGACGGATTGGTGATTTCAAACCTATAGTTTGATATAAGTCAATGTTTCCTCATATTTTCCTTCATCAGTCAGTGATGTCTAAATACTCTTAAGTACATATGACTCGGAACAATCACATTGCTACTTGCAGGATCGAACCCGCGCCCTCATGTACCTACGATAGGCGGACCTTTAACATGTAGGCCACCGCTGACTGTATTAAAAAGTTAGTTATATTCTATTATTTATTTGTTTTTATCATAATAGTGAACTAAATTTATTAATAAATATCGAACCTCAAGTACTCCATATAATTATTTAAAGTAATGTTATCTAAGACTTCAATCTATTTATTTTTCAATAATTAATTCAACTCACGAGTCGATGTCATCTCGTCTGTACAGAATCAAATGAAATAACAATTCTTTTATTTGTATTTCATACTAGTTTTTGTCCGCGACATCGTCCGCGTTAATTTCTTCATTAGTAATATATGTACATATAGCTGACCGGGCGAACTCTATTCCTATATGGAGGCCGTAAATAACCAGATATTGGAGTTTATTAAGGTTTTTTGTATTTTTCGATCGATGAGAATTATATCCTAGGTCCGTGTGCTTGTTCTAATCTATCTCTCCACCAATGTTCATCCATATCCGTACAGTCGTTCTTGAGTTATATATAGTGTAACTAACACGATTTTCTTTTATATATAAAGATTAAACTAGTTACAACCTGCGGCTTCACCCACTTATTAAACCCTTTCTGGAACGCATTTTCATGATTGTGGAGTTACATTCTATTTCTCCAGGATCTTTCATCAGATCTTGACTTGGTGATAATGAAACTACCATAGCTCAACGAGATTCAAATTGAAAAATAATATTGAAAATCGACATTAATTGAAAGAGTTATAATGCAACAAACATGTAATTAAATCAAAAAAATCTTTTTGGAATCGGTTAAAAAGCACTTTTCATACCACGGTCTATGTCTAAAGTTCTAGAGATTAAACAAAACAAACATGCAAACAATTCAGAAATTACATTTCTATCGTATGCCGGCCATACACGTTACGGTCTACCGGAGAGATCTACCTGTGCATGTAGACCGGAATGTATGGGAATAGAACTGTGCAGTTTTTTGAATACTATTGCATTGTTTGGTTGACCTGCACAAGTCTACCTGCACAGATTATCACTCTGGTAAACCGTAGCGGTTCAAACGGGTTCAAATCTGGCAAGTACCAATGTGATTTTTCCGAGTCATATGTACTTTCTGAGAGTATTTAGACACCACTGACGTACTGTGAAGGAAAACATCGTGAGGAAACCTGGACTTAGCCTGGACTTTCACAATTATAAGTTTGAAATCACCAACCCGTCTTGAGCGAGCGTGGTGATTAATGCTCAAACCTTCTCCATGTGAGAAAGAGGCTTTGCTCAGCAGTGGGCTTCTGATAGGCTGATGATGATGAAACAGATTTTATTTTATATATTCAACTTTACTGATAATTCGGGTATTTCCTAATTAATTTCTGTACTCACCATCCAAGTTCCGAATCCTATAATAGGACAGGATACACCGTTGTTGAACACCACGTAACGTCCCGCCATTTTGTTCATTTCAGACATTTTTCTAAAAAAAACTTCACGATTACTCACACTGATAACGAAATACATTAAATATATAAATAGAACAACAACACTGTAGTTAAAATAAACTAGCTTTAATCTTTTTATTATATAAGTATATATAAAATTCTCGTGTCGCGGTGTTAGACAGAGAACTCCTCCGAAACGAATGGACCGATGTTGATGAAATTTTGTCAGCATATTGAGTAGGTCTGAGAATCGGCCAACATCTATTTTTCATACCCCTAAGTCATAAGGGTTGTTCACCCTTAATTTTTTTTCGGATTAAATTTTTTGTTTTTATTTTTTTTATAACAACGTTAGCCGGGTCAACTATTATTATTTATACATATAAAATTAGTATTTTATATAATAATGATTGAAGAAAACAGTGATATATAACTGACACACGTAAAGACGGGGCCCATGTGTAGTTAAAATACTTAAATCTGTCGTTGAGATTCTTTCGAGAAACATTATATTTTGTATTTAAGGAAATAACTTAAAATATGTAATATTAAATAAACGGAAAAATAAATTTAATTTAGTTTTTCATATAGTGTGGTTTTTATAAAAAATTATATAGAATGATTGGAATTAATTATTTTAATAAGATGCTCCAAAAATTATCTTTAGACGAAATTAATACAAATTTATTGAAAACTGTAGAAATCTTATAAAAATACAAGTATATCAGAAGATTGAAAGAAAAGCATCTCATTGATACAAGTTAAAAACAAATTAATATACTTTTAAAGCTTCAACTAAAATAATACAAATTTTCTATCGAATGGTACTCTTTTTAATTATTTGCTCTTGAAATAAAAGTTACTTTTAGTTTAATGAAGATTTATATATATGTGGAAAAGTAACTTAAGTTATAACAAATTATTGGAATTCAGTTAAAATCTTTACGTAACCCGATTATAAAAAAATGCAGAACTAACTAGTTTTACGACATTTTGAATATATTTTTAACCGCTCTATAATAACATGAATTTATTAAAGTTTAACATAAAATCAAAGATATAAACTTACTATTATTTTACTTACCCGTAGTACTTGTGGTACTTGTAGTTTAAGTAGTACTTGTACAAGTATTTACTTGTTAAATAAAAAAAATGTACTGATTTAAACTAGCTTCTAGTTACGAATAACAATTTATAGGAATTAATGAGTTATGGTAAGCAGAATAAATTACAAAAATGTCCTTCCTTTGGAGTTTGTGTTGCCATTATACGATATAAAATTTTCTTTCGATTTCTTTAAATATAAATTAACGAATTATTAGACAATTAAAACAATAAATATCTAAACAAGAAATTTATTTGTTCACAAGAGATATATTTCGAAACTTATTATATATTACCTATCTATAATAATTAGACGTTGTCAATTTAACGTCAGTGGAATTCAAAATCAAACAGTTATTTTATGAAACGAGACGTCTCAAAAACTATCTCTGAAGCTGTGAAATCAGTTGTTAATTAAGTTTTAGTGTATTTCATTAGTCATTTATAAAAATACTTTAGGTAATATGACAGAGAAAAAATATCGAAACTTAGTTTAAGTGACTACTTATAAGTTTATTCCTTAACAATCAATATCTACTCCTCCCTGTTTTCATTCCATTACGAAGTTTTACTTCTTCAGCGCGGAGGGACTCCACGCACTATTTTCTTTAGTCTTCTCTTCTTAGTGTAATCTCTTCTCTATTACCTGACCTAACACCTGTCTAATTCTCCTCTTCTAATAGTAAAAATATTTTCACTTATACAGGGTGACTGGTGAATTACTATCGATATTTGAGAACGTGATATTTGACGATCATATATGACAAAATAAAAATTAATATAACATAAATATTAATAAACTTCTAAGTAAAGTTAACCAAAAGTTATGTAATTAATTACGCATCGTATGAACACCCTACAGATTAGGTATACACTGACACTCACATATACGCGTGCGGCGGCGTGGTGTTGTATCAGCACGCCGCCGCACGCGTCCACACTTGGAACGTGTCCTCACTTTATTTATTTATACGGAAATTTGGTCAAAAATTAAGTACCTATTTTTTTTACATAATTGGAATGAGAATCATGTACCGAGTATTCTCCTTAAATATTGATAGTAATTCACCAGTCACCCTGTATAACCTGTATTATAATTTATATTATTTTAGTAAAAAAAAACAATTTCATGAAGTGACTAACAAAATATATATCCAGGAATACGTATCATGAATATCCAGGAATTAAACCAAACTTATCATTATTAAGACATACTTTAGTTTGAAAAGTTTCATCGTAATTATTACAATACCGTTATCCCTACTAATATTATAAATGCGAAAGTAACTCTGTCTGTCTGTCTGTTACGCTTTCACGAATAAACCACTGAACTGATTTTAATGAAATTTGGTACAGAGATAGAATTGACCTCGAGAAAGAACATAGGATAGTTTTTATCCCAGACTTTTGAAAAGTTCTCCCGGAAACGCGATATAACCGAACTCCACGCGGGCGAAGCTGCGGGCGGAAAGCTAGTATATATATATAACAAAGGACAACTTCATTAAGGACACCAAATAATACACCATGAAACAAAACAATTTTATTATATGTATATCTCGTTAGATACAAAACGTTTATTCTTTAAAAAAAATCAATAAATAAAACACCTACAAAATATTAATGTTATTGAACAAAATGATTACACAATTAAACATAATTTTAATAATTTATCAGAATAAAGGCAATCCTACTAATATTACATATAATTGCGAAAGTTTGTGAGTGTGTGTGTGTATGTTTGATACTTCTTCACGCTCATACGGCTGAACCGATTTTGATAAAATGTTGTATACAGGAAGCTGACGTCCGGGAATAACACATAGGCTACTTTACATCTCGGAAATCCGTAACACCGCGGGGCGCAGCTAGTATATATATGGTCATGTTCATGTCTGTACATCAACAGTATGTACTGGTCCCTCACATCCGTGTACAGTCCTCATGTGTTTGAGCGCGTAGTGTCTACAGCTGTACACCCGGCGACACAGCGCGCACGACACGCGGCCCCTACTGTGACACGCGCGGCGGTGACCGTGCAGGCTGTTGGTGGACTTGAAGCTGGCGGGGCACGAGGAGCACTACACGGAGAGAGGGAGAGAGAGAACTGTTAATACTGCGGCCACACTACAGTTTAACGTCTGTCCAAGGCGATAAGGCTCAATTTTCTTCTTCCTTCTACCTGGCAATTTGTGGTTAAAGATACTTTATTTTCTCAAAAAGAAATTACATTTCACTTATTTGAGAAACTTATGACTATAAACATATAAGTATTAAATTAAAACTTCGACAATTTAAAACATACCCTCAAAGCAACAAAAATTGTGTACAAAAATTTCCCGGCTATAGCCAGGGTTTGCCTTTGTGAATACTTTTTGCCTAATTGTTTTTACGACCGGCCGCCTGCCAGACATCAACCCTCTTTTGGGAATCAGCATTAATCAGTGATATCTAAATACTCTTAGAAAGTACATATGACTCAGAAAAATCACATTGGTACTTGCCAGGATCGAACCCGCGCCCTCGGTGACGAGAGGCGGGCCCTTTAACCATTAGGCCACCACTAACTTTATAAGACTCAATTTTCAATGTGCGGAAATATTTGTAATGAAGATACGTGTGAGCGTTGTAGTGGTTTATTAGTAACTATTAGTTAAAATTTACAAAGCAGTGGACTGTATTTCATATATCCACATAATTATGAATATAAATATGTGAAATTAATTTCTAACAAAGAGCGAGCCTCAGCTGTGTCTTATCTTAGACACGTCAACGCCCATTATCGCGACAATTATAAGCATAAGCATACTATCAGAAGATTTTCAATGTATTCTACGATTGTGTATCTTAGATATTATTATTATATATAGGTTGAGATTTATTGGAAAAAAATAAATTTCAGACAATGATTTTTTTATGTAGTCTCGTGTTTTACATTATAGATGTCGCTAACAGTTGTTAAGATGCCCTTTGAGCCTAAATTCAAAGTGAAATGAACAAAGTCAGCTACACTAGTCTGTAGCATTCTATACAAACCTACAATAGTCTATATTAGTCTAGACTATTAAGTCAGTGGTGTCCTAGTTGTTAAAAGGCCCGCCTCTCTTGCATGAGGACGCGGGTTCGATCCTGGCAAGTACCAATGCGATTTTTCCAGTCATATGTACTTTATAAGAGTATTTAGACATCACTGATTAATGCATTCCCAAAGAGGGTTGATATCAGGCGGCCGGTCGTAAAAACAATTAGCCAAACCTATTCACAACATGTAAGGCAGACAATGGCTAAAGCTGGAAATTCCCAGGTAGAAGATACTAGTCTAGACTCTAGACTAGTCTAGACTAGTCTCAGTATACCTTATACTTCCTCTCGATCCTGTGAGACTGTTTGTGTTGCTGCAGCAGGTAGCTCGCGTGGAAGCTCGCTCCACACGCCTCACACACGAACGGCTTCTCGCCTCGGTGACGGCGCTCGTGGTTCTAAACACGACACAAAAAATCAACTCCATCAAAATTGGTATAGCAATACACGTCCAATGAAACAAGATACATTTTGGAAACAAAGTATCATTCACAAAAATTGAAACTACCCTTATTTTTATAGTAATAAGATTATACAGGGTGACTGGTGAATTACTATCAATATTTAAGGAGAATACTCGGTACATGATTCTCATTCGAATTATGTAAAAAAAATAGGCACTTAATTTTTGACAAAATTTCCGTATAAATAAATAAAGTGTTGACACGTTCCAAGTGTTCAAGTGTGGACGCGTGCGGCGGCGTGCTGACACAACACCACGTCACGACACGCGTATATGTGAGTGTTAGTGTATACCTAATCTGTAGGGTGTTCACACGATGCGTAATTAATTACATAACTTTTGGTTAACTTTACTTAGAAGTTTATTAATATTTATGTTATATTAATTTTTATTTTGTCATATATGATCGTCAAATATCACGTCCTCAAATATCGATAGTAATTCACCAGTCACCCTGTATAAGCTACTAGCTTCCCGCCCGCAGCTTCGTCCGCGTATATTTCGGTTATATCGCGTTTCCAAGAGAACCTTTCAAAAGTCTGGGATAAAAACTATCCTATGTTCTTTCTCAAGGTCAACTCTATGTCTGTACCAAATTTCATTAAAATCAGTTCAGAGGTTTAGGCGTGAAAGCGTAACAGACAAACAGGCAGAGTTACTTTCGCATTTATAATATTAGTAGGGATCGTGTATGTATTTCACAGTCTTCTGTGTTATATAAATGTGAACCTACCTTCATAGCCAGCTTGGAGGCGCTCTGGAAGTCGCAGGTGGAACACTTGAACTTCTCGTATCCATGCTTAGAGCGGTTGTGCTCCTCCAACCTTAATTTATTACCGAAACACCTGCCGCAGTGCTGGAAAAAACAGCTGGAAATCAAACATATGGATATCCACCTGCAACCTCTAGAACATCTCGAAGCATATTTTCATCTAATAGTATCTCGAGTGCAGTCAGGTAATATTATACGTATTTTATAATTGTAAATGGACAACATATTGAAAATAGATATAAAAATGTCAAATCTGTTCACAAATCGGTTTAATGTGGATGAAAAAGTTTACTTATACTTCTACTAGTTCTGCATAAGTCATCATAGATATATATCAAAGAAAGTCGTGTTAGTTACACTACATATAGGGTGGCGCAAAAGTAAAGACCCTATTTGGTTCAGCTATAACATTTTTTCTAAATGAGAAAACTAGATTTAGGTTTTTTTAAATGTATATTTGTGCCATTAAATTTCGTACCATTAGGATTTAAAGATGATGTCTTTTAAATGGTGACCTCCAGAGTTGATACACATTTGAGCCCTATTTATGACATTTTGCATAACTTGCCGTAACACTTCCTGCGATATGTTCGTTATTTCTTGACGAATGTTTTCTTTTAGAGCTGCGAGAGTCTGTGGCTTGTTCACATACACCCGAGATTTCAAAAAACCCCAAAGAAAGAAGTCTGGACTGGTCAAATCGGGTGATCTTGCAGGCCAAGGCAAATCGCCAAAACGAGAGATAACTCGCTTCGTCACTCATAACCAATTTTGTGTATCAACTCTGGAGGTCACCATTTAAAAGACATCATCTTTAAATCCTAATGGTACGAAATCTAATGGCACAAATATACATTTAAAAAAACCTAAATCTAGTTTTCTCATTTAGAAAAAATGTTATAGCTGAACCAAATAGGGTCTTTACTTTTGCGCCACCCTATAAGTAATTTAAGCACGACTGTACGGATATGGATAAACATTCGTGGAGAGATAGATTAGAACAAGGAGACGGACATAGGATATATAATACTGTTCGATCGAAACAGAAAAAATCTGAATAAATTCCAATATCTGTTTATTTATATCTTCTAGGTAGGAATATAGTTCACCCGGTCAGATATACATATTATATTACTAATGAAGAAATTAACGTGGACGAAGTCGCGGGCAAAAACTAATATAGTATGTATGTATGTGTGTTCATACCTCACAAACCGGCTTCAGTCCAGAATGCTTGACCGCCTTGTGGACCTTGAGGCTGGCCCGCTGCATCCTCTTGTGACACACTTCACACTCACACATCTCCCTGCTCTGGAATGAGAGGTCGGGTAAACTGGTTAAAACGGTTAAAATCGGTTAAAATAATATCCGGATGACCTTGACAGACATACATACATACATAGTAAAAATTTATATTAAGGGCCATAAAATACGTCACACGTTAATATTTAATGTACTATATACAGTTTGGATATATAATAAAAATAAGTAAACAATGAAAATATATGTTTTCTCTCGATTATTTTTAAATTTAAAACATATGACGTCACACCAGGAGGGCAGTTATAAAAATGTGACAAGGAGAGGGTAGGGGTTCAAAAGTACTAAAATTGTAACATACTTTATTGATGGACCCTTATATATAAATAGAGATAACAGCTCTCATCATTCCATGTATTCACGCTGCGTGTGTCGGGTCCATCGTTGTAGTGAGAGGAGCTTCAACAGTGACTGTGACTTGTGACCCAGGTGTAGGTTTAATATATATAGAGAGACGAAACCTCTCATCATTCCATGTATTCACGGTGCGTGTGTCGGGTCCATCGTTGTAGTGAGAGGAGCTTCAACAGTGACTGGGACTTGCGACCCAGGTGTAGGTTTAATATATATAGAGAGACGAAACCTCTCATCATTCCATGTATTCACGGTGCGTGTGTCGGGTCCATCGTTGTAGTGAGAGGAGCTTCAACAGTGACTGGGACTTGTGACCCAGGTGTAGGTTTAATATATATAGAGAGACGAAACCTCTCATCATTCCATGTATTCACGGTGCGTGTGTCGGGTCCATCGTTGTAGTGAGAGGAGCTTCAACAGTGCCTGGGACTTGTGACCCAGTTGTTTAAGACCCTATCTATCGTTAAACGCTCACCTCCACCGTACAAGCTCCTCTCTCTACATCTCATCTCATCTCTACATACCGATTCATATGATTTCCTTCTCTTCTTCATGCAGCAGGTCACTACATGCTCCACAAGACTTTCCCGGCCATCAAACTCGGTTTTGCAGTACTGAAACGGATATATATAAGTTATCACAGATATCAAAATGTGAATATATAAAATCATAGATAAATAATGAAAATACATTATGAATTTGAATGATTTGATGATGCAAAAATATTAATAATGGAATATAAGTATAATAAATATCTCAATTGCAAAAGCTTATATATCTATATATGTATTTATTTATTTATTTTATTTATATACTCTTTATTGCACACCAATATAGACAAATAATAGGAGTAAAATGAAGAAAAGAAAAATGTACAATAGGCGGCCTTATCGCTAAAATAATGTAATGAAACTAAATTATATAAAAGTTTTATTTAGTATATTATATATTAACTTTATTTAGTATATATATTATATAAGAGCCAATCATTATCCAAGCCACCTCACAAATACCATATACTATACCAGTATACTAACTCGGCATCTATATTTATCTCCATGCATCAATATCTTGTGTCGGTTCATCTTCTCCCTCAGTATATAATCATCACACAGCTCGCACTTCACTCGTCGGTCATCAGCTCCGGGATGTCTCCGAGTTATGTGTGACCAGAGGCTCCTCATCGATAACTTTCTCTGACACAACTTACACACAACACGTTTTTTAGACGGATCTGTTTCATCAAATTCATATAGATTACTCTCGGATGTCTTTATAACTTTATTTTCTTGTGATTTTTTTACTAAATTCTCTTCATTATCTTCTCTATATACTGTTTCTTTCTCAATATGTACTTGTGTTGTGTTAACAGCGTAATTATTCAATGATTTCGTGTCATCATTAAGATCTGCGACTTCTAATTTTTCTATGATTGTATTGACAAGTTTTTCTCTCATAGCCATCAACTTATTTTCTGCCTGTTTACATTTCATTCTAAAACTGATCGTATTGTTGATGTGCGTTATACATTTTTCGCATACATTTTGTGGTAATCCATCGTCAATTTGTATCTGTAAATAATAAAATAAAAATATTTTATAATCCCTAAAAAACTTTTCTCAATATTTTGAAAACCTTTAAAATTAATTATTTGTTGCTTGATTATAATTTAACATAATAATATTTACCTGTATACCGGTGACAATAAAGAATTTATTTAAAAAGTTTTCGTCGCTTTCATTGCAATTTGTTAAAATCGGCAGAAGATTATCTTTAGATAAACATGTTCGGCATATAAAAGAAAAGTCATCACTTGTATCCATGATTACCAAATAATAATTTCTTTCAAAATATATAATTATTTATTTAAACTTTGTTGAGAATTAAAATTTTCCTCGATTTTTCCTTTGAGTTGTCAGAATAAACACATTCCGTTTCACGACAGTAGGTAGTAATGAAAAGAATATATTATATATAAATTACTCCTATATTATAAGCAAATAGTGATAAAATTCTTTTAAAACAATGTATCTTGAAGATAATTATTTGATATTATGATATAAATAAACAGTGTTATGTGATTGTATAAAATAGTTACGAAAACACTTTGGCCAATATAGGAAAACCAATATATAGAGGATATTAATATTTTAATATACTTAATAAAAATATATTTATTTAAATAGTAAGATAAGATCCCTAACAAAATTATAAGATTAATTGGTGTACTTGAAATTGGAGAATATATTGCTAAGAACGGAAAACAAGTTATATAGTTGTCAACGTCAAGTTTCACGTGTGGTAGATATTTGGAGATTGTTTTGATATTAAAACCTAAGTTTTTCTCTGAATATGATAATATTATAAAATGCAGATCAAAGAAGATAAAGAGATTGACCTGTTCGTAGCTAGCAGAATAGGATCTTTTAAACGTGAGTAAAATATTATATACTGTACAGAACAATCTTCAAACGAAGTTTGAAAGTGCGGGATTAATTTGTTCAAAAATAACACAAATAATACCGTAATTTATATATTATACGTACAATATATTTATTACACGTCCTTTCAGATATAAAGTATCACACGGATCCATCGAAAAACAGTAAGAAATGCATAGAAAACCTCGTAGACATTAAGACTTTACAAAAAGATGATAGTATAACATGCATGGTGTGGGGCAGCCCTGAACAGACGGACATACTGATCGGAAGAAAGAACCAACAGGTTTGTATATATAGACGTTAAATTATAGTTCATATTTGGCTATTTTCTCGTATTACATTTACGAAAACAAAAGGACTTCAATTTAATCAAAACTGTTGCTTCATTTCCATAAGAATGTTTTTTAAAACGTAAATAGAACTACTATTTTTCGGATTAACGCTTAGTATAACCAGAAAAATATTTGTTTCATTTAAATGAATACTTACGAAAGTCTTAAATCTAATTATTTTTTAATACATATTTATTACCTTTTAATTAAAAAATTATACTTCTTTATCAAACGAGACATATTTTTTTATAACTTGATGATATATAGAAATAATAACATTCCGAAAGTGGTTTGATGTCAGGCAATCGGCAGGTTGTAAAAAACAATTAGCCAAAACTATCTATTTGGCAGACCCTGGCTAAGGCTGGGAAATTGCCAGGATGAAGAACATTAATTTATAATAAAATAATTATAGCCATTGATAAAACAATAAAATTTTATCCATTATACAAATGTATAAATATAAATTATGAATACTTATTCGAAAAATATTAACAAACCTTACTCATTCTCAAATCATCTTTTAAAACCAAAACCCATTCTTACCACACAAGGAACAGATATAACCTAGAAACACCTAAAACTCAAACCAAGTACGGCATTTAAACTATTTCATTTGAAGGAGCACAGCTGTATAAATCTTTTCTTCTATGTGTTGTCAATTCAAAATCCCTACATATATTTAAAAAACGATTAAGAACCCATATATTAGATGATTACACTGATTTTGTTTAATATCACTACTGTTTATTATTTGTTTTTAAAATTTCCTTTGTAAGCGAACTTTGTTCTTTTTGGAAATAAACTTCCTTAAACCTAACATTATTACAACAGATCCAAGTTTACAACACTCTCCAAGGCTTCACAAAGTCGTACACAGCTGACTTCTGTGAAGGGGATATAGTGGGTTTGGGTCGGCATGGAAGAAGACTGGTTGCAGCGGTCTCGGGAGGAGTGGTGCAAGTATGGGGAAAGAAGGAAAATGTCACTTATAACGTAGGAAAGATTGATCGGATGAAGATCTTTGATGGAGACACCACTATATTCGCTACTGGTGAGATATTATGATCTTTTTAGGTAGTGAGGAGCTTTAATGTGTTAGATAGGACCCCTTAAACCTACACCTGGGTCGCAAGTCCCAGTCACTGTTGAAGCTCCTCTCACTACAACGATGGACCCGACACACGTACCGTGAATACATGGAATGATGAGAGGTTTAATTTATACCATTCATCAAGATATCATTAAAATCTGTTTTGTAGTTTTATGAACACAGACAGACACATATGTATACATATATTATTATTACACACACACACATTTTGTCTGTCTGTGATCACAGTTGTTGTAAAGTAGTTGAAACGTCGGGAGTATATAGTTTATAGTAAAAATAAAAACGCTTAGTAAATCCGAAAATATTAGTTCCATTTATTATTATAATTGTTTCAATTACAGGTGGTGAGGAAAACGACCTAAAAGTATATAGGATTGGAGAAACTGAACCTTTATTCATGGCGAAGAATCTTCCTCACGACTGGCTCCAACTACGGAAACCGGTGTGGGTCAGTGACCTCACTTTTTTGTCACCGAGCGAGCTCGCTGTGTGTTCTAGACATGGATATATTAGGTAGGATGTGTGTTATTAGATAAATGTATGAAGATATTACCTCTACGTAAATATAATAATGTTACAAGTGTCGCCATCTGTGTTATACTAATGACAATACTATAATCCTTTCAATTATTATGATGAGTGATTATAATGAATGATAATACTGAACCATTGTGATGTATCAACATGAGCATCAACTGGTGTCTGTAAACTATACATACTGGACACACACATTCTGTTACATGACTGGGAGTAATGAACATTGAGAATTAACACTGAAACTGTACCGAGAACAATTATTTTATTACTATGTATCCCTACTAATATTATAAATGCTAAAGTAACTCTGTCTGTCTGTCTGTTACGCTTTCACGCCTAAACTACTGAACTTATTTTAATGAAATTTGGAACAGAGATAGAGTTGACCTTGAGAAAGAACATAGGATAGTTTTTATCCTAGACTTTTGAAAGGTTCTCTTGGAAATGCGATACAACCGAAATCCACGCGGGCGAAGCTGCGGGCGGAAAGCTAGTATATTATAATGCTAAATTTTTGTTTTTGATTTGGAAGATTCTTTTAATATTAAAGTTGTATACTATCAAATTGGTAAAAAACTTATTGTCCTAAAAATTGATACCCAAAATAACTTGAATCACATTAATTTACAGATTATACGACACCAGAGCCCAGAGACGGCCGGTTTGTAATGTTGAGTGCGACAAAATGGCTGCCACGTGTATATCTAAAGGATTCGACGAGAGGTAACTTAAATATTGGAATAGTATAACATATAGGCGTTTATTTTGTAAATAAAAACACTATAATGTTAAGCTACTCTTAAACATGTCTTTAGTAAGATGGGTGACCGAATTAAAACTGACGAAAGCAATTTCTTTCATTCATATTTTGAATAGTGACAATCACTGACAAAAATCGATGAAAATGTACTACATTATGAAAGAAAAAAGAATTTCTAAGATCTATTGAATTTTTCAAAGAGTAATCTAGTTTGTTTTGATATAAAATAGCGACCACATAACACATTAGAGATATTACGAGCGGAAATAATTCCGCTCGTAATATTCAAACAAACTATTATATGCTAAAGCAATGATCAAAAAACTATCATCAATGAAAAAAATTGCTAGTTTTGGACCACCATATCTTTAAGTGCATCCCTAATCAATTATTGCTGGGCTTATAATGTTGAGGACAAAGAAGACACTAACTAGTTCATTATTTATTACCGAGAGAGTACAATAACACACACTGATATACATATGCAATGATTCGACCTTTATACATGATTTATATCAATTTATATTTTTGGAGTTTACCTATTAAAGCCATAAATCTCCGTGTTCTGAAGTGCGACAGAACATGATTGACATATTAGTTAGTTGTCAAATCTAATGTCAAGAAAAAAAAACGTTTGTATCAACAACTACTAATAAATTAAATATTTATCAAAAAAACATTGTCCAGCGGACAAAATTGTGAATCTAAAGTCTAAACCATTCCCAGATCCCCTTGAACGCACACAAAAAATTCCATCAAAATCTATCCATTCGTTTGAGAGAAGTTCAGTGACATACACACTCACAGAAGAATTATACAGGGTGACTGGTGAATTACTATCAATATTTAAGGAGAATACTCAGTACATGATTCTCATTCGAATTATGTAAAAAAAATAGGCACTTAATTTTTGACAATATTTTCGTATAAATAAATAAAGTGTGGACACGTTCCAAGTGTTCCAAGTGTGGACGCGTGCGGCGGCGTGCTGATACAACACCACGCCGCCGCACGCGCGTGTGTGTGTGTGTATGTATACCTAATCTGTAGGGTGTTCACACGATGCGTAATTAATTACATAACTTTTGGTTAACTTTACTTAGAAGTTTATTAATATTTATGTTATATTAATTTTTATTTTGTCATATATGATCGTCAAATATCACGTCCTCAAGTATCGATAGTAATTCACCAGTCACCCTGTATAAAGATTTATATCAAATAGTATGAGATACACAGATGTGATACATTTTAGACAAAGAATATGTAACTTACTAACTGTTTACTTATATACGTATGTGCGTATACACACCATCATCACCAAAAACCTTGACTCCCAGGCAGGTGTTCGTCGGCTTCGGTCGCGGTCAGCTGCACCAGGTGGACCTACGGCGCGGACACCTGGACAAGGGTTACAAGGGAGCAGCTGGAGCTATTACAGGGGTAGTGATCAGCCACGGGGCTGTCATCAGCTGTAGCCTGGACAGACACCTGCGGGTACACAAGGCTGATACCAAGGAACTGATGTACAAGGTGAACATGATGAAGGACATAGAAAGAGGATATATATATTTTTATATTAAAGGTGGCAAAGGGAAAGGGCAACCGTCTCTCTCACTCATCGGACGAAACGTAGTCATTAAAGACTACTTCACGCCGATCTTCAGTGAGAGGGTGGTACTTCCACGAGACAGACCATGTTCGAGCTGTAGTAACTTGACCACAGCTAGGCACTACCACATATAATATCCGTTGAAACTAATGTTTTAGGATTACTTATCTTATTTCTCACCTCGTCTTAATGATCACGGTTGTAAAGTAACAGAAACGTCGGGAGTATGTAGTTGAAATAGTAAAATACCCGTAGTATACGAAAATATTAGTTTCATATAAATACTCGTGAGTCTTATATCTTATTATTAAATGACTAGCTTTCAGCACGCAGCTTCGCCCGCGTGGAGTTCGGTTATATCGCATTTCCAAGAGAACCTTTCAAAAGTCTGGGATAAAAACTATTCTATGTTCTTTCTCAAGGTCGACTCTATCTCTGTACCAAATTTCATTAAAATCAGTTCAGTGGTGTAGTCGTGAAAGCGTAACAGACAGACATACAGAGTTACTTTCGCATTTATAATATTAGTAGGGATGAATCAAAGTATAAAGAATGCTTCTTATATAATATATAAATTCTGATGATTATATTTCATTTCCAGCAATACCTGACGTCTAAGCTGAGCTGTGTCCTGGCACAGACAGCTTCCACCACACCCATGAAGGACGTGAAGGAAGAAATGGAATTGAAGGAGGAAATAGCTTTGGAAGACCTGGAAAATACCAGGTATGTAATATGAAGGATCTAGTTACAAGTAGCGCCATCTGTGTTATACTAATGACAACACACTATAATCCTTCCAATTATTATGATGATTGATTATAATGAATGATAATACTGAACCATTGTGATGTATCAACATGAGCATCGACTTGTGTTTGTAAACTATACATACTGGACACACACACTCTGTTACATGACTGGGAGTAACTTTAACTGTATTATACACCTTTATTGTGAATTTATCATATTATATATCTATTTTATGAAATTTTATCTAGGTATTTTAAAAAGGTTAAGAATAGAATTTTTTCTAATACTTCTGCTTTCTGTCAATTTCGAAGCTTTAACCAGGGCTTGCCTTGCATGTTGTGAATAGTTTTGGCTATTTGTTTTTACGACCGGCCGCCTGCCTGACATCAAACCTTTTTCAGAATGCAAATTTATCTAATACTTTTAATTCTAAAATAGCATTATTTCTCATAATAAATCAATTATTTACAGTGAGAAGCCACAAAAACGTTCAGAAGACGAACAATCACAGGAAATAGAAGCGAAGAAGATGAAACCTTCCACTGAGGGCAGTACTGCTGATGATGAAGATGCTATCATCAACTTACTGAGGAGTACGGAGAAACAGAAGAAGAGAAGAGACAAGATGAAGAAGATTAAGAAGGCTAAGAGTGTGTTCCATAACGCATGAATAAAATATACATACTATATATATATATAGTTTTATTTACATATATACGTCATCAGCCTATAAGAGCCCACTGTAAGGCATCTTCTCACATGGAGAAGGTTAGTATTAATCACCACGCCTGATCAACACGGGTTGGTGATTTCAAACTTATAATTTGATATAAGTCCATGTTTCCTCATATTTTTCTTTATCAGTCAGAACAATCACATTGGTGCTTGCCAGGTATCAAACCCGCGCCCTCTTGTATGAGAGGCGGACCTTTAACCACTAGGACATCACTGACATCTATATACATTTGAAGTTATTATACATGTTTTGTCACCCTATGTAAGTTCAATGTAAGTAGTTATTGGTTTTCACTGATTATACTTGTTCCATACTTGATTCTTAATGTTTGAAAGATCCTACTGAATACAAAGATTGGTTTTGAATTAAATTCTAATAATATAAAATGCTAATACAATTTCCTAAGACTAGTGGATACTGTGAAGTGTAAACAAAAAAAATGTTATTAAAAGTTAGACCCACATATACAATAACTTAAATGTAGTCAGTTCCAGATTTTAATTTATATCAAACTAACAGAAATCGAAATAAAACAGAAAAATAATAAACGATAGTGTAGTGTATGTATTTATACAATATACAGGATGACTGGTGAATTACTATCGATACTTGAGGACGTGATATTTGACGATCATATATGACAAAATAAAAATTAATATAACATAAATATTAATAAACTTCTAAGTAAAGTTAACCAAAAGTTATGTAATTAATTACGCATCGTGTGAACACCCTACAGATTAGGTATACACACACACACACACATACGCGTGCGGCGGCGTGGTGTTGTATCAGCACGCAAAAATTAAGTGCCTATTTTTTTTTACATAATTCGAATGAGAATCATGTACCGAGTATTCTCCTTAAATATTGATAGTAATTCACCAGTCACCCTGTATATAACACACTGTCTCACGTGGCATGAGGCGGCATGCGCTCGGTAGTCATACGACTAGCGCGGAGCAGAACGGGGACGTGCGTCGCTCTAGGCGGGGTAGTAGTGAGACAGGGACTAGTTATACTTACATAGAGGAATGGTCCTACAAATAACAATAAACCAGATTGAAGTAAAATAAAAGAATAAATATAAGTTTCATTTAATTTGAAAACAACACATATATATTAATTAATAATTATACATAAAGGGTATCAATTGGGTGGTATATTTTGATTATTGGGTGTATGTGTGTTAGCAGCCAGTCTCCATAATGCTTCACTATCCAACGGCATATCAAACGGTACCAGGGCTCGGTGTGATTCATTCTTTATATCTGTATAATGTTTAGGAAGTATTACAATAAGATATACATTTATATTTAAGATTGGACGAGATCATGTTACCTTACAGAAATTGCAAAGTTGGTAATTTAGAAGTTTCATCTCAAAAAGATCAATAATACAGCTATTATATATATTCTGAGGTTATATATATAAATGAATGTCGTTTTAGTTACACTATTTATAACTCAAGAACGACTGTACGGGTATGGATGAAGATTGGTGGAGAGATAGATTAGAACAAGGAGACGGACATAGGATATTTAATTCATTTTGTTCAAAACAGAAAAAAATCTTAATAAATTCTAATATCTGATTATTTACGGCATCTAGGACGGAATATAGTTCGTCCGGTCAGCTATACATATATTACTAATGACGAAATTAACGCAGACGAAGTCGCGGGCGAAAACTAGTATTATATATTAAAAAGGATACATCCTTTGGCCACATTCGGTGGAGCGCTGAAATCCAATCTGATTCCGGTCAACTCCTTAGCCAACTGGTAGGTCTCCCTGTAAATTTACATACAATAATATTAAAAAGACAGAATATATTTCATAGAGCTCATCAATGGAGGTAGAAAGTTCTAGAAATTATCACAAAATGAAATATTAATATATGAGCAGTTATTATCACATTCTCTCTACTACAGAAGTAAATAATATTTTCTATTTATATTATAACAATACTTAGTTATATATGTATATATAGCATAATATGTATTAACGAGAAAAAGATTCCTTATGTATATTGTATATATGTTGTGGGTTATCTCTCAACCCATTAATAGATTCCGATGGTACTCTCACCAATATATACATGATATAATGAGAATAACTACATTTTCTTTGTATTTTACGGACAGCTAGCTAGTATGATAGCTTTGGAATGTTTGTAAATTAATAGTATTAGTTATGCTTGCTCGGTACTGTTTAAATAATAATATGATGTCAAGTGTAGTGTAAGTAGATCACTTTATTATATTAGTTACTGTTTTTCAGTTTGTTACTTAGCACAATACAGATATGACAAATCATAAATGTGAAAGTAACTCTGTCTGTCTGTCTGTTACGCTTTCACGCCTACACCACTGAACTGATTTTAATGAAATTTGGTCTGTACCAGATAGAGTTGACCTTGAGAAAGAACATAGGATAGTTTTTATCCCAGATTTTTGAAAGGTTCTCTTGGAAACGCGATATAACCGAACTCCACGCGGACGAAGCTGCGGCCGGAAAGCTAGTATAATATAGTTTTATTGAATAGATATATACTTTGCATTCTCCAATCGTTGCTGATCGCTGTCGGCTATTGTCAAACGTGATTCAAATGCAGCACACACACGGTCCAGCTCACTGCCTCTGTGCTCCAATTCAGCCAGTTGACGATTAAGATCTGACTGAAAGATGGTTTAACTTTAGTATGAACTCAAATGTTCTTAAAATTCATTAATAGTGAAAAATAAATACTTTTAACTTAAGTTCCACAGCTAGTTTGTTCTCCAATTCGGTTCTCTTCTTACAAGCTTTCAACTGTTGCTGCTCTTTTGTTATTTTCTCTGTAATATACGTATTTAATTGCAGTAATGTATTCATTTATAGTTTGAAATAAATGTATGAAATATCCTTACCATCGACTTTGTCACAGAAAGCATCAAATTCTTCACATATTCTTAAATACCAGGACTGATGTAAGTCCGCTGAAGTCATTTTTAAGTATATTTTGAAACAATATATTTTTATTTAAGCAATGGCTTCATTCACGCGGGATTTTTGGAATATTTTGCTAATATCGCCGTTATTACTAATTGTAATTAATTATAATATAATAATGAATACACGGGTAATATGTGGAAAAATCACGAAGTAGTTTGTTTAGGAAGCACAATATTATTTTAAATTTGATTGATAGTCAACCGTCAACATTACAAAACATTTGTCAAGATATGCATGATGTCTTGATACCGATGTTGCTATAAAATTTAATTTGATTTCTTATAAGATAACTTAAAATTGAAAAATATATAGGTTATGTCATATTTTAATCAATTAATCACATTATTTTTATAGTTTTTAAAGTATACATAAAAATATTTATTATTTATCCTGTTACGCTAAAATATTGCTTTTGATAACAATTTTATACTAAGATTTTACTAGTTTAGATTTTCATTTGTAGGATTTATATTTTTGTTTAATTTTCTATATATTGTATAAACTGTAATTGCTATAACAACACGAAGTTTATATTCCAGGAATAGGAAAAGCTGCATAATTTTATAAGTCACCGGTGGCGCCGCATAGAGTCATCGAACGGAATCATTTTAATAGCCATTTTTGTGATGGCGGATGATATTTATAGATCGTAAGGGTGTTGTTGATTTTTAATAATAAATGTTTTAAAATGGAGGAGACAAAAGTTATTTATTACATAGACGACGAGGAGACGCCGTATTTAGTGAAAATACCAATATCACCCGAGAAAGTGACACTGTTGGACTTTAAGAACCAATTGAACAGACCGAACTACAAGTTTTTTTTCAAATCTATGGACGATGATTTTGGTGTTGTAAAAGAGGAGATCGTGGATGATAGCGCGCATCTACCGTGTTTTAATGGTCGTGTTGTGTCTTGGTTAGTGTCCGCGGAGGGCTCCAACCCGTCGGACGGAGCTTCGCAGTGTACTGATAGCAATGCTGGTAAGGCCAAGCAAAACATACATGGAGCACCAACTGTTCCGATCACGAGGGACACGTGCACCGATACAGACAGCACCATCAGCTCCCGACCCGGTCATAGATCATCATGTGACAAATACAAGTACAGAGGCCTCAGAATCAATGGCCACTCCAAATACGGTAACCACGGGCTGGAATACGAAACAGCTTCTGTTCTAAGCTCTGATCTCGACTCGACGAGTCTATTCGACAGTCAGTCGGAGATAACAACCACAACTGGCAGGCATACCAACGCCTCAGTGGACCGCGCGCTCACTGAATGCAGCAGCGTCTCACATTTACAAGTTAGTTCGCGCAAACGGCCCCAACGAAGGCGTAAGAGACCTCAGGTCATGTCAAGAACGTCTTCCTACTCCTCGATAACAGATTCCACTATGTCCATGCACATAATAACGGTGACACTTAATATGGACACAGTCAACTTCCTCGGTATATCGATAGTGGGGCAGTCAAATAAAGGTGGTGACGGTGGGATATATGTGGGGAGCATAATGAAAGGTGGTGCCGTGGCTTTGGACGGCAGGATTGAGCCCGGAGATATGATACTACAGGTAGGTGAAGTGGAGTTGTTAACTAAATATAATGACAAAAAATTAAACTTAGTTAGAAGTGTATACCTTCAATGTCTGATCATTAGATATGACCATATATATATATATATATATATATATATATATAATTATTCTTAAAATTAAAGCAATATTGAGTTAAATATGTTATAAACAAAATAATGAGTTGGATTTGAATTTGATTCCCCGGGATATTACCCCAGCGGCGTTGCCAAATGTATATATTGTCTTAATAAGATTTGGAGTTTAAATTTTAAATAGGAATCTTTATAATGGGAATCTACCTTGAAAATGGCTTAAATCAAAAACAAAATAGATAGAATATTAAAAACTTTTCCTTTCTTTAATTATAGATAACAAAAGATAAAGCCAGTGTTGAATGAAAAATAATATTAAATCTTTGTTTCTGCAAAAACAATAAATCTTTTAAATATACTTCTATCACAATTCTCTAATTGTTTTGCATTATACACTAGTTTTTGCCTGTGAATTTATCTGCATTTCTTTAAGAATTCAACATATATTGTTGATCTAGAATATATAATTAATTTGTATGTATGTATAAACAAATTGTTTAAAAGCAATATAGTTTTGAAAACTTATTCTAAAAGTTTTGCTAATAGAAAACAGTACTTTAATATTAAAAGAACATAGGTATGTCTCATATAAAATATACAGGGTGATCATATATATATGGTGTTCTACATATACAATATATTAAAGGAATTGTTTTTTGGACAAATACAGGGTGTTAGAAATGACCCATTACATATAAATGAAACTAATATTTTCAGATTTACTACACTTTTTTTATTTTTGACTATAAACTACATACTCCTGACATTTTGGCTACTTTACAACAACCATGATCATTAAGACGAGATGTATATATTTATACTTAATTAAGTACATTAAGAGAATTGCCTAATAACTTACTATAAGCAGATTTTCATGTACATTATATGTTATTTGTGTTTTTTTTTAGTATTTTAAAATGCTAAAATATAGATATTTGTATAGGCTAGACTCATAGTGATGTAACTGTGACTATCGGCTGTAATGTTCTTTCAGTCCTTATACATTCTAATATAATAAATATGAAAACTAGTGATGTATGTATGTCTTTCATGCTAAAATTACTGAATACATTTTGATGAAACTCAACAGTGATGTAGATTAGACATTGGAATAAGATATGGGATATAATTTTTTACCTTTAGTCTGTGTAGTTGTCTCGGGAAAATGCCATTACACTTGTATAGTGTATGGAGGAACATATTGTTGATATACTAAGCTTTCAAACCTTCCCTGAACCTCCACTTTCATTTTTATATATATATATATATAGCAATTCATTTTTATATATATAATAGATATAATATAAATAATATTAAAATATTTCTATAATCCAAATTATAAAGTCATAAAACTAATTACATAGAATGGCAATCAGAGGTTCCAGGAAAACTACTAAACTTACTTATATGTATATTGTAATATGAATTACATATTAAAACTTATAATATTTTTTAATTAAAGCGCGTTGTCTCAAACTAGTAAATCATTAATATATGAAATTAATATTTTTTGGATATACTACGCGTGCTTTATTTTTGATCAAAACTACATACTCCCGACGTTTCGGTTACTTTACAGCAACCATGATCATTAAGACGAGATGAGATGTGATATAAAAATCATTAAAAACACACTAGCTTTCCGGGCGCGGCTTCGTCCGCGTGGAGTTCTGTTATATCGCGTTTCCAAGAGAACTTTTCAAAAGTCTGGGATAAAAACTATCCTATGTTCTTTCTCAAGGTCAACTCTGTCTGTACCAAATTTCATTAAAATCAGTTCAGTGGTTTAGGCGTAACAGACGAACAGAGTTACTTTCGCATTTATAATATTTATAGTGATAAATCATTTTGAATAATTTCCATACAAATAAGATGTTTTCATCAAATTTATAACTAATTTCCAGGTGAATGACGTGAATTTCGAAGACATGACCAATGATGAGGCTGTCAGGGTTCTCCGGGAGGTTGTCCAGAAGCCTGGCCCCATCAAGCTGGTGGTGGCCAAGTGTTGGGACCCAAACCCTAAGGGATACTTCACTATACCACGGACTGAACCCGTACGACCTATAGATCCAGGTAAACATACATATATAATAGAGACGAAACCTCTCATCATTCCATGTATTCACGGTGCGTGTGTCGGGTCCATCGTTGTAGTGAGAGGAGCTTCAACAGTGACTGGGACTTGTGACCCAGGTGTAGGTTTAATATATATAGAGAGACGAAACCTCTCATCATTCCATGTATTCACGGTGCGTGTGTCGGGTCCATCGTTGTAGTGAGAGGAGCTTCAACAGTGACTGGGACTTGTGACCCAGGTGTAGGTTTAATATATATAGAGAGACGAAACCTCTCATCATTCCATGTATTCACGGTGCGTGTGTCGGGTCCATCGTTGTAGTGAGAGGAGCTTCAACAGTGACTGGGACTTGTGACCCAGGTGTAGGTTTAATATATATAGAGAGACGAAACCTCTCATCATTCAATGTATTCACGGTGCGTGTGCCGGGTCCATCGTTGTAGTGAGAGGAGCTTCAACAGTGACTGGGACTTGTGACCCAGGTGTAGGTTTAAGGGACCCAATTTAAAGTGTATTGTGATGATAGAGCTTACTGTTCCTTGGGAAACCAAGATCCCCAAAGACCATGCTATCAAGGTCAATAAATATTACGAGCTCACTAACGAACTCACTCGAAATAAGTTCGTCGTTGTTTTGTACGCGGTAGCAGTGGGATCGAGAGGTATAACAGCTAAATCTTTCTATAACCTACTAAAAGACTTGGGCTTGTCCAGAACTAATATTAATACATATATTCTTGGAACATATGAAGGCAGTCGTAGTAAGTTCGTTTCAAATTTGGTAGAGAGAGGAGCTTGGACGGTGGAGGTGATAGGTGTTAGATAGAGGTCCCTTACATCTGGGTCACAAGTCCCAGTCACTGTTGAAGCTCCTCTCACTACAACGATGGACCAGACACACGCACCATGAATACATGGAATGATGAAAGGTTTCGTTTCTTTTACGTTTTGCTCGCGACTTCGTCCGAGTTAATTTTGGCTTTAATAATATATGTATAGATGACAGTGCGACTATATTTCGCCCTAGAGGCCGTAAATAACCAGATATTGGAGTTTATTAAGTTTTTTTCTTTTTCATTCGAGCAGAATTAAATATCCTATGTCCTTTCTATGTTCTAATCTATCTCTCCGCCAATCTTCATCCATATCAATAGTCGTTCTTGAGTTATAAATAGTGTAACTAACACGACTTTCTTTTATATAGTATACGACTAGGTTTCCGCCCGCAACTTCGCCCGCGTGGAGTTCTGTTATATCGCGTTTCCAAGAGAACCTTTCAAAAATCTGGAATAAAAAGTATCCTATTTTCTTTCTCAAGGTCAACTCTGTATCTGTACCAAATTTCATTAAAATCAGTTCAGTGGTTTAGGCGTGAAAGCGAATTTTCCATTGTTAACCCCCCGCAACCCCCCTTGTGGGTGGAATTTCGTAAAATCCGTTCTTAGCTGACCTCTACTCGAGAGGAATAATCCTACCAAATTTCAAGTCGCTACGCTTTATGGTTCCAGAGATATCGTGATGAGTCAATATATAGGTGGAAATCTCTTTTATATATAGATTGTTTCCTAATTTAGTGTTAATAATATTTCCAGGTGCATGGGTGGCCCACACGCAAGCCCTACGCGAGGCCTACCCCCCTCCCCCCCTGTCGTCGGTCCCGGCCAGCCTCCCGGAGAGGGCCTCCGACACAGGGTCGCTAGCGGAGCCCCAGCTGTCCGTAGGAATGGACATGGCCCTCGTAGTTAGGGCTATGCTGAGGCCGGATTCTGGTGAGTTAATGGATATATGAATATCTCCTACTAATATTATAATTGCGAAAGTTTTTGAGTATGTGTACGTTTTTTACTTTTTCACGCTTAGACGGCTGAGCCGATTTTGATGAAATGTTGTATACAGGAAGCTGACGTCCAGGAATAACAGAGGAAAGTTTAAACTGAAATATTTTATATATTAGCTACTTTTATGGTTATTTTTTCACAATTGGTAATTAATTAAACACTAAGTAATTACTAATTGTGATAAAAATTACCTTAAAAGTCATTAATATAGAAAATGTTTCATCTTAAACTTTCTTCTGATCTGCTTCCAATGTAGATACGCGGAATTATCCAATGCTAGTTACGTGAATTTGCACTATCCCCGACGATATATATATTTCTGCTGTTTTATACCTTATTCCTGCATTATTTTCTCACTTCTTCTACTTGCTCCTTTAAAAACCCTTAGGCTCATAATAGATCGTTCATCTTCAAGGTTTATAAAAGTAGTCTATTGAGATACGTCGTAAAGCTGGTTTTATTATCAAGCGAAGCGAATTGAAAGCTATATTTTCGACTCAGGGCCTTCGTCCATAGAGATGATCTTGGTTACTGAATGTACGATCGACTAGAGGTTTTTTTGCTGGATTGTCAAGTTATTTGAGTGGATTTTATCAAATAATTTAGATAGGACAATAAATTTAAATTTTATTGCCAACAAACTGAACAAATGTTTAAAAAAACGCTTAGGTCACTAAACTTCCATTGAGTTTTTTTTCTTAAGAAACGCGAAAAAATATATAAAGGTATATCTCCTTGTAGGTTTTGACTTCTGAAAGTCTTACGGCAATGTAACAATAAGTTAATTTAATATTATTCATATTATTAAAGGCAAGAATGTTGATGGTAATTTTTCTTTAACATATTTCTATCACCCTATAAAAATCACTGTACAAAAAAAAATCTATATTTCAGTACAAATATATACATAATTATAACATATTTTATATATTCTTCCACATATCATACATTACTAGCTGCGCCCCGCGGTGTTACCCGCGGATTTCTGGGATGTAAAGTAGCCTATGTGTCATTCCTAGACGTCAGCTTCCTGTATACAAATTTTTATCAAAATCGATTCAGCCGTTTGAGCGTGAAGAAGTAACAAACATACACACACACCCACAAACTTTCGCAATTATAATATTAGTATTATAAAACCTATCGTAACCTTGTCCATGTGAGGAGAGGCATTACAGCAGTGGGCTCTGATAGGCTGATGATGATGATGGTGAAGCCTATAGTTCTTAATGTTTTCCGGTTTCTTTCGCCGGTTCTTCTCAGGTCAGGGTATTTTGTTTTCCGAACCGGTGGTAGTGTCTCAAGTGTCCATCAATAAGAAAGTAATGCTTCTATATTGAATAAAGTTATTTGAGTTTTAATGTTGTAATCTTCTTATTGTCGTAGGTCTGGAGATCCGTGACCGCATGTGGCTTAAGATCACGATCCCCAACGCGTTCATAGGGGCGGACGTGGTGGAGTGGATACAGCAGAGGGTGGCGGGCGCCGCGGACAGGAGGGACGCGAGGAAGTACGCCTCGCACATGCTCAAGGTAACTACAACATATATATACACCAGAAGACCCGGAGAACTTCGTATCGCCCTATAATCAAGAAATATCTGTTACGATTTTTTATTTATATTTTTGGAGTTCACCTATTGAAGCCATAAATCTCCGTGTTCTGAAGTGCGACAGAATGAATGACATATTAGTTAGTTGTCAAATCTAATGTCAAAAAAAACGTTTGTATCAACAACTACTAATAAATTAAAAATTAATTAAAAATACATTGTCCAGCGGACAAAATTGTGAATCTAAACCATTCCCAGATCCCTTTGAACACACACAAAAAATTTCATTGAAACCGATCCAGTCGTTTGAGAGAAGTTCAGTGACATACACACTCACAGAAGACTTATATATATAAAGATATATATACTAGAAGACCCGGCAAACATTGTTTTACCATATAAAAAATGGTTTAGTGATAAAAAAGTAAACATTTTGTGTTGTATGTATGTATTAATGCTACCTTATAGAAAACAAAAAATAGTGTCCATAAATAAAAATAAGATTTAGGGGTCATGTCGTCATCTTATCAGAGCCCACTGCTGTAAGGCTTCTTCTCACATGGAGGAGATTAGAGCATTAATGATCATGCTTGCTCAAGACGGGTTGGTGATTACAAACTTATAATTTGCCAAGTCCATGTTTCCTTATATTTTCCTTCATCAGTCAGTGATGTCTAAATACTCTTATAAAGTACATATGACTCGGAACAATCACATTGGTACTTGCCAGGTTTCGAACTTCCCTCATGTATTGGCAATACTGTGTTTTTGCCTCTGGTAGTTTTTCTATTGTCAATATGTGACACTATGGTTCAGTAATGATGCGTCTTTTTGATTTAGTTTTGTAATAGTTTATTTTCTAAATAAACTATTACTATCAATAATACAACGATTATTATTGTACAGATTAAAAGGTACATTATTTTCTACATATTCCCACATATTAATATACTCGTACGGAACATCTATTTATAATAATGTAATAATATTTCCAGGCCGGTTTCATCCGTCACACCGTGAACAAGATAACCTTCTCCGAGCAATGTTACTACGTGGCCGGGGAGCTGTGTGCGGACATGGCAGCCCTCAGGATACGGAGCGCTGATCAGGACAGCTTGGCTTCAGACACACTGGCGCCTCTACCGAACCCTAAGTGAGTTTTATATATATATGAGGGCTTACAAAAAATTTCATCAAAATCGGTCCTGTCGTTTGAGAGAAGTTCAGTGACATACACACTCACAGAAGAATTATATATATAAAGATGTGTGTGTAGATATGAGAATTATATATGGACTTACTTTAGTTGTATGTAAAGGGAGTTATATGTTGACTTTTTTTTGTAAGGAAATGGAAAAATAAAGGCAAATATACATAAAGCGGCATGAAAAAATAAAAAAATCCACCAAGCATTATTACAATTTAGGACTTTACAAGTATAAAATATAAAGGCCCCCTTAATAAGGGGACCTATAGTCTCAAGAATTTTTAGGCCTCTGAATAGGGGGACCCAATGTTTATCATAACAGATAAAAGAGTGCATATATTGTGGATAGACAGAAAATTATCTGTTCTTATAGTGAATAACTAACATTTTATCCGACTTTACTCATATACATATCCCCACTAATATAATAAATGCGAAAATAACTCTGTCTGTTACGCTTTCACGTCTAAACCACTGAACTGATTTTAATGAAATTTTGGTACAGACTTAGAGTTGACCTTGAGAAAGAACACAGGATAGTTTTTATCCTAGACTTTTGAAAGGTTCTCTTGGAAACGCGATATCGCACGCTGAGAACGAAAGTGACTCAACTCAAAATTGTTAATTTTTGGGAAAGAGCGAAAATGTGTCCGTCGTATTAAACATTTTCTGTTCATTTTACAATAACTCTAAAACATGGTAACAAAAGTTATGAATTTCTGTTGAAATTTATTGTTTCACTAAATAGCTTTAGAAACATTATATAGTTTTTGCAAAAAAATATGATTTTCTTGTATAAAATAAAGTTTAGAAAAAAAAATCGAAAAAAATAGGTCACTTTAGTATTAGAAGTTTTTTATTTCTACTGACCTTTTTAGGTAAAGGTCTGTTCATTTCTAACTTTGTTTTAAAAAAATATGTTTTTCTAAAAATAAGTCAGTTTCATTTTTAAGATTTCATTCAAACAAACAGACACAAAGCGTAATCGGTCACTACGTTGCTAAACTTGTCACGTCTTGTCACGACAACTCACGGTGCAAGATTGATTTCGTCACTTTCATTCGGGCGCGGGGGGAGGGAACGCTTGAGTGACAAAGAGACCGAAATATACCTCTATCCTTTTTTTACCTTTATTGGTCAGTTTTCTAATATAATTATGATAGAATATACTTTTTAAGTCATTCTGTATACTTAACTCATTTAACCAAAATTTTGAAATCGGTCACTTTCGTTCTCAGCGTGCGATATAACCGAACTCCACGCGGGCGGTAAGCTAGTATTTACTATTTTAAATACTACTTGTTATTATTATGTAAAACAACAGCCATCAATGTGCATTTACTATAATATGTAAGTTGTATGTCTGTACGTTCTGACAATTCTCTGAAATGTCTCAAACAATATCTATGAAACTCTAACTAGTATATTATATATTAAACTACAGCTCATGTTACAGCAGTTTTATGTATCATTAATATATATAATAAATGTTTATTCCAGCATGATGGGTCCGGGCTACATGCCGTACGCTGGCTCCTACGGCTACCAGCCAATACCATTCAAGTACAGCTCGTGTTTGACCAGCGAGCACACCGTGTATGGGTGAGTGATACACCATATATACTTAAGATATATATATTATTTAGAGATATATCATCATCATCATCATCCTATCAGAGCCCACTGCTGTAAGGCCTCTTCTCACATGGAGAAGGTTTGAGCATTAATCACCACGCTCGCTCAAGACGGGTTGACGATTACACATTAAGTTGTTAAGTTGAAGATTGGTAGAGAAATAGATTAGAATCAGGACATGGACTTAATAATTTAATTCAGTTCGATTGAGCAAGAAAAAATACTAAGTAAACTCCAATATCTGGTTATTTATGGCAGCTAGGGCGGAATAGAGTTCGCCCGGTCAGCTATACATATATTACTAACTAGCTGACCCGGCAGACTTCGTACTGCCTCAATCAAGAAATAGATTATTTCTTAATTATTTTTTGGAGTTTACCTATAAGCCATAAATCTCCGTGTTCTAAAGTGCGACAGAATGATTGACATATTAGTTAGTTGTCAAATCTAATGTCAAAAAACCCGTTTGTATGGGAAATAGAAAAGCGCTGTTTTTAGGGTTTTCCCGGAAATTAATTTTTTTTTCAGCTTTTATACCTTCCCTGAACCTCCACAAACATTTCAAGACTAAGATAAGATAAATCCGTTCAGCCGTTCTCGAGTTTTAGCGAGACTAAGGAACAGCAATCCATTTTTATATATGTACTAGTTTTTGCCCGCGACTTCGTCCGCGTTAATTTCGTCATTAGTAATATAGGTATAGCTGACCGGGCGAACTCTATTCCGTCTTCAATAACCCGGTATTGGTATTTATTAAATTTCTACTGTTTCAATCGAACAGAATGATTGATATATTAGTTAGTTGTCAAGTCTAATGTCAAAAAATCGTTTGTATGGGAAGTAGAGAAGGGCTGTTTTTAGGGTTTTTTCGGCAATCATTCCAATTTTTCTCACCTTTTAAACCTTCCCTGGACTTCCAGGAGTATTTCAAGACTAAAATTACCCAAATCGGTTCAGCCGTTCTCGAGTTTTAGCGAGACTAAGGAACAGCAATCCATTTTTATATATATAGAAGATATAGAAGATGAAGAAATTAACGCGAACGAAGTCACAGTTAAAAGCTAGTATTTATGTATGTGTTTTATAACATTACAGCTACAACCGTGAGGAGAGCGTGTTATCCGGCAGCGGTGGGTCCAGTGCGGGCTCCGACCATCTGACTACCAAGGAACCACCGGGTCAGTCACACACACACACACACACACACATTTATAACGAGTTGACTTACTAACATACAATTATCTTGATTGAAACTTTGTGTGTAACACAAACGAAAGATTTGAACACAGAAAATATTAGTAATGACTAATCTATCACACGAATGGAAAAGAATCCTGATATCTTCTGACAACTGCTTATATGTAGTTTGAGTCTCATCTACACTCTCATAATCCTATATATACATAAGTCAATGGTGGCCTTAGTGGTGGTTAAAAGGCCCGCCTCTCATGCACGAGGACGCGGGTTCGATTCCAGCCCGGACAAGTACCAATGTGATTTTTCCGAGTCATATGTACTTTCTAAGACTATTAAGACATCACTGATTAATGCATTCCCAAAGAGGGTTGATGTCAGGCAGGCGGCCGGTCGTAATAACAATTAGCCAAAACTATTCACAACACGTAACTTGTAAGGCAGACTCTGGCTAAAGCTGGCAAATTGCTAGGTAGAAGAAAAGATATATAATATATATATGTATATATTCCAGGTCCAAACCGTGAGAACGAGGTGAAGTCAACTTCAAGCGGTTCAGGAGCGAGCGCGGCGGCGGAGGGCGGGGGCGGAGGCACCAGGAGGTCCCACTCACACTCCAGCGGCTCGGAGAGGGCCAACGACAGGCCCGTGCTCTTCCTGTAGTGTACGTGGCTCACACTACACTTGATATGAGAAACTAGTGACACGGACGGACAGACTGACGGTGTAAGAGTGTGTAATACAGGTAGAGAGGAACGGTGAGCTACTAACCCCGTTGTGATGAAGCTCTTGTATGATGTAGATTATATATAAGAGTGACTGGTGATACAGATCTCAGACGGATAGACTGACGGTGTAAGAGTGTGTAGTATACCTAGAGAGGGAGACAAGTTCTGGCCCGGTTGTAATGAAGCTCTTGTATGATGTAGATCACATGTGAGAGTGACTGGTGATAGATATGATGAGTTATTGTCATATAGTGTTTGGTTGATGAAAGAATGATAGGAGAGTTGAGAGAAGATTATGTAAGATTATGAAGATTATGTACTAGCTAACACATCAAATGTTGTTTTGTCATAAAAAATATAGGGGTTGGTGATAAAAAGTAAAAATTTAGGGGTGTATGTAATTTTTAAAGCATCATTACAAAAAAAATAAAAAAGTACATATATTGGTGTACAACCCTTGTCACTAAGGGATAAAAAAATATATAGAAGCCGATTCTCAGACCTATTGAATACCTATATAGTTTGGTAAAAATCTGTAAAGCTGTTTCAAAGGAGTACAGTAACTATGTGACGTGGAAATATTACATATACCAAAGTCTAATATATAATTACTTAATTTTAATTTAAAAAATCATTTAGTTGCCATAATCATATTAATCTTGTAATTAATATTTTCAGATGACAACACCGATGTCTGCCAAAACTTAGGATTTAAAATACTTATTTAATAAACAGTATAATGTATTTATATCGTCTATATCAAGTCACTGCCACCGAACCCACAGTTTGGGTTACATACAATATGGAAATACAACGATCAAATGTACTGAAAAACAGTATTATTTTGTTACTACAATTACTTATTTTTACCGGTTTTTACTTCATTTTGTGATTAAATGTTGTGCCATTTTATTTATTACCGGTTTTTCTATATAGCCGGCTGGTATAGCATAGTAAATAGATTTAGAGTACTTGAAATATTATTTGGTAACAGTTAGCCGCTAGAAAATGTAAAATCCTAGTTTCATAGCATTTTATACTAGCCGGCTATATGAAAAACATATCTAAATCTGTCATGGAAATTTAAACCTCCAAAAATGATGAAAGTTTTGTAATAATATATAAAATTCGGTTTTTGAGTTGAAGCTGCAACTCAAGTCATCTTCCACAGCCTGTACTTGTAGAATTTGGCGCCAAAAGTTATTGGCGTGTTTTTTATTTTATTATATTATAAATGTAACTTCAATTATTAGTTTTTTAACAGCGACGCCATATTTAGTGTGTATTATAATGTATGTGAATAATTAAATTATAATAATCATTAAGCTAGGTAGGTGCTGTAGAGGTGTAGCGGGTATGGTTTCGGGAAGCTATCTGACAACGACGCACATATAATAATTGTTTTATTTATTTAATAAAGCTTACAAATAACTTAAAAAGTGGTAATGAAGTATGAAACAAGTGATATAATATGGATTTATTAGTGCATCTTGGAATTAAAAGCGACTTAAACCTTTTTCATGATCTCTGTGTGAAAGTAATAAATTTTAACCTAAAAAGTGAATTATACTTAGATTTGATCTTCTAAGTAATGTGTGTCGTTGTCTCAAAGCTTTCTTTTCGAGTTGGAAACGGACGCTATATATATATTTTTAGTAAAAAAAACTGTTCACGTAAAAGTTGATTAAAGGTCAATGACACCGTCGCCGAATTTAATACAATTGGGACTAAATGTTAGAATAGTTAGTGTGAGACGAAAGCTCACTTTAAAGAAGTCTGTATACGTCGACCGTGGGATGGGTGACTGTGAGGTAACTAGCTTAGGTAAGGTAAGGTAAGTAGGTAAACAAAGATGAAAGGTAACGGTCATGTGGCGAGTCGCATAGTGTTCGTAGATCAGTAACTATATATATATCTGTCGTATTTCATTTATTAATATTAGTTGTAAACATATCATGCTTATGACGGTCGCCGGATCCTCGTACACTTTTTTATTTAGATGATTATATACAAATGTTTTCGCGCCTTTTTTGTTTTGACGTTTGCGTTGCGTCATTGACAGCCAGTTTTGATGATCGCGACCACAGAGGTCGTAGAAATGAGTATTTATTAAATGATTTTATTAAAAATATAATTTGTATGCAATTTACAATTTTTTAACTAACTAACGGTGAGACACTCAAGGCCGCGATGTTGAAGCGATGTGAAGTAACTATGTATGTTTATACATATATATATAAATAATTTTCCAAAAAAATGAATCTAGTCCCCGCGTACCGCTTGCTCCGCTTCGCCCCTCCGCCGTGACAAGAATGAGGATTAATATTTTTATATTTTGTATAATTAAGAATTATATTTTATCTTACTGTAAATAAAGTGATTTTATTTTATAATACTCATCGTACATTTCTAAAGCATTTAAATTATTTTCTAAGAGGCCGTTTGTGATAGCGGCAGCCTAATGTGTTAAGACTTCTTTTAATATTATATTATGTATATTGATTGTTATTATTTTTATTATTTCGACGCGCGATGATTAAAATGTGTAATTTTAATAAACAAATAGACATTTGTAATTTTTGTTGTTTCATTTGATATGTACTTCTTAAGTGGCAATTTTTAGTAAGCTTATTACCTAGCAGTCTTAATGTATTGCTTATAGCAAAAATATGCAAATAATTTCTATTTATTAACAAAACTATTGAATGAATGTTATTTAAATTAACATAATTAAAAGTTGTAGAATTTTCCAAGAGAAATTAGAAGAAGTGAAACTTCGTAATGTAACGAAAATAGGAAAGTGTAAAATGAATTTTTAAGTAATTTTTAATGTTTCTTTAAGGCAAACTATATTAACATTACTTAAACGTTTCTGTCTCTTTCTATCCTTCTCAGCGTTAAACGTTTAACGCAACCTTGGAAGTCGCATAAGTTTCACTACAAAATTAAACATAAACTCATTTAGAAACGTCATTTATTTCATCAGATACAGTAAATGCAAATAAAAAATAATACTTTAAGTAAATAATTCTTATTAAATATAATAAAAAAAAAAATAGAAAATAATCACATTTTAGATACATGAAAATTAAGTTTGTGACAAAAATGTTCGACCAGTCTTTATAAGGTGAAGTTTGGTAGCAACACTAGTCTTAGTGTATTTTACACTACGTAAATATTATTGTAACTACAAACTCGACGTACGTAGTGTCACTATCAAATTTGTAGTAGGTATATGGTTTTAGTGATAGTTAATAATTAGCATAAATAATTAACTTGATATTTAAATTAAAAATCGATTCGTCTCCTATAAAAACCGGTCAAGCGTTTAAAATAAAAAAAACTAAACAATTTATAAAAAAATAAAGACTTAAAAGAATTTTTTTAATTGAAGGTATTCTTGTTTTTTTAACTCACAGTACACCGATATGAAAGTAATAAAAAAACCTGTTTTTTAATATTACAGAACTTAATTATAATATATATCTTATTTTATATTTTAATACATTTTTTTTTCGGCCGTCGTACATGTTCGCTGTTTGTTACCTGAAACAAGAAAATAAAACATCAATATATATATTTAAAACATATTATTTGCAATTTTGCTTCAATAATATTTAGTATTATAACGTTTCAACAAAATAGTTTAATATTAATAACTAAATGACCATTTGAAATATAATAATTATAAGAAATTATTCCCAAAGAGGGTTGATGTCAGGCAGGCGGCCGGTCGTAAAAACAATTAGCCAAAACTATTCACAACATGTAAGGCAGACCCTGGCTTAAGCTGGGAAATTGCCAGGTAGAAGAAGACGAGTTTGTTTTCTGCTGATATTTTTAAAAAGTATTGTTGAGAGTATTTAATACTGTATTTTGGTACTCTTTGAATTTACTGCCTTTCATACCAAAATAAGACTAATTAACTAAACGATACATATATATGTATAAATTAATATAGGTATGTACATAAGTTGTTTTTTGGTAATCATTGAGACATTTAAATAGTTCCAATTAGCGTTAATATATATGTATATATATATGTATGTATATATATATTTGTTTTAACGAGCTGGCTTATATCCGATCTTTATCAACATCAAAATTCCAGGCATTAATATTATCAATACATAAATATTATAGTTTTATTAAATATTTGATAAATATATATGGATGTAAATGGTTACTTTTTGTTATTGTCTTTATGTGGTCTTAAAAAGTTATTTAAATAATTAACAAAATACAATCTAATTGTTTTTTAACGCTCATTACGTTTGTTTTGAGATTAAAATAAAGTTCTGATATTCTATGGTTGTGGAAAAAATATACTTTTTTATTTCTAAGGAGAATTCGTTTAATGAAATAAGAATAAGTACATAGAAAACTGATTTCGCGAAGTAAAAAGAAATAGACTGTTTTGTACCTTCAAAATATGAATGATAGAAAACTATTACGGTATTATGAAAAAGAGGAGAGACGGAGAGAGAGTGCGGAGAAAATTTAAGAAGATACTTATACACAAGAGTAGACTTAATATTTTGTCCATCGAAATTATTTCTAACTACTAATAAGTATAAGGTCAAAATAGTAGTTCAATATCTAGACTTAACACTTACAATCAAGTCACAGGCGCTAGCGTTTTACAACACGCTACCTCTTATGAATTAAACATCAAACGTGATGCACGCTAAGGCCACGACGTGAATTTATTATCTTACGAAGCATGAAGATAGTATCTTAATGTACAGGTTTTATAAATGAACTGAGTCATATTGTTAGTTAAAAATTGGCTTTATAGAAAATATTAGCATTTAGATATTGTGGGTCCGGGGTCAGTGGTGGCCTAGTGGTTAAAAGGCCCGCCTCTCATGCATGAGGGCGCGGATTCGATCCTGGCAAGTACCAATGTGATTTGTAGTCATATGTACTTAAGAG